CCCAATAATACAGCATCAGAGTTTACTGTAAAGTTACCAAGATACTTTTATCTTAAAGGAAAATGGAAAATAGGACTTGTTGACATACAGTTACCACCATTGGATTCAAATGATGCATTATTGTATTTAGATGTGTTTTGTGATTTATGCATAGAAAGTGTTGTTGATGGAAATGTACAACCAATCTTAAGGCGTATTCCAAAGGATTATTCTTGGTTGAGTTTTAATCAAGTATTATACAAGGATGTCGGGAATTGGGAGTTTGATCGCATACATGTCTATATAAGAGGAAATGGTAACACACTTGTGTCATTTAAAGACAAACCTTTGACGTGTACACTTCATTTGAAACAAGTATCATGAAATTAGTACCATATGTAGACAGACCAGAACACTGGTTGAAACTTATTAGAGCTGGTAGACAGAATAGATTGAAAGTATCTCAAACAGGAAGAGGTTGGATAAGTGAAGATGATATTAAAGATGAACCGAAACAAATAATATCTCCAATGCAAGCTGTCGTTGAGAGAGCAAAAGCTACACTTAAAAGACAGCACTCAAACGAGTCACACGAGTCACACGAGTCAAACGAGTCACGTGATACAATTAGAAAGAAAAAACGTGTATATAAAAGCAAACGCAATAGTAAGTCTTCAGTCAATAAGAAATCTCCACAGGAATACAAACGTAGGTCAACAAAGACATCACAGAAAAGAAAAAAGTAAATTCAACTCAAATAATTAAAAATGGCATATAAACTCATGAACAGTGCTGATGTAATGAATGGGAAATTACAGTTATTTAACACACCTCCAACAGAAAGTAGTGTTGTTAGAAGGAACTATGTTGAGTACAGACCTATCAATCCAATAGACAGTGAGTCTCCAATAGAGTTCATCTTACCAAACAACACTTCACAGTTTATAGATCTTCAAAATGTAAAGCTATCTGTCAAAGCGCAGGTATTGAAAGCAGATAATTCATTACCGAAATATGTGGATTTGACAGATTATGATTCATATGGACCAATAAATAATTGGATTCATTCTTTATGGAGTGAGGTTGAGATATCATTACAACAAAATAACATGGCATCATCTGTCTTAAACTATCCTTATAAAAGTATGTTGAAAACATTGTTAACATCTAGTAAAGGAAAATTAGAATCTGAAGGTACGGCATGTCTGTTTTATATGGACAGTGGGATATATCCACCTAATGGAATGGATGCAACAAAACCTCTGGGACAAGGCTCTAACAACATGGGACTAACACAAAGATTTGTGAAAACTCAAGGTGGAAAAGTAGTTGATATGGAATGTAAATTTCATGAAGATATCTTCAGCATCAACAAATACCTCATTAATGGTGTTGAAGTGAAGATAAAACTAAATCATACAAAAAACAGTTTTAGACTTATGACTGATTCAAATGAACAATATAAAGTCAAACTTTTAGATGTACATTTAGAAGTTCCAATGATTACAGTTTCAAATGGTATTTTACAAGCATATAATACTGAATTACAGGAGAGAAATGCTGTATATACTTATGATAGAAATGAAATGAAAGTACTCTCATTACCTAGTAATATATATTCTTTTAATCAAGATGATTTATTTCAAGGACGTGTACCTACACGATTGTATTGTGTCATTGTGAAAAATGCAGCATATCAAGGAAACTATAAACTTAATCCTTACAATTTCATTCATGCAAACACTTCATATGTTGAAATTTCAGTAGATAATGTCCCTACTCCATTTAGAGCATTTCAACCTAAGTTTGGCTCAAATGATTCACAAGACAAATATGTTCATGAGTTTACACAATTGTTTTCAGATCTTGAACACAATGATGGGTTAAATATAAGCATAGATGATTTTAAATCTGGTTTTTGTATCTTTAAGTTTGATATAGGCTATAAAGACACATATTCAAATGGTGAAATTCTTCCATTGTTTAAAAAGGGAAATGTAAAACTTGACATTCATTTTTCTGAGGCAACACCTGAATCATTAAACATTATTTTAATGGCAACATTTCCGGGAAAATTTGAGGTTGACGCATCCCGCAATATTATTCAGTACTAATATGAATTCACAAGATATAAGTTTTATTTTATCAAATCATCCAGATACTAAGCATAGATTTCTAGGAGTATTTGCAAGTGATCAATTACCATCTATTATCATGGATAAAAAATGTTTTATAGCAAATACTAGACCTCACTATGAAATGGGGCAACATTGGGTATGTTATTATAGAGATTCACAAATTGAATTTTTTGACCCCTTAGGTCATACAGAAACATTTTATGGATTAAAAGAATATGGAGATGCAATGTTTGTAAATCCCATTCGTGTTCAAGGTTTGAACAGTTCAAATTGTGGACAATATTGTATCATGTATATATTATTGAGAACTTTAGGGTATAGTTTAGATGAAATTGTAAACACTTTCAGTGTGTCTAATAACATGGATTTTGTAGTAGAATCTATCATTTCTACCTTAAAAATGTTAATATTACATCAATTGTAAAGAAAATTGTAAAATAAATTTAAGATTGGATATAATGTATATATCAAACAAAAATGTTGTGTTATTGATTTGTTATGCTTCCATTTTAAAATTCAGTCCTCACCCATTTAGATAACAATGATGTCATGCGCATCTTATCTCTCACCAATTTAAGATAACAATGATGTCATGCGTATCTTATCTCTCACCCATTTAAGATGAAAGCCCCATCCAATTAATTTATCTCCTAATCCCCATTCAATTAATTTATCTCCTGCTCATCAATATCTCCTGCTCATCTTCAGAGATTTTGAAAGCCCCGGGCCCGTGGCGGCCCGTGGCGTTCTGATGCCCTCAGTTTTCTATCTACTTAGAAACATATCAAAATCCCGGGTAAATGCTAATTTAACGAATCCCCGGGGATTTAAAAGACACATTTCGCGACGATAAATGTTCGCAATTTTACCACGATCGCGAACAAAGCGAAATTAAAACGCACGCGAACAATTCTGCGAGTACAGTAGCTTGATACCACATCAACACGCAGACAATTACACAAATTCAGAAGAGTAATAGTGTATTCTAACTTAGGATACAAAATTTCTAAATAGCAATCCATCTTTTATCAATGAATAGACAAGAATGTGCCTGTGCATGTCTTCAGAAGTGTTGAGACATTGAGAACTGGTTGTGGGCTGGATATAATCCTAAAAAAGAGTTTCCTTGAATTTATTTCTCAGTAACGATATTGTAAACTGTTTTGCTAATTGTGAAAGGATTTAAGCATAGGACTCAAGAAATTGTTGGCAATTTTGAATGCTAACATTAAAGTCCACGTTTTTAACATTAAACAAAAAAAGAATGTCATTTGATATTTCACCATCAGCTCATTAAATAGCTATAGTGCGATTGGATTCATTTTCTTACCATGGACGTGCCTTATTTAATTCAACTTACATGTGTACGAAATTGAAGTTGTTTCTTCAAATAAATTGTAACTTACGACTTGCACTTCTGATTCTTTCATGTCGTATTGTGTCAAGGTCGATGGTTGCAAAATATTGTAAAATTTTGAGACTTCAAATTGGGCAGTTTCCTTTTTGCCCAAAGAAGTTCCACCAATTTAATGCAAATATGGTGATGTTATATGCAACGCTTCTTTTGTGGAACCAATTGACTTACGACAAGGTGGGGCCATATTTTGAAATATTTGGTCCCAAACAAAAAATGATCCTCCCTGACAACCCAGTGTGTCCTCGTATATAATTGACACATAGTAAAAATTGATGATCTAATGATTTTGGAGAACCTTGTTCTTTAACACTATTTGTTTATTTTTGAAGTTTACCATATTTAGAAAAGATTAACATAGAAAAAATTTAATTTTTCAAAATGTTCTTACCACCTGAATGATGTCACGATGATATCACTTAGGTTGCAAATATTTAGATTTAAATATTTGAGAAATAAAAAGGTGACAACTTTCTCCATTCATTTTCTATTTCAAAAAATCTCTAAATTGCTTTTAAAGTCATGAAAACAGTTAAAATGAATGTACAAAGTTGTTGATTTTCGTTCTATGAAAGAATGATGATGGACATGATGATGATGATGATGGACATCCTACGAAACGTCAAAAAGAAAAAGAAATATCTCTGAGAAAGAAAATCAACAACTTTGTACATTACTACCAGAGAGATGAACATTCATAGAAGTAAATGAATGATAAAAACATATTTTCAAACTTCACATAGGGCCTTTAAGAACTTACATAAAAAATTATAAAATACCAAAGAGAGTCTTTATAATGTGTCTCTCATATTAGGGAAATCTAGATATATCCCTTACTTGTATTTATATATATTCTACTTGTACATACTTCATAGTTTGAGAAAAGTTATAGTAAAATCTCACAATTAGCCTTTTTTCGACGAACTTTAAAAGTAAACGCGAGGTTTCAAAATCTTTCTATTATATCTCATGGGCTCTTAAGATCTTGTATTGCTCACATATATCATGAATAACTGTAGATAAAGACAGCTTATATGTATTTACGATCAGTCTGTTAAATCCTATATGTAACTTGATATAATGTCCACAATAAACTTTTCACTTTTCTCGAAAGTTTTATCGAAAAAGGTGTGATAGTATAATCTTGTCTCATAAATTTATGAGTACTCGTCGATGATAAGATAAAGGGCGTTAATAAGATACTCAATAGTTTTGATTTGTAACATCGAAACTATACAGTAAAACCCGTATCTGAACACCTGTCTAATCTGAACACATATCAACGTAAGCTCTTTTCTTTATCCCAACTTTATATTCTCCCATTTACTATCTTGTTGAGAACACTTAAATAGTGAACACCTGCTTATCGGAACACCTTTGGCCTGCCCCAATGGCGTTTTGCTGTATTATGTTTCAAAGTATATAAGAAACACATCTGGAATAAGGATACCTTAATTAAGAGCAGGTTTAGTACTTAACCATTCCCCAAATACCAAAAGTTTTATAGTTTGACTTGTACATTTGCAAAATGTTTACAGTTACTTGAGGAACTTCGAGTACCCACTGTAAGGACTTACATGTCATGATTTACACGTCTCTGAATATTATACTTGACAATTTGTCAGATCAGTAACAATACTAAGTCTACTGAACAACAAGAGGTTAATGGTACATCGGCTTAGCTGAAACTGGAGTACTACACAGACTCTCTGTACAGTGCACATGTGTGGAGTTGAGCATTGGCAATTCGTATGAGTCCTGTTGGGTGAAGAAAGACGCAAAGATGGGGAGAAACAGCTTCAACATGGGGCAATACAAGGGTGGGGAATATGAGTACGAGACAGGGGAAAAGCAGTCAAAGTCGAAGGGAGCAATAGCCCTCGTGGTTATTTTAGTGATTCTAGTGTTAGCACTTCTGGCTTTAGCTATAACGTTTGGAATATTGTGGTCGCAGGAAAGGAACAAACCAGAACAAGCAACGACTGAGCTTCCTCCAACGCCAACGACAGAGTCACCAAAACCCCCCGAGGTTGAAACTGAGCGCATCGATTGCTACCCAGAGGCAGGCGGAGGTGTGGATCTGGCCACACAGGAAAAATGTGAAGCACGGGGCTGTATTTGGTCCCCAAGTACAATGCCAGGTGCTCCTTCTTGCTTCTATGGTACAAATGTTGGAAGAAAACAGTTAGGAGAACCAGAAGACACAGATCTCGGATATAAGGTTAAACTGTCAAGTTCTGATCAAACAAAACGTAGGTTGAAGAGGGATGTTGTCGAAGAAGATGATAACCCTGATGTAGACCCATTGGTATTTGAGGTCCAAATGTTGGAAGATAATCTACTTAGATTCCAGGTAAATATTTAAAGGAAACCTAACATCTGTCTTTTTGGTGTACCATATTTTAATTTCCCAGTATTTAATAACTTTCATTTTGACTTATACCAAGTAAAACGGCTCCCTGAAAAATAGAGGTATTGTGAATATTCACAAATATTGTGAAACGATCATTCGACTCAGTACGATTGTAAACACAATAACCTTAAAGCACAGACCTTAGTAAACAAAGATTAAATTCTCTAAGAAGGAAGTAAATCAAATTATTAGAAAGGGTAAACACAAATAGATCTTTCAAAAATATATTATACGTTGTGTAAAACTTGTTAAATCATTTCGATCGCAAAAATGAATTAAAGAATAAGCTTGCCAAATTCTTAAAATATTTTGTTTTATGGTATCTATCTCAGATCTATAATGAAGTGTATTTCATACCTACTGAGGTTCTAGGTACATAACGAGCTACTGAGGTTCTAGGTACATAACGAGCGGGAATATATACTATATCTAGCCAAGGTCCGGGGCGGGATGGATACACGCTGTATCCATCCCGGTCCCGCTTTTGAATTTTTTTTCACAATTTTTTCAAATTTTTTTTTTGAATTTTTTTCACATTTTTTTCCCATTTTTTCCAATTTTTTTTCACATTCTTTTATTTAAAAAAAATGTTCACATTCTTTTCAAATTTTTCAAAATATGAGTTATATGAGTTTGAAAATCTCAGAAACTTAAAAAACACTTTATAACACCAAGAAAATGTGTATCTTAAATATATTTTTGATTTTTGGAACTTTATAAGGTATATGACGTACCTAGAACATCAGTAGGTATGAAATACATCTGTTATGTACGGTCGGTTTTGGATACAGGGTTTATCCCTCGGGAAATATGTGTATATCCCTCGGTCCCTGCGGGTCCTCGGGATATACACATATTTCCCTTGGGATAAAACCTGTATCCAAAACCTCCCAGTACATAACCCTTATATATTCAATCAAAATACAATAACTAGGATGTTAAACACAATAATATTCTTTCTTGATTTTTCAGGAAACACGTTTATACTTATGATTAAATCCGTCAAACTGGATCTTTAAGATCAAATTAAAGTTTCTTTAATAGCAAGAATGTAATCCTATTTTCTTTACTTTATTGCTATTTTTACTGTTAATGAAAATTGCACGTTAGATGTACGTTTGGCCCTAAAGAGGCATCACTACAAATAAATCCTATTATATATATGTCAGTACAAATAGAAATACTCGATAACTATAAACTTTCAAAAATATGGAAGTATAATTTAAGATACCACTGTATAAAGTTAAGATAACCGGTAATTATAAAGAAACCCGGTGAATTAAAGTTCTAACAGGAATAGAAGAAACATGTATGTAAGTTGGGCACCATTAGTACATATAGTATTTCTTTAATCAATAAACAATAAAGCTCAGTGAAGGTTGGTAATTTGAATCCTTGTTATTAACATGAATACAGTTTTTGATAGAGGTATAGCGAGGCTTTACTCCGTCCGTCTGTATGACCAGGCAATGACTCTGATATTGATGGAGGATTTTCATCGTTTGGTGGGAGCATGTTGCAAAAATCTTAATTTTTCATTTCCTAAAGAAAGGGACCGACCCCAAAAAACATATGAAAATATATCCAAATAGGTATGCAAAGATGTAAAACGAAATCACATTCAAAGAACAAATATTTCTAGTGATCGGAAAATTGAGAATGACCGGCCAAATGAAATTCTTTAAATCTCTATGAATTACATCTTTATATTTGTATACACTTCTTCAAAATAATTGGCAACTTTGTCTCACTATTGATAGCCTCTAAAGCTGGTTTATGTTCGGAAGTATTGAAGAGAACGGTACAAAGATTAGTACTTCAAAGTCACTACTTCTTCAAAATAAAAAAATCGTTGAGAATGAATAAAGTCCATAAAGACATAAAAAAAAGATATTCGTTGGGGTTTGCTGCTCCGTGACGTGGTGATACTATTTTTCGAGTTTCTACTTGCAAATAATCATAAATAACACTAAAGTGCCAGATGAACACCAAGTTTTATATTAAGTTTATTTGTCTACACACCTAACATGTGATAAGACATGTACTGTTACACTTCACTCCATAATTTTGTTTTGTTCCTTTTGTTTCATCGTGTAAATACTTTACACATGTTATTTCTTTATACCACCTAGTATTCCACATGGATTAAGTATACTGTTTTTTTATAGATCAGTTTTAGTAACAGTCAATCGTCTTTTGTGCAACAATGATTTTGGATAGCTTGTCAAGTGTCATTTCTTTAAAAACAATAGAAAAATAATGCACTTTTCTTCGTTACAACTGTATATTCTTTAAAATAAAATACAGTCACTCTATTGTGTTGCTACCTATAAGTGGGGTTTAAGAGAGAGGAAAATGGTGGTGAATGTTTTATGTAGTATTGATTCATGTCATGGATTAGAACTATCCAATGTTGACCGTGACCGGAATCAGAACCGGATGAATCCAAAAATATGTGGAATTACAGGAATATTAGAAAATTGGGAAGTTGGAACACATTAGGAAAATGGGCAATATCAGGTACTGGAACAACGATAGGTAAACAAAGAAAGGGGCAAGTCTAAAAAGGTGAAGCTTTAAATAGGCGAGGCAAAAATCCAAGACAAATAGTTCCAAGGGACATAGTTTTCATATAGTTTTAATTGAAAACTGTCGAACAAATACTTTTCTGTAAAACCTTGATAAGACAACAGCATCACCAGCCTCATAGCGAGGTACGTCGTCCATTCAAAATAACGGTTTTATACATCGATCCAATGAAAGCTCGTTATTCTATTCGTTTATATCCCAGTATGGCGCTTTCGCCGTAACCATAAGTTTGTGAGTTCGAGACGCTCCTCGCGTTTATTCATTTACAAAACTAGGTCAAGCAATCTTCCTCCTAATATTTTCCGATACTGCCTATTTTATTTCAGATTTATGATGAAGGAGATACACGATATAGGGTACCTATACCCTTGAATCTCAAGAACACGAGAGCAAGTAACCCAACATATGCAGTGGAAATAACAAGTACAGATCCATTCCAATTTAAAATTATTAGAAAATCTACTGGGAAAACTTTGTAAGTCGGTTAATGTCTTAGATAAATTGAAACATGTCAAAGAATTGTAAACAAAGTTATTAGAAAATCTACCGAGAAAACTTTGTACGTCAGACAATTTCCAAAAGAAATCGCAAAGGTCTTGTTTGAGTCGAGCATAACAAATTATAATTATTGACCAAATACTCATTCTATTACTAAATAATTAGAGGATCTTGAAAACATAAGAACATGCCACGTTAGCCCAAGATAATATTGCAGTTGATTTGGGTTTATAGATTCTACTCATTTTTCCGAAAACTAATTAAATTAGAAAATCAAAAATTGTGATTTTGATTAATATGCTCTTACGGATCTTCTGATTTTGTACACAGGCTTTACTCATATTTCCGAAAATTAATTAAATTAGAAAATTAAAAATTGTGATTTTTACTCTTCTTATTAATATATGGTCTGTAATGTGATATGCATGTATTAATTGTTTTGCCTTCCAATTAAACGGAGGGAATAAAGAAAAATAACTTAAACATAACATAACATACTATGCACTTACGGATCTTCTGATTTTGTACACGTACGTGTATATAATATGTATAATGCTTCTCAATTGCAGATGGGACACAAGTGTAGGGAGTTTCGTGTTTCAAGACCAGTTCATACAAATTGCCACAAAATTACCATCGGAAAATATATATGGTTTTGGGGAAAATGTGCACCAGTCGTTCAAACATGACTTGAACTATAAAACATGGCCTATGTTCTCTAGAGATCAACCTACTCAGGGAGGGGTAATGTATTATATCTATAATTAATGTAATTATTACGAATTAAAAGTTTTTAATAACTATCTTTATCTTAATAAAGTCATGTTATTAGACTCCAGATGAAAATCTGGAGTCTATTGCTTTTGCCAGTTTTCCTATTATTCTTTCTTTCTTTCTTTCTTTCTTTCTTTCTTTCCGAACACTTTTTCTCAGCAACTAGAAGAACTTACTTAAATCTGCTAACATAGTCAACTAGGTAATGAAACCTAGTTTCTGGGAAATTAGGTCAAATGTTTATCTAGGTCAAAGGTCAAGAACTAGGTCAAATCGTGGGTTTTCACTATTTTACAAGTTTTCTCAGTCGTCCTTCGGTATTTTTGCTCCGGGTTTTTTTCATCATGTTCCTTAAAAAAAAGCTAATTCCGTAAGGCAAATCGTTTTTTGATTACTCTTACCGATTTTGAGAAATGACGTCCGAAAAGTAGGTCAGAACATAAAAAGTTCTCCAAATTCAACGTGTGAATTATCAAATAAGTGTAGAATTATCTCAGGAATCCGAATCTGCAAACAAAATTTCGATCCGACTACCGGTTCAGAAGTTTTAGCATTTTGAAATCTCAAAATCGCTAAATTTGGTGCCCCATGTTAAGTCAATGGGGAAAAAGACTTCTTCGAAGTGTAAAATACGAGATATAGACTGAGTACAGCTTAACATAATGAAAGCCTATAAAAAAAGGGGACCTCGAAGGCTATCTAGCTTTAAAATTTGGACAGCAAAATGCCTAGGTCAAAATCTAGGTCAAATTTATAGCATTTTCTTATTTTTACGATTCTGACACTACACTTAAATAATTTGCTTCAAAATTTTGTATACAGGTAGCAAAGAGTGTGCTTATAGTGATAGCCTTTTGCCGTCAGAAAGTATTTTGACCCACTTTTGAGATATGGTGTCCGAAATGTAGGTCAAACTAAAAAGTTAACCAAATTTAACATATGAGCTATGAAATAAGTGTAGAATTTTCTCAGGAATCTGAATCTGCAAATCAAATTCCGATCCGACATCCGGTTCGAAAGTTATGGCGTTTTGAAAATTTTGAGAAAAATCGATCTGTTGATATCCTGATAGAAAGTCAAGGAAAAAAGATTTTTTTGAAGTGTAAAATACGAGATATAGATTGAGTACAGCTTAAGATAATGAATTCCTATAAAAGAAGGGGACCTCAAAAGCTACCTAGTTTCAAAATTTGGATACCAAAATGCCTAGGTCAAAATCTAGGTCAAATTCATAGTTTTTCCTTATTTTTGCGATTCTGGCACTACACTTTTAGGATTTGCTTCAAAATTTTGTATACAGGTAGCAAAGAGTGGGCTAATAGTGTAAGCCTTTTGCCGTCAAAGAGTATTTTGACCCACTTTTGAGATATGGTGTCCGAAATGTAGGTCAAAATAAAAAATTCTCCAAATTTTACATATGAGTTATGAATTAAGAGAAGAATTTTCTCAGGAATCCGAATCTGCAAACCAAATTTCGATCCGACTTCCTGTTCCAAAGTTATGGCGTGTCCAAAAAGTAGGTCAAAATAAAAATTTAACGTATGAGTTATGAATAAGGGGTAGAATTTTGTCAGGAATCCGAATCTTTAAATCAAATTTCGATCCGACTTCCGGTTTGAAAGTTATGGCGTTTTGAAATTTCGAGAAAAATCGATCTGATGTTATCCTGATAGAAAGTCAAGGAAAAAAGATTTTTTTGAAGTGTAAAATACGAGATATAGATTGAGTACAGCTTAAGATAATGAATTCCTATAAAAGAAGGGGACCTCAAAAGCTACCTAGTTTCAATATTTGGACACCAAAATGCCTAGGTCAAAATCTAGGTCAAATTCATAGTTTTTCCTTATTTTTGCGATTCTGGCACTACACTTTTAGGAATTGCTTCAAAATTTTGTATACAGGTAGCAAACAGTGTGCTTATAGTGTTAGCCTTTTGCCGTCAGAGAGTATTTTGACCCACTTTTGAGATATGGTGTCCGTAAAGTAGGTCAAAATAAAATGAGTTATGAATTAAGGGTAGAATTTTCTCAGGAATCCAAATCTGCAAACCAAATTTCAATCTGACTTCCGGTCAAAAATTCCTACTTACCTACCTACTTACCTACTCGGCTACCTACTTAGCTACCTACTCAGCTACCTACTCAGCTACTTACTCCGCTACCTACTCAGCTACTTACTCAGCTACCTGCTCAGCTGCTTACTCAGCTACCTACTCAGCTACTTACTCAATTACTTAATCATCTACTTACTCAGCTTCCTACTCAGTTACTTACTCAGCTCTTTACTCAAGTAAATCAATCTGGAGTCTTAAATTGAACTTTGTTCAATTTACAAATCTAGTTAATATATGCTTTCATATTCGAAAATGTTCACAATGATTTTGCATAAACAAAGCTGAATGGGCAATTATTTAAAGAAATTATGGTCCCCTGGAGATTATGGTCCCCTTTCCTTACGTCCCCTACTGGCCCTGTGTATAAATAATAAGGAAAATAATTGTAATTAGGTCACCATATAAATCAATAGAGAGTAGGTATATCCCGTATAGATTTTGTTATAAAGACGTAACGTCTTTATTACCAGGTGGGGACCAGTGCAAATCATCCAACTGGCTAACTGACTACAAAGTGGTTTTAAATTATTTGGGGTTTTATCAGTTCCAATGCAATCTTACTCGTAAATTATAGTTGAAGTCCTTAACATGCAACCCACACGGTTGTATCCTTAGTTTCTTTCCATCTTTACATTAGAATTCATATACTGACTAGACTAGATCTTATTTTATCAATCAGAGCCCTCAAAAATGCACGACAAAAAACGTGGCAGAAATTTCAGCCCAATGCTTCAAGGTTTAAGAACTTCAGATCTTGGAAATACAATTGATGATTTCATTTACTGATTAGTGATCATTTACTTATTGCTATATGAATACCTGTTATGTCAGTTTACCTTTACAGGGTTCTACTCAAAATCATTATGGTGTGCATCCCTTTTACACATGCCTAGAAGATAACGACGGGAACAGTCATGGTGTCTTTCTACTAAACAGCAACGCTATGGGTAAGTCGATTTAGAAAATAAAAAATTGTGATTAACATCAAAGGCAGGAATTCAGTTATTATTATTTTTGTTTACAGCTGCCCTTTCCGATTGTTCTTAAAATATCTATATATTATATAAAGGTATGCAAAGGTTTTGTTTTATTTTATTTGATATATATTATTAGTTATATCATAATATTGCATTACATAAGTTGCATACCCAATAATTTACTAGGCGTGTCCCCTTACATAACATCCTAGCCGTAAATAAAAGTGCACATACCAGAAAGAGTGGTCCCAGGTGATTAAAGTCCCCCCAATAAGGGGGTATACAGTGTCCTGATTATTGTTTTGTTCTCCATTGCAATCAGCATGATTTGATTCAGATTACACTCTCAGTCCCGCCCCCATGCTAACTTATAGAACTATTGGAGGTGTTCTGGACTTTTACATGTTCCTTGGACCAACACCTGAGAATGTGGTGCAACAATATACACAGGTAATAATGTTATATTTTAGGTACAGGGTGAGCAAAAAATACAATCCACCTATACAGGGTGAGCAAAATCCATAATCTACAAATCCACCTCCTATTTCATCTTTAAAAACGTTAATTCATAAATTCTATGTGATAGGTGAATCAAAAGAATATTCACATATTGTGAGAGATATTTTGGACCATTTTCTAAGAGAAGGGTATGCAATTTCCCATATTTCATACATGAACGTTACCTTCAGTGCCTTAGGTTTTCAAAATTGAAGGAAAATGCTTCCTGTACACATTCAAATAAAAGCATAGCATTTCGATCCTCTTCTAATGGTTCATATTTTGTTTATTTTAATAATTTTCAGCTTATTGGGCGGCCATATATGCCTCCATATTGGAGTCTAGGGTTCCAGCTTTGTAAATATGGTTACAACAATATAGAAACGGTCAAAGAAGTAGTAGATAGAACACGAAGATATAATATCCCACATGTAAGTACAGTTTGGGAAATTATTTGATATCAAACATTAAATACACAGTACTACCATGATTTCTGAATGCTTAAACGGGAAGCATGTGAAGAATCAAATTGCACACGATGGAACGCATGTTTGCTTTAAATTGCAACAGAAACTACACGAACCACCATTGCCATAATGTCATACCCTGTTCTCATGATATATTATATTTCAAGGATGTTCAATATGTTGATATCGACCATATGGATGAACGAAAAGACTTTACTATTGACCATGTCAACTTTCCTGGGCTTAGAGAATATTTCGATCAGCTCAGAGAACAAGGGATGAGAACTATTACAATTCTGGTATGAATCATATCTGAGATGAGTATCTCACATTTCATTCATCAAAGATTCCATTTAACAATTTGAATACTTTTTTAAATATGTTCAGTCAAGTAGGCCGAGTAGGGTAAGAATTATATTTGTCTTTGATATTTTCATTTTTCACATATTATTAAATACTTCTAAGGCAAGCATCTTCACAATCATCTCTTCAAAATAGAACATAATTATTTTTAAATTCTAAAATGTTAACGTAAATGTAACGTCAATGTTCTTTTGAAAAGGATCCTGCATTGATTGTCAATGAAACAAATTATGAACCATATGAGCTGATGAAAGAAACTGATAGCTTTATACAATGGCCGGAAGACCCTCCTATACCTGAAATGGACAAGGCATGGATTGGAGGAGATAAGAATTACATGATAGGTTATGTAAGTTAAAATTGTTTGACGGATTTGTTGTTGCATCATTGATTGTATCATTGGATGCTTATGGATGGATATATAGTTAATTGGGGATTATAACGGTTGTTGTGTCACAGTTTTCAAAAATGCTGCAACTTATTCGTCCAACGCCAGACATCCGTTGGTAGCTTATAACTGCTCGTGGCCAGAAGTAATGAAATCAATGTAATATGTTATTCAGCTTAAACACATTGTCTTTCATCTTATACATGTGATGATACCTTTCAGGCGCAGTTAATATGTTAAGAGAACAATTGATGAAACATGGACTAAGTTTTTCCCTGCTTAACTCGACACCTCCCCTGTGTGACTCGTTTCTTTCTATTTAGCCTTTATCTTTTTATCCGCGTAACATAGCTGTGGTGTAATTACACCACACCATATGGCGAATTGAGATACTATATTAATAGATAATTTTGTATTTTAACCTGTCTCATGAAACATGATTTTCCTAAGGAAAAATTTGAGTGTATCATTTCTACACATTCACATCATTCACAGAAAATGCAACCGCGGTTTCGACGACTCGAGGGTCTATACAAAAATTGTCCTTGAACGATTGATGCCAAAACGTATATATTCATATTCACATCCTTCTTACATCTCATATATCTTAATAACCGTTAACTCAAAACGTGGTGGTTCGATCTAATTGCAGGTGTGGCCAAAAGGACCAGTTGCGATTCCAGATTTCATGAAAAACACCACTCACAAAGCATGGAGCCATTTGATCAAGAAACATTTTAACCATTCGCTCAGATTTGATGGCCTTTGGATTGTAAGTCTAATACAAGGAGTTGTTGTTACTATTGATTTTAATCCCTTTAGGAAATTTTAATATTTTATTAATAGATAAAAACAAGCATATACGTGCTAAGTAATAGTACACAAAAAAACATTTTTTAATGTTGTTTGTTATACATGTTTCTAAAATATCATAGCATTGTTTCCTTTCTCTAAAAGGATATGAATGAAATTGCCAGTTTTGATACGAATAGAGTGCGTCCATGGAACTGGCCCGAGAAGGACAAACCTTATTGGAACCTTATTTGTCCCAACAATAAATGGGACGATCCACCTTATAGAACAAGTAAGTGAAATGCATATAAAGACTAATAAAGCGTTTGAATACAGGATTACAAAACAAAAAAATGATCGGAAATGGCTCTGGGCAGCCTGGAGAATAAGACAAAAACAACTTGTATCTTAATTACCTTGAGGAGTGTGGACGTGGTGTCTGTTGCAACATTGATCATGCTGCGAGCCAAACAATTACAGAAACACACCTGAATTAAATTTGATAAACATGTTTATACTTCCTACTTAATATGATCAAAAGGTGTTAATTCATTGGTATAATTGGAGTTGTCATTTTATCTCTCTGAAATATGAGAGTAGCTTTCAAGAAGGCGTAGGTGACCACCGGGTGGGTTTTCATCAATATCATATTCCCCACGATGCAGACATAGGAAACTGAGAAGCTAAATTAAAACGGTCTGATTAGTCTGATTTCTCAGATTTAGGCGCCTATTTTGGAGTCACTGTCATTGGATTCGAGTATAATAAAGCCATACTTCTGAGATCTCATGATCAAAATGTATAAAATACCCATACTTGTACCCATTGCCTACAACTATTTATCGGACTTCTTTCAACCAAATGTGACGAAAATTGATTTGCTTAGTACCCCGGACAGGTTGTATGATGCAGTCGTTTTTTACTCTATATTTGCAATAGAACAACCATTCTTATTGAAATTTTCAAGATTTATTCTAGAGACAATTTCCAACATGGAAAATAAATATTTTATCAAAATTTCCAATTTTATAATTTTGACGGGCTTTTTTCAAAAACACTACACTGTCAATAAAATACAGGTTTTTGCTTGAACAATTGAACCTTTAACGTCATTTCAAATATTGTCTGGCTATTGAATTTCCAGCTGCTTAAAGTCTTTCAAGATATATCTGTTGCCATATTAATAATTATGGCTGATTATTGTTATTCACTTGAGTCATATTCAATATTATTACAGTGCATTAGGTCAATAAAAACTTGTTGCTCTGGGTCTCGTTTTGTGAAGCGTTCCCTAGATTGAGCCCAGATAGAGGAGATCAATCTTTTGTCCACGGACATGAGTTCAACCCGGTCACTGTTCAATACTGTCCAAAATGAAGTAAAACATTACGAATCTCCTATTTGAAGTATTCTTGGCATTAGATCCTTCAGAGATGTTAATACAGCTGTGTCAAATTTCATCATGAAATTGTCAGGGGGACCTGACATTTTAAAAGCATGGTACAATTTACATGCCACAGGCTTGCATGCTAAGTGACGGTGGCGGAAAAACCCAGTGGAGAAAAAATTGCGTTTTCAGAGAAAACGTGACCCAGAGTGACAAGTTCTTCATTGGCCTAATGCACTGTCATAATATTAGGCCTATTGAATATGACAAAAATGAAAAACAATAATCAGCCATAATTAATGTGGCATCAAATACATCTGGAAAGACTTTAGGCTGTCAATAATTCAATTGCTAGACAATCTTTGAAATGACGTTAAAAGTTCAATTGTTAGCAAAAACCTGTATTTTATTGACAGTGGAGTGTTTTTGAATAAAGCCTATCAAAATCACAAAATTAGGAATTTCTTTAAAATATTTGTTTTCCATGTTGGAAATTGTCTCCAGAATAAAATGTGAAAATTTCAATAAGAATGGTTGTTCTATTGCAAATATAGAGTAAAAAAATGACTGCATCATACAACCTGTCCGGGGTACTATATAGTATTATAGTTTAAATCGGACCGACGGACGAGCATTAAAGGAAAATGACAATTACTACATAATAATTCATAAATGTAATTTTGATAAATCTAGAAGCTAATGTTTTTATGCAATTACTGTGTTATGCAAGAAAGCTCAATTGGTTTGTTATTTCAGAGGCTGCATTTAATTGGGATAATAATGACCAAATGGAACGATTATCTATGAAAACAATTTGCATGGTGGGTCTCCAAGGAAACAGCCTTGAGTATAGACAATATGACACACATAGCCTGTATGGGTGGAGTCAAACTAAACCTACATTAGAGTAAGTACATTAGAGTATAGACAATATGACACACATAGCCTGTATGGGTGGAGTCAAACTAAACCTACTAAAGTAAGCACATTCGAGTATAGACAATATGACACACATAGCCTGTATGGGTGGAGTCAAACTAAACCTACATTAGAGTAAGTACATTAGAGTATAGACAATATGACACACATAGCCTGTATGGGTGGAGTCAAACTAAACCTACATTAGATTAAGTGCATTAGAGTATAGAAATATGACATACATAGCCTGTATGGGTGGAGTCAAACTAAACCTACATTAAAGTAAGTACATTAGAGTATAGACAATATGACACACATAGCCTGTATGGGTGGAGTCAAACTAACCCTACATTAGAGTAAGTACATTAGAGTAAAGACAATATGACACACAGCCTGTATGGGTGGAGTTAAACTAAACCTACATTAGATTAAGTGCATTAGAGTATAGAAATATGACACACATAGCCTGTATGGGTGGAGTCAAACTAAACCTACATTAAAGTAAGTACATTAGAGTATAGACAATATGACACACATAGCCTGTATGGGTGGAGTCAAACTAAACCTACTAAAGTAAGCACATTCGAGTATAGACAATATGACACACATAGCCTGTATGGGTGGAGTCAAACTAACCCTACATTAGAGTAAGTACATTAGAGTAAAGACAATATGACACACAGCCTGTATGGGTGGAGTCAAACTAAACCTACTAAAGTAAGCACATTCGAGTATAGACAATATGACACACATAGCCTGTATGGGTGGAGTCAAACTAAACCTACATTAGAGTAAGTACATTAGAGTAAAGACAATATGACACACAGCCTGTATGGGTGGAGTCAAACTAACCCTACATTAGAGTAAGTACATTAGAGTAAAGACAATATGACACACAGCCTGTATGGGTGGAGTCAAACTAAACCTACATTAGATTAAGTGCATTAGAGTATAGAAATATGACACACATAGCCTGTATGGGTGGAGTCAAACTAAACCTACATTAAAGTAAGTACATTAGAGTATAGACAATATGACACACATAGCCTGTATGGGTGGAGTCAAACTAAACCTACTAAAGTAAGCACATTCGAGTATAGAAATATGACATACATAGCCTGTATGGGTGGAGTCAAACTAAACCTACATTAGAGTAAGTACATTAGAGTAAAGACAATATGACACACAGCCTGTATGGGTGGAGTCAAACTAACCCTACATTAGAGTAAGTACATTAGAGTTAAGACAATATGACACACATAGCCTGTATGGATGGAGTCAAACTAAACCTACTAAAGTAAGCACATTCGAGTATAGACAATATGACACACATAGCCTGTATGGGTGGAGTCAAACTAAACCTACATTAGATTAAGTGCATTAGAGTATAGAAATATGACATACATAGCCTGTATGGGTGGAGTCAAACTAAACCTACTAAAGTAAGCACATTCGAGTATAGACAATATGACACACATAGCCTGTATGGGTGGAGTCAAACTAAACCTACTTAAGTAAGCACACACGAGTATAGACAATATGACACACATAGCCTGTATGGGTGGAGTCAAACTAAACCTACATTAGATTAAGTGCATTAGAGTATAGAAATATGACATACATAGCCTGTATGGGTGGAGTCAAACTAAACCTACATTAGAGTAAGTACATTAGAGTAAAGACAATATGACACACAGCCTGTATGGGTGGAGTCAAACTAACCCTACATTAGAGTAAGTACATTAGAGTATAGACAATATGACACACATAGCCTGTATGGGTGGAGTCAAACTAACCCTACATTAGAGTAAGTACATTAGAGTAAAGACAATATGACACACAGCCTGTATGGGTGGAGTCAAACTAACCCTACATTAGAGTTAGTACATTAGAGTAAAGACAATATGACACACAGCCTGTATGGGTGGAGTCAAACTAAACCTACATTAGAGTTAGTACATTAGAGTATAGAAATATGACATACATAGCCTGTATGGGTGGAGTCAAACTAAACCTACATTAGATTAAGTGCATTAGAGTATAGAAATATGACATACATAGCCTGTATGGGTGGAGTCAAACTAACCCTACATTAGAGTAAGTACATTAGAGTAAAGACAATATGACACACAGCCTGTATGGGTGGAGTCAAACTAACCCTACATTAGAGTAAGTACATTAGAGTAAAGACAATATGACACATAGCCTGTATGGGTGGAGTCAAACTAAACCTACATTAGAGTAAGTACATCAAAAGGCAAAGGCCAAAGGGTCGATGAAGTGTTGGTTCAATCTGTCTATTAGTAATGTTGTCATATAATGTAATCATGTTACATTTTTATTGTTATTGTAATCATATTATCCTTCATAATTCTAGTGCATTACGTGAGGCTCATGGGGGCACAAAAAGAGGACTGGTCATATCCAGGTCTACCTACCCTGGGAGCGGGGCCCATGCGGGCCATTGGTTGGGGGACAATGCCAGCAAGTGGAAGGATTTACATGAATCAGTTATCGGAATGCTTGAATTTAATTTATTTGGCATTCCTTATGTGAGTAAACCATTGCAATATATCAACTGAATTTCCAGCCAAATCTGAAAATGGAGTTAATGAAATCCACTTATAATTTTAAACTTTACGAGTTATTCTTTACTTTACATACTGCTACTGTAATTTCAGATTGGGGCTGATATATGTGGATTCTTTGAGAATTCCAATGCTGAGCTTTGCAAACGCTGGATGCAACTTGGTGCTTTCTACACATTTTCTAGAAACCATAATGGCAACGATTTTAGAGTAGGTTTCTAAGAACAGCTTTATGAATTTCAATACATGCAAATTAAGGAATATTTTGATCATTTTTTAGATTTGCTTACGTAACATAATAATTAGGGAATCTTAAAATATAAAGTACAATTACGTACCGGTAATTATTTTAGCAAAACTAATTACTTCTATCTGAAAAGTATTTTCATATATATATCTTATTATTATTTTCAAGCGTGGTGGAACAGTAAGTGAACTAACTGCAGCAAATCAGTTTTTTATATTTCCCCCTGGTAATATTAGCGTATACGTCCTTCTTCCTGTATGATTTAAACACTCAACCTACTTGAAAAAATAAAACCCCACCATTTATCTAGCTAAATCCCTACACGCCATCCAAAAGGTGTTACATTAAGTCACGTTCTCCGAAAATCACACCGATTACATAATTGTAATGCTACAAAAAGAGTACCTTACAGATGACAGGGAAGAACCTATAAACACAAACAATAAATTGTTTACTTTTCCCCGCACTTTAGATATGTGTGTATCTTAATTACAATTAATAACCATTGGTGTATCATTTAAGTTCATATTATGAATTTTCTATATTTTCATAGATTTTTATGTATCACATATTACCAGATATTGTATTTAAACACAACTTTTCTGTCCTACCCTATATAATCATACGGTTCCAGGTTCACCCAAAATCAGAACCCGTTACGTTTTATTCAAATATTTGAGGGGTTTGTTTTTTGGTCCAAACATTACAATTCTTTATATTGTTAAAATTATATATACTTTACTCAACTGCCATTATACAAATACAGGGGACCAATGTTACCCTAAGGTATTTTCATTGTCTCTTGAGTGATAAATTGTGATTTTCATTTGAATCGCACACAGTGTTTTTAGGTGCTCTTGTACTCTAGGCATACTTTTAAGGGTCTTTTGCAGAATCCTGTTCTTTGTTTTTAAATAATGTATGTTTAATATTATATTTATATCTATTTTACAATAGAAAAATGAATATAACTAAACTATGTTGTTATTTTAGCCTCAGGACCCTGGTTATTTCGGAGATGAGGTTGCCAGGATGTCACGTGAAGTGCTTGAAACGCGTTACAGATTCTTACCGTACCTATATACGCTGTTTTACTACGCCAACAGTCGTGGTGATACTGTCATTCGACCTCTCATGCACGAGTAAGTACAGATTCTTACCGTACCCTATATCTACGCTGTTTTACTACGCAAACAGTCGTGGCAATCTTATTCGACCTCTCATGCACGAGTAAGTACAGATTCTTACCGTACCTTACATCTACACTGTTTTACTACGCCAACAGTCGTGGCAATACTGTTATTCGACCTCTCATGCACGAGTAAGTACAGATTCTAACATACCCTATCTACGCTGTTTTACTACGCCGACGGTAGTGGAAATACTGTCATTCGACCTCTCATACACGAAGACTCTAAGTTAAACATTTTATTTGGAGTTATGTTGATTGACTTTATTAATTGAATATGTTTCACAAGGTTTCCAAATGATGCGAACACATGGTCAATAGACAGACAGTTTTTGTGGGGTGGAGGGTTACTGATTTCACCTATTCTGGAAGAGGTGAGAAGTAGTATTTCAATATAACAAGCTATACAAGAAATACTATATTGTACAATATTTTGTAAATGGAAGATAAAGATCAATGCTTTTTACAACTAGTTTTGGATTTTGTAAACTCCTGTACATACTTGAGGCTCATACGTGTGTATCTGTTATTTTCACAGGGTCAGAGTATTATTGACATGTATCTCCCAAAGGGTTTGTGGTATGACTATTACACAGGCGCACTCATCAAAACTGGAGAAGGAACCAATACCACTTTTGAGGTGAACTCCCTCAGTCCAATTCCCCTTCATCTTAGGGGAGGAGTTATATTTCCATTGCAGGAACCCGCTGTTACCACAACATTAAGGTACGGAGATCATGAAATTCAATGTGTTTTGTATTTATTGTTTTGCATCCTATTGTTTTGTGTGAATGTTGTGCTATATTGTATTATATTATATTATGTTATATTAGTATACTATATTAGTATACTATATTATCATACTAAAGTATATCATATTAAATTATATTATTTTATATTGTATTGTATTCTTTATTTATTTAAGTTGTACGTTTTTACATGTGTATTTACGTAATTCGATAATGTTGTCTCGTTTTAATTTAACTTGTCCATATACTGTAAACGACTTGTAGATGTATTTCAATTCATATTGATAGGTTTGATATGATGGATTTTAGAATGTGAATACATGTTTGTCATCTGTTTCAGTCGAAAAAATCCATTTTCTCTATTGGTTGCATTAGATGACAATGGACAGGCAAGTGGTGACCTCTATTGGGATGACGGGGAAAGCATTGGTATGATCCATATTTTTACCAACACTTGTGACTTTGAGGTTTAGAAATATGAAATCATAATTTAAAATATGATAGTTCGCGCGCATGGGCTTGATGCAATAACTGATTTTCTCAGGAGTTTCAATAAAATACTTTGCACATTATATTTTCAGAGCCCCTTTCCAAGGATGAATATTCCTACTTTGAGTTTGTGGCAAAAGAGGTAAGCGTTTCCATGACGCATTACGTTCACGGAGAAATATTTTATCAACATATAAGTACTTTAACTATGTAATTTCTAATCATTTTCTTTGTAGAACACACTTACTGTGACAATTGTAAAGAGTTACATACCGGATATAGAAACACTTATCATGGATACTGTGCATATACTTGGTGTTAGTGGAAATGGTATTAGGGTTACATTGAATGGTGGAGATCATAATGATGTCATCCTAGAGACACCAGAGCATCCTGGTGGGAACAATGTAGTTGTAAATACGAAGGTGAGTCAAGTTAATGGTAGAATATAACCGATACTTTGTCATCATGGCAATACAAATATATCATTCATGAAAAGAATGATTAGATAAGGCGTTCTTCTAAAAATGACAATGATAACACGGATTACCCCCATAAATATGATCCAAAGGGAATGTGTAGATATACATGATTTGTTTACTCAAAAGTTTAATCCATCAAAATTCGAACCAACCCAACTCGATACACATATCAACTCAATACATAAATCATTTATAACATATTTCCATCAAATTCCCATCATTTGATACTTAGCCAGTTGTGCATATTATTCAAACTAATTTGATTTTAAATTAAGGTTTTAAAAATAACCAGGATGAACCACCCAATGTCAAACAATCTCACAATAACCTGGAAAACTGGGGAAGAAGGGAGTGAATCAAGAATCGACTGCTGCCCAGAATTTGAGAAAAATCCACAGTGGCTTTCCAAAGATATATGTGATAGCAAAGCAGCATGTACCTGGGATGATACCAGTAACACAGTACAGGGAATACCAAAGTGTTACATATCCAGGTACTACAATACTAGAAGTAGAGGATAAATAATTTGAGAGAAAGTAAGATGAACATGTGTGATTCGATTCAATTACCATCTTCCTGTTTTCCTGTTTTCAGCCCGAACTACGGTTACAAATTCGTCTCACAAAATAAAACTAATCATGGATATGATATCAGACTTCAAAAGCGGAATGCAGTGGATACATTATATCAAGAAGATATCAAAGATATAACATTACGAGTAGAATTTAGAGGGAACAGCATTGTTCGATTGAAGGTAAAAACTCAATATGAATGCACTTTTCATAAAATTAAACAACTTGTGTTATGACATTTAATGTGTGATTACAAATTACTATCTAGTCCCGAAGAAGAAACTCATATAATTGTATTTCCAGTTCTTTGACCACAGCAATGCGAGATACGAAGTTCCTGTGGACATTTCGTTGCCATCTGAGCCTGGTAGAAGTTGGCTTTTGGAGTTCAAAATCACCAACCAGGATCCGTTTAATTTCCAAATTATTCGAAAGAGCACTGGTACTGTCATGTAAGTATATGTTATTGATAAACCAATCAAACTCTAGCTATATATTTGAATAAACATGGCAATGATGGAAATATAAAATATCTCTAATACAAAAATGTATGTATAATTTTATTTAATTCCTACTTCTACTCCTAAAGTTATCCCGAGTTAACCCGATAAGTAAAGTTATTTTTCTGTTTTTTGTTAGATGGGACACCGGTGTAGGTGGATTCACATTTGCAGACAAATTTTTACAAATTTCCACGCGCATCCCATCCAAAAACGTGTATGGTTTTGGCGAAAATTTGCATACAGATTTCAAACATGACATGAACTTTAGGACCTGGCCAATATGGGGTAGAGATCAGCCGCCAAATGATGTAGTAAGTTCTCCAAAATGTTCTCATAAATGTATACTCATAGAACACATCGATTTGTAATGGGGAGCAGTATCTACCTACAGAACCAATTGGAATTTACATACCCAAGATAGATGAAATGAAACTATGACATGTTAAAATTATCACAGGAATATAGAATGTTAGCAATACATTATGAACATTATAAACCTAATTATTGTTTTTAAGGGTATGAACTTGTACGGGACCTATCCTTACTACACCTGTATTGAGGATGATGGATTGTCACATGGGGTGTTTCTACTGAATAGCAATGCTCAAGGTAGTTTGCTTTGCATTTGGGTGATAATATCATGGGAAAACTACATGTAGCATTAGTTCCAACATATATAAAAGGCATATGTTAACTGTGATCATCTGGTAATCATGGAGATCGTGGACACCTTTTTGTTTATTTATATTATGCTACAAATTAATATTTAAGCTTTCAAAAATACATGAAGGAAACACTTGAAGCTTGGAAGCCAGGAATCAATATTGGTCTTTTGATGATGATATTATTGAAGAATCGTATCCAGCTTTGTACCTGTTTGTCTATGATAACGTTTTCGTACTACATCTAATTGTTTCATAAATTATTTCAGATTATTCCTTCACGCCTTTACCAAAGCTAACATACCGTGCTATCGGAGGTGTATTCGATTTCTACTTCTTTGCTGGTCCATCTCAAAATTCTGTACTTGAGCAGTTTACGGGGGTAAAATTATTTTTTCGATTTTGTTGCAACCCTTTTCTTTTGTATTATACAGGTTTATGCCGCTGAGTTGGGCTATAACCTTGTTCAATATATATGTTCAATTGCCATCAAAAAGATCACCCCATATTTAAAAAGTTTGCCTCATAGTCATATATTTTACCAGTGATAATACCTAGATAATAATAGAACCTTGTTTTCATCTATTGTGGTAGGATGGTATGTTTTTTTTATATTTAACTACTCACTTTGCTTAGTCCAAATACATCACTTCAAATGCAATCAATTATATCTTTAATCGAGTATATATTTTTATAGGTCATTGGTAGGCCATATATGCCACCATATTGGGCACTTGGCTTCCAGTTATGTAAATATGGATATAATAATATATCAAATTTGCAAGCTGCAGTAGAGAGAACCAGACAATATGAAATTCCACATGTAAGTATGTTTACAGTAATATGTGAACAAGGGTAATTTTAAATTCGTTTGAAACATTTGATCGCAGAACAATTTTGAACTATTTATGATATCTTTGATGCACAGTAGCCTTGTTGGGCCTACCTTGACCAAAATGTGTATCTATTACTTAGGATGTGCAATATGCTGATATTGACCATATGGAAGCTGCAAAAGACTTCACTGTTGATGACATGAATTTTCCTGGCCTCAACGACTACTTTAAAGAACTACAGTCTGGTGGGATGAAGATCATCATCATTCTTGTGAGACATACTAACATATGTAACCATATAGATATGTTGACCGATATATTTTTATTTTACAAAGAATAAGATGGAGAAAAAACCCCAAAATAAATAGAACAGTTGGGAAAACTTTACAGCCTGGAAAGTCTCTAATCTCCTAAAACTTGATGATGATAAGTTATATAGGCTACAGTGTATTTTTGAATTGCTTACAACATGTTCAATAAACTTAATTGTTCTATATAGGATCCTGCTTTTACAACTAATGCGACAGATTATGAACCCTATGAGTTAGGACTTGAGAATGACATCTATATCAAATGGCCCGAAGAAAGGATCCCACAGGAGGATTTTGTGGTCACAAATAGCTCGGCTATGCTTGGATATGTAAGTAATCTTAAACACATTTATTTTCGATTTATATGTCTAAACTGCCTTCTCACCAATAAGAATACTACGCTGTATGTAATACTTGTACTTGCAACTTCTGTTGTTAGGTTTGGCCCCAAGGTAAAACTGTTTTCCCCGATTTCTTCTTGAATCGCACAGAGGTTGTGTGGACAGACCTCATCGTAAAACACCATAACCAAAAACTTGTTTTTGATGGTCTCTGGATCGTGAGTAATTTATTAAGCTATGTAACGAGATATTACGTTTTCTCGAGTATCAGCGATCACTTGTTTTGTATTTGTTTTCTAATCGGTAGATGTTTTGTTCTGGAATTAGAAATTAAGTACATTTTAATCATGATATCTCACTAATTGCAGTGGTCATTTTACTTTTAGATCAAATTTTATTCAGCCTCTAACCTTGCGCTTGTTTTTTTCCAATATGGTGTCATGCTCTTTCATTTCAGGATATGAACGAACCAGCCAATTTTGGCACTAATGAGGATAAACCATGGAATTGGCCTGTTGGCGAACCTGCCTGGAGCTTAAAATGCCCAGATGACGAAGACCCTCCATATATGACACGTATGATATTTGAAAACTGAAATATGGGGGAAAAGTAGAATACATTTGCTTCAGGAAATCACAGGAAAACAACTACATTGCATAGAGTTTTGGTGATTTGAAGATAATATAATAATATGAATATTTCATATGAATATAAATGAACATTATCTACTGATATTCCGATGCGATAAAAAATACAATAGCCGTAAATAACTATTGAAACCATTTCTTAAAACCGTATCCAAAATGAACTATTTGTTTTCAACCTTTAGGAGCAGCATACCACTTTGATTACAATGATAACACTAAGAAGGGAAGACTCTCTGATAAGACACTTTGTCTCATTGCTAAGCAGAAAGATGGACAGTATGACCATTATGACGTACACAATCTTTACGGACATAGCCAAATAAAGCCAACTTTGAAGTAAGTAAGACACATTAACTGTGATATAAATATACAGTTGTGCAATATGTTCAACAATATGCCATCTCAGTGAAATGAACACTGCCCCTGACAAGAGACGTCCTTAGAAAATATTGAATAACTTCTTATGGAACAAACATTTAGTAACATATCACAACACAAAAATGATACTATTCTATCAATATCCTTCAAATCAACCAAAAGGCAATGCTATTTAAAATGGGAAACTACGAACGCTGTACGGTTGCCGTAGCTCAAATGTGACTAAGGCATGAAATATTATTTTACAGTGCCATACGGAAGGCTGTTGGCGATGATAAACGGAGTTTAGTTGTTACACGATCAGCGTTCCCTGGTAGTGGTGCAATGGCAGGGCACTGGTTGGGAGACAACGATGCAAATTGGAATGATTTGAGATATTCCATCATTGGCATGTTGGAGTTCAATCTTTTTGGCATTCCCTATGTGAGTAGAAGTGAAAATTGAAAATTGTTGTTTATCCACAAGTTGGTTCATCAGTGATGGTCGAATTAAACGGTAATATCAGTTTACCACAATTTTATTATTACTTTTTATGAAACGAAATCAAAATTAGTTCCTATGATAGGTTCCTTTTAACATCGAATATTTTATTCAAACAGGTCGGGGCTGATATTTGTGGATTTTTTAACACACCAACGCCTGAGCTATGCGGCCGTTGGATGCAGCTTGGAGCTTTTTACCCATACTCTAGAAACCATAACCACGAATCACCTCCGGTAAGTCAATCTTTTTAATTACCCCCTTCTTTATAATTATACTGCAATCATAGTGGATAATAGAGAAAGACTACCAGTATACCTTGCTTCTTTATTGTCTCATGCTCACTTGAGATTCGTGGACACAAGCATTCTGAATATCATTTTGTATAATATGTCTATTCTTTCCCTTTGGATTTATGATTGCGATGGATGTATGATGGATTTACCTCAGATCGATATATTTGATGTGATGTCTCTTTTCAGCCACAGGATCCGGGTTACTTTGGCGAAGAAGTTGCCCGAATGTCACGTGAGGCTCTAGAGACTAGATATTCCCTTCTACCGTACCTTTATACCCTGTTCGAGAGAGCCCACACTACAGGATCCGCTGTAGTCAGGGGCATTATGTATGAGTGAGTATCCATTGTAACAACTGGGGAAACAATGAGCATTTTAAAATGTAAGACATGTATTAATGGTCAATACTTATGTACTTCTTATGCTTATGTTGCAGATGGCCAGATGATAAAGAGGCTCTTGCCATTGACGAGCAGTTCATGTGGGGACCATCTCTACTAATTTCTCCAATATTATACGAGAAACAAACTTATCTTAAATTATACGTTCCTAAAGGGCGCTGGTATGACTTCTACTCTGTGAGTATGTTAGTAATTAAAGTAAGAAGGTTGCACTAATTGGTGTAAGTCACAATAGGTGTAAGAGGCTTCGTATATTGTTCATTAACGACTCGACTGTAGAGTATGATATTACTTCGATTCACGATTGTAGCATTAATGTTGAGTAAATAAAACAACAACTCATATTCAACCCAGGCATGGACCTCTAATAGAGGTGAATGACCCGGGCGAAATGACGGACTTTATTTAGTAGAGTAATATATTTGGGAGCGGGAATATGGTAGTGGGCGACTAAAGAGTTCACGTTCGCGATGTGAGAATCGTGGTTCGAGTGTAAGGAACGTAGTTCGCGAGGTCAGAACTAATGTTCACGTTGGTGGAAGTCTAGGAGGCTTAGCTTGTAGTAGAAGAAACATGTTTCAAATTATAAAACTGGTGATAGTTTCTGATTTTAGTACCGCAATATTTCTCTGATTCCACTATCTTCACGCATACATAAGTCATAAGGGTTATGTACTGGGAGGTTTTGGATACAGGGTTTATCCCAAGGGAAATATGTGTATCTCACGAGGGACAGCAGGGACCGAGGGAGATACACGTATTTCCCGCGGGATAAACACTGTATCCAAAACCGACCGTACATAACTGGTGTATCTCATACTTGAGTGGGTTTGGGGTAGATATAACCTTTACCACCTTTTTCAAATGACAAGATAGGCCTATACTGTAAAAGCTCAATTTATATTTAACATTTTCATAATATTCCTTCAGTTTAATACAATAGAATTGTAACATTTAAACTTTTTGAAAAATGTTAAACTTCTGAAATTTAAATTTTTAAACTTTTGAAAAAATTCCCGGGAGCGGGATGGATATATTATATCTGCCCGCATTTGGCCTGGAGCGGGACATATACAATATATCCTGCCCGCTCCTCAGGTATGATAATATTCCCGGGTGATATCTACCCCAAACCCACTCAAGTATGAAATACATGTTTATATGTTGTTTATTATGTCAGTATCCGGCGTTTATAGGGCGGTGTCATGCCTTACAGTGGGGATTTCTACTCAATGGAGGTCAACAGTACAACCAAAATTCCATTACATATTCGAGGTGGCTCGATACTTCCAACCCAGGAACCTGCAAATAATACTCATTTTAGGTAATATGAGTGTTTTGTGATTAAATCGAACGAGCTAATTGATAATCTCACTTCGAATCACATTTCAATGTGTTATAACTCAAATTTTTGCTTTAGTCGAATGAACACCTTCGGTCTCAAGGTGGCGCTGAGTGATTGGGACGACGCATTAGATGGTATGGCAAGTGGTCAACTAATGTGGGATGACGGTCAATCGATAGGTAATTACAATCCGTATCAGAATCAACTTGCCAACTAGATGGCATTATGAACCTGATTAATTAAGCTTGAGTGTTGGCCGATATTAAGTCTGATCAAATCTGCTTCAAGTTAAAAAACTGTTAATTGTAAATCCTTTGAGGAACAAATGAATGATGATTGATCAGGAAGATGGTTTTTATGTCATCATTTTTTGTGAGCGGTGTTCGACGTCTGTAACAGGGTCTATAACAAATGGCGATCGGCGTCTGTAACAAATGGCAGGTGATGACATTTTGCAAGTTGATGTCTTGTATATGATTTATTCAAATCCTTATATTTCCAGATACATTTGAAAAAGGAAATTATTACCATGCTGTTTTTACTAGTGAAAGGGTAAGAGAGATTTGAATATAATATTTAAGGGGTGATTTGTGGTGCTGCACACATGTCGATATATTAACAAAAATGATAAAAATAAAGACATTTTGATAGAAAACCGTCCAAAGCAAACACACATTCTATGGCAAACAAAAGCGTGTCTAACGATCTACCATATGCCATTCAGGGACCATTATATCACAATCCAAAATCAAAAGTCAATGTTTTATTTCATCATATAATATGTTGAAGAACAATCATGAAAATAGACCGATCCTACGATATGAATCGCAATATAGTATTTGCCTGGCTACAAATGATGTACCAGTATGTTATATTACAGAAACAAAAGAACGTTAAAATGAGCATTCAACACAATGGGTTATCAAACATGGACGCACTAAGATTATCAAGTATAGATGTAATGGGGGTGAGAAACAGCTATCCACCACAATTCATCTATATAAACAACACCCAAGAGCATAAGAATTTCACTTATGATGCAGACAACCAGGTAGGCATATGAAAAAACAACATAAGATTATGGAGTTAAAAATTGTTGACCAGGGAAGCAGATCTGCCCTTAGTTGAGACTTGTACACATGATATTAATTCGTAGAATTCGAGATTAAATTGCGGTTGGTTCCTAAAATCGTTTTATTTTTACTTAGGTACTACATATAGCAGATTTAGATCTCTCGATGGGTTATGACTTTGAGGTGTCGTGGAAAAGGGACAAGTTGACTACGCAGGATGAGGCAGAGCGGTTGGATTGCTTCCCAGAAGCATTCAGTCACGAGAATGACGTGGGCCAAAGCAAATGTAAAGCGAGGGGATGTATTTGGGAAAAGAATACTGACATCTATAGAGTTCCATGGTGCTATCTACCAAGGTAATTGAGGTCAAATTAAGATATATCAAGTAACATGAAAAAATTGATGCAGCATATATCATGTCTGTATTATTGTGGCTATGTCAGTAGTGTAGCTGATGAAAATTTCATGCAAGATATATCATGTCTTCATGTGGCTGATGGAAAAGTTGATGCAACATATATCATGTCTTTATTATTGTGGCTATGTCTGTAGTGTAGCTGATGAAAAATTTGAAGCAAGATAGCAAAAAGTAGATGCAACATATATCATGTCTGTATAATTGTGGCTATGTCAGTAGTGTAGCTGATGAAAATTTGATGCAAGATATATCATGTCTTTATTGTGGCTGATGGAAAAGTTGATGCAACATATATCATGTCTTTATTATTGTGGCTATGTCTGTAGTGTAGCTGATGAAAAATTTGATGCAAGATAGCAAAAAGTTGATGCAACATATATCATGTCTGTATAATTGTGGCTATGTCAGTAGTGTAGCTGATGAAAAATTTGATGCAACATATATCATGTCTGTATAATTGTGGCTATGTCAGTAGTGTAGCTGATGAAAAATTTGATGCAAGATATATCATGTCTTTATTGTGGCTGATGGAAAAATTTGATGCAAGATATATCATGTCTTTAATGGGGCTGATTTTCATTTGCATATTTATTGTAGATTAGATTATGGTTACACCGAAACAGACCGGAATCCAACAACCAATCCGACAGGTACCATTTACAGACTCGAACGTAAAAGCAATATGTCAATGTTTGGTGGAGATATAGATGTGATAAACCTTAAAGTTGAAGAGACAACAGACACAATGATGAGATTCAAGGTACCGATGGAGTTATAACTGATCATTTTAAGATAGTGGTCATTAATAAAGTTCTATACAGGGTGTCCGGAAAGTAAAGATACAAATGCTCTAATTTCAAGAGATTTACCTGTTATGAGATGAAATTGATCCAGAATGTAAAATAACATTATAACAATATATCCTGCAATTGTCATGACTTTCAGTTTCAAAATGAAAAAGTTATGGTTGTTATGGTAACGGGAGTCGAGGGTAAGTGGAGGAACGTCACAACTATGTTCTACAAATCTCTTTCCTACTCATATGATCTTGGCACTCCACCATCTATTCCTATATTATATCAAATTATGTACCACAACAGCATAGGGATTAGTAATGTAACATTATTTGATCATTTCATATTACTGCTATCATTGAATATTCAGTATTTTCCCCATTATCTATACATTCTTGGTGCATCTTGACCAGCGGTTCAAAGACCTGACAAAACCGCTGCTGTCCATCTCTCAGATTGCTGATAACGTTGGCTTCCAGCTGAGTCTAATTTGTATGTTGACCTTTTTACAAATATTGCTTTCAAATGGTCATTAAGTCTAAATAGGCTTTATCAGGTGAATATGGGGCATTGTATAGAAAGGTTTAATGCCAAGACACTCCATTGTAAGATTTGTTTTTTGCTTTGTGAATTGGTGCATTGTGGAGATGCAATATTGAATTTCCTACTAATGGCCAGGGACCATTCTTCTAGGCACTTGTATAATATTTCTTTCATTATACTGGTATGTGACATAACATAGTTCTGATATGTAGCAATGACATCATTATATAATAGAAAACACTATGGCAGCAATAATACAATGATGAACAAAAAAAACAAAGATAGAAAATACAACAAAAACACTGTTTCAAATGGTTGTCTTTTAGCAATTTTTCACTGTTTAGCGTTGTTCTGGAACTGCTCCGCATACCCCTCACATCCGTAACCATAACAACCGTAACTATAACACATTAAGACTATATGTGATGAAAGTTGGTAGATATATTGTAATATCTTTCCTCTACAATTTGTAGCAATTTCATTTCAAAAAACCCAAATTTATTAAAATAAGAGCATTTGTATCTTTACTTTCCGGACACCCTGTATGTACATTTGATGCATCTGATTGGTTCAAAAAGGCTTTAGGCATATTTAGTGACAGATTGGACAAGTATTATCTATGTGAATGTGACGAACAAAACAAGTCAAGATATTTCAAACATAGATTGTGCTTTTAAATAACATGCTTTTCTACCGACTCCTTTATAAATGCACGAAGCAATTTTATTTCAGTTCTTTGATCCCAATGAAAACAGATATGAAGTGCCTATACCTCTGAATATACCAGCGGGGTCTGCAACAAATCCTTTATATGAATATGAAGCGGCTACAGAAAACAATGTCTTTTCTTTGAAAATTAAACGTAAATCAACAGGAAATGTGATGTAAGACATGTACATGTATTTCGACTGATCTATTTGATGTATTGTAACGGTATACAAGTCTGTTAACTACATATCGTTATTGATTTCATTTATTTCGAATAATTATATTATATATTTGTAGTTTTTTGTAATTGTGTTCCAGATGGGATATGGGTATAGGTGGTTTTACATTTGGAAATCAATTTTTACAAATTGCAACACGTTTACCTTCTACAAATGTTTATGGTTTTGGAGAAAACCGCCACTTTAGTTTCCGTCATGACTTGGATTTCCAAACGTGGCCGATGTTCGCGAGGGATCAAGCTCCTGGATGGGGGGTATGTAACATACATATAATTCCCCTTTTGTGATACAGTGTTACCGATTGAGTATACATAGTGTGCTGTTTGTAAAATAATTTTTGTAATGACACATATGTCATTTTGAATTCCAGGATTATGGTAATCTTTATGGGGTGCACCCATTCTATACATGTGTGGAAGATGAAGATGGGAACACACATGGTATCCTACTTCTTAACAGTAATGCCATGGGTAAGTTGTTATCAATATCATTAATTAGTGATATAAGTATTATGAATATTTAAAAATTATGAAATAAATTAGCTTAATTCAATACAAAAAGTTAAATATGTTATAGAGTTGCTAGATAATGCATTATTTTGAATCCCAAACAAATGTTTTGTAGAATATAAGTTCCAGCCCGGGCCAGGATTGATTTATAGGACTATCGGAGGCATTCTGGATTTCTTTGTTTTCATGGGACCGTCTCCTGAACAAGTCACACAGCAATATCATCAGGTTTGTTAGTATTTTAGGAAAAAATGATGATCCATTCGGGACTCACTCCAACAACATCGGGTGGCAACAAGAATATAAGACCACCATCCTCTATTCATTACCAACATTTCAGATTGTAAAAATCTCATCAGACATAATATTTTGTTTTTAGCTGATAGGAAAACCTTACATGCCACCATATTGGTCGTTGGGGTTCCAGCTGTGTCGCTATGGTTACAACCACATTGACAACATGAAAGCTGCAGTTCAGAGAACCATAGATGCAGGGATACCATTCGTAGGTTTTATAAAGTGGCATCAAAGACCACAGAGCGTAAACTTCTAAGAAACCATACCAAAATACATGCCAGTTTTCGCTAAGTGAAAAGGAAAGCTAATCTCAGCTCTTGTCCCTTTGTTGTTGCTCCTTAAATATCACTAGGCTTCTTTAAAATACAATTCTGTTAAAGTGATGGTAGATGTGTAATTGCTCAAGATTAACACCTATTTCATTTAAAGTAATGATGTGTGCAAAAACTCTACTTCATCATTTGTTTTAGGATGGTAGTATTTTACATAACAAGCATGCTTATGCGTTCTTTCAATAGGATGTGCAATATGGTGATATAGATCACTTTGAAGAACGAATGGATTTTACATATGACAAAGTGAACTTTGCTGGTCTTCCTGAGTATATTAGAGACATCCAATCCAAGGGAATGCGTTTCATCATTATTCTTGACCCTGCTATAATAAGTAATGTGACTGGCTATGTTCCCTATGAAGATGGCTTAGACAAGGACGTCTGGATCAAGTGGCCCACTGGAACAGCACCAAATGACACATTTCATATTGATGACAACATGAAAGGCTATGTAAGTCGTAATTATGCACGTGTTAAGCTGGAAACACGTCCATGCTTTGTTTTACGCACAATGGGAAAGTTTGGCACAACTGCATTTTACCGGGATGATGATTTCAGGAATGTTTAGGACTATTACGTGTTTCGTTTGGGTCATTGTGGTTGTACACTATCTAACCGAACTTATTTCATTCTAAATTTTTAGGTTTGGCCAAAGGGCCCTACAGTTTTTCCCGATTATTTCAAACCTGCGACTAAAGATTGGTGGAAGGAACAGTGTCAGGCACATCATGACGAAATTCCCTTCGATGGACTTTGGATTGTAAGTATAATTCATTCAATCTTTGATACACAGTTTAACGGAATGGAAAAAAATAAACGTGTGTACTAATAGTCTAATACTAACTATATTACTCAGGTGTATACAGTGGACTATCAATACTATATATACAGTATATATCCATTGCATTATGATTCATGGCTAAGGTGAGAACAATTTTACATTTGATAAAAGCTAACGAAAATAGATGCTGCTTTAGTTTTCTTGTTCTTAATAACCTCCCATCATGAAGGATATTTTTTATTGAAGGATATGAACGAACCTGCTAATTTCGGTACAAATGATGAAAGACCATTTAACTGGCCCGAAAAAGACATACCGTATTGGAGCTTAAAATGTGCCACCAACAATCTTGATGATCCACCATACAAACCAAGTAAATCACAAAATAGTTTAATTTCAGTCATTGATCTTAGGTAAAATTTAAGTAAGTATTAAATCCCCGTATAATGTTTGAAAATATGTTTTTATCATTCATTTACTATTTGTCATGACTTTAAAAGTTATTTTAGAGATTTTCCGAAAAATACATTTTTGAAAAAAAAGTTGTCAGCTTTTCGTTTCTCAAATATTAAAATTTCCCGCCATTTTTCAAAAGAGTTGAAATTGTTAAATCATCAAATATTCCGTCATACACTTCAAAAATATTATATTTTAACACCTATGCAAAGATTGAACAAAGAACACACTATTTCAGTAGCAAAATGCCATATCGAACGTGCCACTTCAATGTTTTAGCATATCAAAAATATTTTGCAACCAGAGTGATGTCTTCGATGACTCACTCAGGTGGCAAAATAATTTATGAATTTTTTTTTCTATGTCAATCTTTTCTAAATATGCTAAACTTCAAATTAAATCAACGCCGAATGTCTAACCAGGTTAAACGGACGAACATATTATGTTTTAGATATTATTGTACCATTGGTATCTACGAGAACTAAAATTTTGAAATGCATTTTTCTCTGAACCATTTTCATGGGTTGAGTTCATTTCTCGCTTATTAATGAACCGATTTTCTTCATTTTTTCTGCAAAAAGCATGTGAGGGTATGAATTATTGCTTATTAAAAGATACGTATACCCTCTAAAAGTTAGTTTCAAAGAAACTCACGATTTTTCGAACAAAAAGTCCTTCAAAAACCAATTTTTGAAATTAAAATAAAAAGTTTCACATATCAGACTTTGATAACATTGGGTAAGACTACAATATAAGCCAAAGTGGTTTAAACTTTATATGGGGACTTTAAGCGGAATATTAAGTAAAGTGAACTATAAGATTGAATGTGTAGAATAGCCAAGCAATAGAACCATTTCCTGGAGGCCATTCTTAAGTGTTTTATTGCAAATGCTCCATTTGACGTTGGGTCCTGTTACATATGAATCTAAACCAGTCATTATGCAAGCTGACAAATATTTAGTAATATGTGCGTTTATAAAGTATTCAATGTGTTAATTCAGGAGCTGTTTTTGGTCCTCGACTATCAGAGAAGACACTTTGCATGGTTGGTCTCAGTGAGGGTGGGTTGACACAATATGACGTGCATAACCTCTATGGTTGGAGCCAGTCAGAACCAACACTAACGTAAGTTGTTATATGTTTGCCTAATAATAACAATGACACATTCCAGTTGAGACATACTTAAGGTTTCTTCATGTTACTTTGTATTCCCAATTTTGAGCTACAAATTATTTCATTTTCCAATTATAAGAGCACTGCGAAGTTCACTGACAGGGGAGAGAGGAATGGTCATATCTAGGTCAACATATCCCAGTAGTGGTAGATACGCTGGTCATTGGCTGGGAGATAATGAAAGCAAATGGTCCGACCTTTATGATTCTATCATAGGTAAATATAACATGGGTATCACACTATGCGCAATTTCTTGTTAATCGCTCTCAGCCTGTATTGTAAAATGTCTCCGTTTTATAGTGTTTTCCTACGATTAATATGTGTTTGCATATTTTTATTTTTAGGGATGTTAGAATTTAATCTCTTTGGAGTTCCATATGTAAGTATTTGTATATTCAGTTTCACTTCGATACTTAATAAATTATACCATTCCAAATCATATGTGACATATTGCCCAATGTTCACAAATCATTCTTCCTTAAACTACAGGGTGGTAAAAATAAATGGAAACCCTAATACCATTTTCCTTATATCTTGTACATCATTCAATTTGCTACCAACCTACTGTATTTCATGACCATCATATTGATAGTCACAATGTTACAGTACTTTAAAGAACATGCCCCGTGGCCACTATTGCGTTGTGGGGAAACCTGTACTCCTCGTCTAAAATGTCCCTACCTGTGGGAATATGGCAGAGATAGAGTATATGGGAATGACCTCAGGACAATTGCAAACCTCAAAAGTGAGATAATTTGTGTATTCAGGCCATACCTGCTGAGGAATGCATTCAGGTCATTGACAACTGTGCTGTTTTGCCTACAGCGCGATAATGGCCAAATCTGAAGCATGTTATTCAAAGTGCTGTAAATTTGTGACTATCTGATGGTCATAAAATATGGTAGGGTGGTAGGAAATTGAATGATGTACAAATGTGTGAAATATCAGGGAGTAAATCCTTAAAGTGACAAAGATATAAGGAAAATGCAGGGTTTCCATTTTTTGACCACCCTGTACATCAATCTAACTAAAATAAAATTACATTCAAGATTGGTGCAGATATATGTGGCTTTTTCGCCGAGGCCACCCCAGAGCTGTGCCAGAGGTGGATGCAACTAGGAGCATTTTATACATTCTCAAGGAATCATAATGGTTTAAATAATAGGGTATGTCTATACTATTCTAGTACATGAATGGGTATCTCAATCTTTAGAGGCGTTTCTAAGACTCGTACATCACCCTTTTTGAGGAACTCTAATAAACAATGAATCCATTTCGGTAACATGCTGGCAATCCCTAATACAAATGCGTAATTGTACCGTATACGTATATCATATGACATAACACGATACCATATCATGATATGATAGTACACATTAATCAGTTACAATATAGAAAAAACACAGTTTATCATTCATAATACCATATATATAATGATATAGAACCAAACGTTATAAAGATTGTTTGTACGAATTACCTACATTTTAGGCTCAAGATCCAGCAGCATTTGGTCCGGCTGTGGCAGAATCTTCCAAGAAGGCTTTGGAGGTCCGCTATACACTACTTCCATATCTTTATACGTTGTTTTATGAAGTGAATCAAAATGGCGGAACAGTTATAAGACCAGTAATGCACGAGTGAGTCCTTTATATTTTAAATTATGAAGACACAAAAGGTCAAGATGAGTGCAACCTGATTGTGTGCCTTATTGATCCTGTCTTTGCAATTTCAGGAGAACCGCTCATTAAATCTTCTTTAAACAATATCAAGTTCTGCTGATGGTTGATTAAGTTTTGGATGGTCATCTTGAATCATGGTGGCCATTTTGGATATTTCTTAATTTTTCTTGTTTTGTGGTGTTGCTTTCGTTGGCATTGTTCTTTGTTAAAATTTATTAATGAATATTTATTTTAGGTTCACCCAAGATAGAACTACCTTGGGTATAGACAGACAGTTTCTTTGGGGACCATCAGTGTTGATAACTCCAGTCCTTGAACAGGTATATTCATGTCAAAAGTTCTTGCTTTTTAATATCATTTCTACAAAACATGTACGGCAAAAAAAGAAAAACATTCCAATTCCAAAAGATAATGATATTTGATATGTTTGGTAGAGAATAAAGTGTCATAAATATAAATCTCCATTTGTCGAAGGGTAATTCGATATTGATACGTTGGGTTCTACGTTACAGATTGACTCTCACATGTTCATATATTGTAGGGGAAAACAGATGTATCCGGCTATTTACCCAATAGCAGATGGTTCGACTACTACACGGTAAATTGTTTGAGCAAAAATGTGAAATTCTGTGCCGACAAGTCATTTGAAAAAGTACTTTCATAGCATGTTGCAGATTAAAAAATGTAATTCCTATCTTTTAAGTTTTCCTATCATACTACTTTATACCATATTCTAGGGAAAGGAAGAAGATAATGTCGGTCGTTATGTTACCTTTGCCGCCCCATTAGACCATATACCAGTTCACATTAGAGGTGGATATATCATTCCCACTCAGCTACCAGCCAACAACACACATTTCAGGTAATCACCAAAAAACTAACCAGTAGACTTGTTTAATTCTTTTTAGACAATTGTAATTTCCACACAAATAAGAAAAAGAGCCCTATTACAGATCTAGCTCATGATGACGCAATTACATTGTGGTTCAAATGGCATTCTTTTTGTGAAATGTTGCAAATTTTGTTCCAGTCGTTTGAATCCAATGGGTGCAATAGTTGCACCTGATAGTAAAAATGAAGCTAACGGGAAACTGTTTTGGGATGATGGAACAACGATAGGTATGTTTATCTTTAACAACTTTTCAATTCACCTTGACAATGATATGTTTTAGCTTAACGTCATTGTTTATGTCATTTACGACGATTCGAATTACTTCATGAAATTTCAGTATGTACAACTTGTTTTGTTCAACTTCTTATGATATGTTTTAGATACAGTTGACAATGACAAATATTATCTCGCCTCCTTCCTCTACTCATCAGTAAGTATACAATATGTGGCTGTCATGTTCATTGTTTCGATAATTTTATGCCACAATTAAAGATTTTGAATTAGCAGAGAAGATGAGAGATAAATTAGTTTAAACTTTTAATTAATAACAATACAGGGAACGTTCGATCATTTCATCAACAGTGGCACATGATGTTTTATTCAAAATTACACTAGCTTTATACTCATAGGATATATTTCCTTTCACAGTCAATTAAAGCTAGTGATGATTGTATGTGTTGTAGAACTCTTTCGAAATGAATATCAACCATACAACAACCATACCCACTGTCAACTTTGAATATCTTAGGGTGTTTGGTATTCAGAACATTCCAACAAATATGCAGATCAATACCAACATACCGCATGACATTTTTGAATATGATTCCGATACAAAGGTGAGTTTAGTCAAAGTCATCTTATTTCGGTCGGTACAAATATTAACTATTTTCATCAATGTTATACTGTTACGTACATTACATTGTTTTTGATATGTTTGAAACAATAGGTGTCGGACTATGATATTATATATATTGATATTTATATTTTAGGAACTCTACATTCAGGATTTAAATCATACGATGAGCTCAAACATTAAAATCACATGGGACTAACTGCTATCGCACCATATCATGACACATCCGCAGCTGCCGAGACATAATGGAGATTATTATCATATAGGAGCTGTTTAGATATTAATCAATTAATTGATATTAATGAAACGAAGGATTATGATAGAATAATAAGAATGTTCATAAAGAACATATAACATTTGCAAAAGATATATTATTTAATATTAGGTATATTCATCAATTACAAATGACTGTTATACAAGTATCATTTATGTTCTAGTTGAGTGTTCTAGTTTTTGTAAGCATTCTTGTGTAAATATGAAAAGGATATATTATATTCATAACTATCACTATTTCTATCCATTCGTTATTTGTTCCAATGTGTATTTTAATATTTCAATATACATAAAAACGTCCATGTTTTTATTTGGTGATTCATTTAAAGACATAAAGTATGAAATACCACGAAGGATCATGTAGTAAGAAAGGCTATCGTGAACCTTTCTATAATCCTGGATAATTACATAACTGTTTTACAGCACAGATTTTTCAGCAGTTGTTGTTTCGAATACGGGTGAGGTAGGGATATCGTTAGCAGGACCATCTGGCTCATAAGAATGATTAATAAAAACGGGTTGAAAATTTAAAGGAGACTCCTCATTACGTTCTGATTTCACAACATTTATAGGAACTGTAGTTGGGCGATCGAGTACTGGATTGGAAAACAAATCTGGTTGGTTAACAATCGAACATGCATCTTTAGACAGTTTCTTGGTCGAAGACGTGACCTGTAGTGGGACGCTCTCAGTCCAAGAGTCGACTGATTGTCCACTTCCTACACGTTTATCTCTATAAGAATCGTCATCATATGTTTTTTTATACTTTGCCACGAAATCTCCATCAACTCCAGGTTCTTTTCTCATTGCTGTTTTTGATGAATCAGTAAGTCTTACAGCGTTGAATCGCTGAAACTTGGGATTCTCCACAATTGCCACAGATGTCAATGCCAAATTTCTCTTCCTGTAAGAAAATGAGAACAGAATCACAATGATGTTACGTAAAATGCCTCTTTAATTAGGAAACTCATCCTTCCAGATTTCGGATGTTACACAAACTCGCATTCAACTGCGTCTGTAATGAACGAAGCCCAAACCATTCATTATGTTTGAGTAAAACTAGATAAATAGGTTCAATATCATATTTGTCAAGTTTCGATATTATTGCTTGTGAAACACTAAAGAACTCACCTCTTGTATATGAATATACTCGCTGCTAATATAATCACAATCAACACACAACAACCAGCTACAGAGACCCCTATTGTCAAACCTATTCAAAGTATAATTTAAAAAATACAAAGAATAATTAATTGGGGCCTTTGAGGTAGGCTGAATAGCTTATCTGGTCAATTTATTGCTTAACGTTTCAGATAGATGGCAGTCAAAGTAGAAAATATTGGGCTCTATCTACCCTAAAAAGAGCCCTTTGTCTATTTGGATGAGAGTCAACTTCGAAGAATAGCATAACGCATATTTTAGCCAACATTATCGATATCAATTTCATTATTATCTCAATAATTTAGAAGGATACAAATGATACAACAATCACTTTATCAAACAATGTACACAATGTTATCCTTACCAAGAGGCCAAGGCTTTCTACGGTCACCTACATTAGCAATCTGCCCCGATCCACTTATATTTAAGGATATTGTTGCAGGATAAGAGTAACGTGTATTATCAGTTTCCGAAGTCTTGGTCAATTCCAGAAATGCCTGTGTGGACAAATCGTTCTGATGAGTACTGATAGAGAACTCTGTCCTTGCGTATTTTGTTGATGAGTGCTCCGATGTATTGATCGCTAGTTCCGACGATGTCACTGCCTGATTAACAACTGCTGGTGTTGATGTGTGTGAAGTCGATACGACGTCAGTTAGAACTGTCAGTGGTTTGGTTATTAATATAGATGTCTCTGTTGTTTTGGATTCGGGTAGACTATGGTTAGATACCAACGCAGTCGACAGTGTCCGTGATTCTGTTACAACCACAGTATGAGTAACTTCTGAAGATTGTGATGGTACAATAACATTATTGTCAAATGTAGTCGTGGTAGTTGTGGCATTTATAGTCACAGTTGTGGATTGGTTGGATTCATTTGTGTCATTTCCTGAGCTGGGTTGTGCAACTTCCTCTACAGTTGTCGTCAGGTTTGGACTAACAACTGTTGTTTCATTATGAGAGTAGTTTGACTGATGATGATCAACACCGACATATTCTGTTGACATTTCTGAAATAAACCAATCATAATCAATGGTTCATTAATTAATCAGCGTTCAACCTTAAGGAAAAGTCAAATTTATTTGAAAATCAGTAAACAGTATCCGTGATAACTTTGCTCCAATGAATAAAAAATCGTGAAAATTAAAGGCACTGATAATGCTTATTATAGAAAGATGTCTTGCCTGCGATATCATCTCTTACTTGAACAATAAGAGACGTGGAAGAGGTGCCATAAAACTGGTTGTTCATCAAATATCTATAATGTTGTGATCAGTTTTCTAGTATTTTATAATAAACATTGATTCGATCGATGTGGTTCGCTGCCAAGTATTATTTCAATATTTGATACCATCAGTCATTATTCAATGCAAGGATCATCATCAATAATATTTGATTGGAGTTTGATTTATTACACGCTGTATATGTACCTGATTGCATCTGCCTTTGTAAATAACTTGTTTGTTATTCTGAAAGTTAGGGTTACTTCATTTGATGTATCGTTTGTCGCAATAAATAAATTAAATAGAAAACAAAGCTCAGACAATTACAAAACCGTAGTAAGAATGCAGATCACGATGACAGATTATATAGAACTAGTTAAAATATTGCATTTTTCACAACTGAGGTTATAAACTGATAGCTCGAATTTCGAATTGTGCGAAAATCACAACCTCTTAATCCTTGTACAGGATTTTCTCGGGTTTTTGGAATATATGAGTCCAAAACAGAGAGCTTTAGGGAGGCATCGAGCTGAAGGAAGACACAAAATCCAAAAACATATCAACAGCTTAAATCAATCAGGCCTAGAGCAGTGTAGAATCATACACATACATATAGATTATTAAAAAAACCTATAACGTCACAGAAATATATGAATCCAAAATACGAGTCGGCTATGTAAAATTATCCATTGAAAATAAAAATGAAACATAAGAAACTGTATTGATTGAAATTATCTTTTTAGTTAAAACAACTATTCTATTGATGCTAATGTACTTATAAGTTTGAAACAATATTTATAACCATAGCTAATACAACTATATTTATTATTGCTTTATTGATGTTATATCTGAAACAATATTTATTTTAACTTCTAATACTTACCCACCAAAGTCCCTTTCAACGGCGCTCCATAAATCAGCTTACTTGTCAATGCAAAGGAAAGGGATATAGACAGGAATAACATTGTCAAAGTGTTTCTTCTTTTCAAAACGGACATCATTCCAATTATGATATTCTCCTTGTTTGGGTTAGAAAGAAAAAATAATACCCGATGGCCTTTGTAGAATTTATGCTTAAGATAGCAATTTGATTCCTCAATCCATGATTATATATTGAAAAATGTTTTGAATATTTTGGCCTTCGCATAACTGTCCCGAATTCAAGACATGCCCCCAAAATCTTGGGCGATAAAACCAAGGACATTAGGAAGGTGTTTTATGTGGATCTGGTCACTTATCATTTTTAATATAAACATTGCAGTACAACCATCAATGAACTCGTCATTATGGGAAAGCACACGTCACAAAAACTAACAAACAAATCAAAATTATCACATATACACTCCCCTCCATACGTTTGGCAACCTTAGCTCCCTCATTGAACTACGTGTTGAAGACTTTTTGTGTTTGAACTTTTATTGACATAACCATGGGCTTTCTAGTTGAAAGCCCATGACATAACCCACGAGGAAAATACTTGGGAATGAAGATTTTCAAAAAATTATCAATTTTCGACCTATTGTAATCGAGGAAAAAATTTAGAAAATTTGGAGGCATTGGGAATGAAGTTACATTTCCATCAATATTATTAGTATTTTTCTCACGGGTTATGTAAATAAAAATTCAAACATAAAGAGGATTTAACACGTAATTCAATGAGGGAGCTAAGGTTGTCACACTTTTGGAGGGGAGTGTATATACCAGATAATATACAAATACTTGGCTAAGAGACTCCTACTTCCTAATCAAAGTCACTGTCCTTATTTTAATCTTTTTTATTTAATTTGAAATAAAAATTAATTGGTTCACATATTTTGATTCATATCTAATATTAAAACTAAACTATTTAATTTTAAATTGGTCAATTGCTCGAGACAATTCACTTAATGAATCCGAAATTAAGATTTAAACTCTCGGGCTTTAACACACTATCCAATTAAAGTTATCTAAGTTATCCAGTTTTCTAAACACTTATAGAGCCGAGTAACAAGGGGACATTATACTCTTTGTTGTTTGGAACTTCACAACTGGCTAAATGACTATTCAGAATGGATGAAAAACTTGCTCACTTCAGTTTCGGCAACTCAAGTTGAAACACGGGCCAACTTCCATAGTGATCCAACACATATCATTTGATTTACCATATCGGCATTTATTATTTTTGATCATAACAATTTTAAAAGATGTGTTCCGGAATAGATGGGTGTTATCGGGAATGTATAAGTAGTATGACCTTTTATTAGGCTACCTCAATGATCAAGAGAGTGAAAAATATAAGGCGTACATTTCCGCCATTTTGGATTTTTGGAAATCAATGTTTCCGTCCATTAACGACGTCCCGTCGTTGCCCAATTATAGGTCATTGCACTTTGTTGAACAAGTTTCATTTTTATTTCTTCTGTTTTTGATTGACTGGAGGCAATAACATCATTTAAGGGTGGTCCTTCGTCTTGATAATCATATTCATTTTCTATTTCCATCTTCTGGAGAATCAACTTGACGAGGTTACTCTGTTTAGTAACATTATCAGCGAGTTTATCTAACCTAAAAAACATTTATTCCGGCTTAATTAATGCATTTCTGCGTTAAACAAGCCAAGGTGGCATTAGCATATCATGTACACTTGGATTCCTGGACACCATATTCATACCTTGTCGTTTCAAGTTGTCTCGCATCCTTTTCATGAATTTCTTTTACCAATTTCAATTGAACAAAAGATAAATTTTACAATTACTTACAATAAATTACTTTTTTGGGGGGACATTTCATTTCCATTGATGACAGGTTTGGGCAGAATAACCTCAAAAATTGCAAAGGGATTAACCCTTGGTATTTTCATCAAATTAGTGGAGATGGCAATACTAGCAAACAGCGATATAGCAATCTCTCTTGGTAAATACATAAAGAACAAGACATCTGATATATTGCTATCCAAATACGAAGTCAAGTTGGATCATCAATCTCAAAAATTCTATGAATTACTAGAATAGTGAATGATTTACCTTTGTTGCTGTTTGAATATTTCTTCAACGATGTACTGTTCTGCAGTATCTAGTCCATCATTGTCGTCCTGGCAACAGCGGAAAGTTTCATTGTACATAGACGTTGATAACCCATGCTGGAAGTAAATGGATACGCCAAGAGATTGAAGTATTAAAAGTAAAATATAGATCTTATTTGAAATTAATTCTATTGATGACCATTCAAAACCCTTTAGGGACATTGAATATGTTGTTAGCTTTTTTCGAAATCAAATTTAAAGTAACCCATTGTAAATTATTTTGGGTTTCAAATCTTTCAAATGCATTCATGTACTGCCACATATGTCATAATCATTTTTCAAGTCCATTTCGAAAGAAAATGAGATTCAGTCTGAACTCACACAAAGAGGCGCACAAAAATAGGTACAAAACATTAATGATAATGGTAAAATCGGAAAAATAAAGGTAAAAATAATGTTATTTATACATTACCCAAAATCTTTTTTTGCTTTGGTCAACTTTTATTGAGGATTTGGATATTTTGTCTAATATCCTCTGAGGCAATCGTTCCTCGACGCTTGTAAGTAGATCTACCTGTAATATAAAACAAGGATGACAAGAAAACAGTGTTATTAATTTTGCTATTTTTGGTAAAGCTATGGGATTTTGCTGTCAGTAATTGGTAAAGCTATTGGCAAATCCCCAGTTTTTAAGATGGGAGTTCTTTCTTGACCTTAATACCCCGAGCAGATATGAAAACTTGCTTAACGTTGATATGATTCGGGTATACATCAATAACATGTAAATATGCACCTTACATGGAACAAATAACAAAGCTATCTCAAAGCTATGGCTTTCATAAATGCCAACTGGACATAGATTTATTTAACGCTTAAAGATGCATTATACCATAGGTTTCTCCCCCGGACAATCAATTAGTGTTACGCGCATTTCGATATTATGAGCATGTTTTGTAAATGGCCATAAAATTTTGGCTATATGTTTGTATGAGGCGCAATTTGAAAAAAATATGCTTTATTATGTACCTGAACTTAAAAGTATGACTGTTGCAAATGTCTGAATGAATGGAGGTGGTGTGAAAAATATCTGAATTGTTCTAATTATTGTACTTGTAATGTTTGAATAGAGAAAAAAAAAAAATAAATAAAAATAAATAAAATTTTGGCTATTAGGGATAGATCAATGACACTTAGTAGAACGAAATTAACATTGAACAAGGTCTAATCCTGCCAAATATTTATGATGATTTTAAACCCATGCTGAATGATTGAGTTATTAACATACATTTGGTTGGGTTACCTTTTTTGGCTCACCCTGTAGTTGCTGTGGTATCAGTGACCGTACATCAAACAGTATACATAGTATTTATCGTATGATCTGTAGAATGAAGCCTTCTGATTGGTCAGTTCTTGTGCTGTACCAATCTGTATTGCTATTGAGATTGTCCCCATTGATCATCTCCATCGCAATACAGAAATTATTGTTGCAGAGGGGACATTCTCAGTAGCAATACAGATGATCAGACTCTTCTCTGATCTGCTCTCGATATTCTGTATTGGCACTCGACTTCGTCTTGTTCCAATACGGAATTTCTCAAGCAGATATATATCCTGTATTGCACTTCAACATATAGTATTGCTTGCCGGGGTATTCACTCTACTATACCTTGCATTTGGTGTTCATGAGCAACCCATTTGGCTTATTAGTAATGATTAATATGTTATTTGTTTTTATTTGTCTGTTCCTTTTAATGGTTTATCGGATGATTGTTCGAAGGTACTTTCAAAAATATACTTTAAAACGATACAATTAGACAAACAGAGTGTATTGCTACTGAGATTGTCCCCACTGATCATCTTCGTCGCAATACAGAAAATATTGGTACGGAGGGGACATTCTCAGTAGCAATACAGGATCACACACGACAAAAACGTTATAGAATGATTTTCACAAATGTGACGGAGGTGCTAGAATTGTGCAAAAAATAAATATAATACTGTAACTGCGCATGCGTTGTAACTACATGAACTCCCACTCAGAACCTCCCTGCTTTAGAATCCAGTTCCCATTATATTCTACCAAATATCCTATTATGTCAAAGAACTGGTTTGACTAATGGGAAAGTCACACTCCATCCTATCTTGCGGCGAACTCAGTTTTCAACAGAATAGAATCATTCACAACAGAATATTTACAGTTCATTTGTAGCATAGAAAGCCCATGTTTGTAGGTAGGATCAACTTGTGATTATCCTGGGATTTTATAAATAACAAACCTATCACGTTTCTTTATTGATCAGTATATTATTAGTTAATCAGTTCAACAACGTGATCTAACATCGCCGACATTCTTCAACTTATCTTGGATTAAGAGGCAGCTAATACCCCCCCCCCCCACTAATGACACGACATACTTGTACCTTTAAGTTGCCCCTACACGTACCTGCATCTTTAAGCGCTTCAACCTCGCAGTTTTCTTTACTTCTTCAATATCGCCTATAGCCAAACCGATCTGAAAATAGAAAGGACAATTATCTAACTGAATTAAGGTATCAAAAAATACGATCAAGGTCTTCGTGGCATTTTTACACGAATCAATATCCTTTCCATTCTGATACGCCCACGTTGCCCTGACATTTCTAAAACCGGTAATACAGTAGTCTGTAAAACAAGAAGGATTCTTTTTTATTAATTAGGCTTGTTGTATGTTAAAAGGGGAACTATTCTGGACTTAATTAATGCGATACTTACTATTTTTATACAAAGATGATTATTTACAAAGTTAAATATAGGTAATATTACTGCTGAATAAAAAATGTTAAATGAAAATATGGCAAACGATAAAATCACGTGTTATTTAACAAATAGCCTATACTATCTAAAAAAATGATACCACCGTGTATACTTTATTTCCAAGATTTAGAGTGTCATAATTGCGCCATACTTGAGTAGTCCCTCGCGTTCAAACAAGGCTTTTCTGCTTGAGCTTCTTTAAAAAAACAAATTCCAAACCGAAGGTGTATTTTAAACTAACTATAATTCGAAACTTAGCTCATTTGTAGGTTGAAATCGAGAGAAAACAAAAATCCCTACCGAACTCGAACTTTAGGGCAGTTCCTCAATTTTTAATACTAGCGTCAAAGTAACTACATGTGTGGGCGGGGAACAATTTTACATGTATGGCTATCTATGGTTTAAGCTATTTTGCTAATGTAGGTCTACTTAACATAGTTTCTTTAATATATGGAAAAAACATAGCTATTAGATAGACAAGGTGTGTCAAATTCCAGCAAATCAGAACACATTTCAAATAATGTGGATGCTTGAAATACTGAACCACGCACCCAATCCAATGCACCCAGATTTTTTGATTCTAGTGAAACTGATATGAATTTCATCAAGTGAAATTCAATGTATAGTACCATAGGGAAAAACAAGCTTAGGTGCTTATGTAGGTCAGATGGCTGAATGTCAAATGTTGACCTACATGTAGCAGGGGCGGATCCAGGATTTTGCGTTAGGGGGGCGTGTGATAATAACTGTGAGCAAATTAAAAAAAGAGTCAAATTTTGTAATACTAGTAAGTGAAGAGGCAAAACACGAATTTTCCGACTTTTTAGGGGGGGGGGCGTGCGCCCCCCACGCCCCCGTCTAGATCCGCTGGTGTGCAGTTAAGCCTTGCAGAAACGTTTCAGAAAAAAGTATCAACATGAGCATTCATAATAAGGTTCAATTTCTGATTTCCGACAAAAACTTAATTATTTAGGTTTAGGTAAAATTAGAAGTATTAAGAGTACATACTAGTAGATAATTTGCCTGTCAACTTACAATCGGTAGGCCTGATTTATTATTGACGTTCCGAGTTACATAAAGACACCCCAGCTGTACCAACTACTATTCGCCTACTTGCGCACGAGAAGGATACGGTGAGCGTATAGGCGAGGAGTTTGGAATTGAATGAAGCTGTATTCTAGGCTTACACTCCCCTCAAAAAGTTTAATTTAATTTGTAGCAAACCTAAAATAAGACTGGGAATATGGATTGAAATCTTACAGACTGCACCCTTAGTCATTTCGAAAAATAATGTGCGCTTCCATAAACTATTTTATTATATTAGTACTATATAGTAAAAAAGAGATCACTTGAAAGAGATTTAAGGTATACTTATGAAATTGGTCGATGGTTAGTCCAAATAAAATGTATTTCTAAGATACGGGATGAACGATTATTTGATTTGCGACAAGCCCATCATTTCTGACTGGGTTAATTTCCCATTTCATGATTTCTTAAATGTGCAAATATTGTTTATAAATCATTGAATGAGGTGTCAATTAATTAAGTGCTGTTTGAACTCATGGATTCGTTAGATTCAAATTTAGCCATACGCAATATTCTGCGTGGCGCCGTACACGTACATTTCAAACATTTACTGGGTATGCACTGTACCATGGCAACAGACGACGTCGCCTATTTCTTATACATAGTTCTGAATAAAAAGACGAGTTCTTCATCCATTCTCAATGTTTTTCAAGCAGCTTCTTGTGATTTCACCTTTGAACTCAAACATTAACAACAAAAACGAAAATGTTACGCATATACTTTACATAGGATACAGGGTTATACGAGGTCATATGTTTCATTCGACCAACGCATCAATGGCTAAAATGTAGTCAATTGTATATGGAAAAATCTCCAGTGTCCATTGTTTGTTCATCTCATTTACCATACCCGTCTATAACGCAAACCACACGCATGTGGTACAACCACTGTGATAAAAGTGATAAAAGTTAAATTGATTACTACAATTCCAATTACGACAAGGGTTATATAAATAGAAAAAGAATTATCACTGATCATATGTTTATCTAACTGACGTGTTTATCGTCTGTGAGAAAGGAGATGAAATATCTTGATGGCAAGGCAGATTCCTATCTTATACAAAAGAATAGAATAGCACAAAACGTAATTAATATCATCTCAACTGTTGCGGCCCTGTTCACAACGAACAGATAAGATTCCAATGTGCTATAGCATCCGGTATGTGAGCTCAAGAGTGAACTAATTTGAAAAACTAAAGTCAGGTGTCGGAACAAAAAACTAATAGGAGGATTTTAAGGATAAAACGCAATGGAGCAATATGGGTTTGATTTCAACTTGCTCCAGCTGGAAACTATGAATTGTCATCTACTTCAACCTACATAGGTGTCCTCAGTAACTGCTCCACATCAAATTACATGACACCACGCAACCTGTAACCAGATAACAAGAATACACCGGGAATTAAACTGGATTATGACGAGTTTAATTATAGATTAATTCAAAACTGGATGAAACCAACTTTATATTTTTAGTTAGGGATCTCAATTAGTAAAAATATCATCACATTTTAGATCCTACGAAAAATTCTATTTGCACACAATGCTAGGAAATATGGAAAATTTCTTCTCGACAAACGACGCAACTGCTGAATCATTGAAAGTAAGTCTATATATTTGCCTGGAAATCATTTGTGACTACCTTTTACCAGTGGGATTAATGGGGTCTAGGTGGTATAATAAGCTTACAAATGCATAAAGCTAAAGTTACAACTATTTTGAGTAAAGTATTTTTGATGTAGAAAACTGGTAGCCATATTTTCCCATTTACTAGTATAAAACACTTTTTTTCGCGATACGGGGAAATGAAAATGCCTTAACATTTACCAAGAATGCCGAAAAACTAATCAGTTCTAAACTTTTATAGGTAGAAACATCCCTGAGAATTCCAAATGAATCCCTCAAACGGTTTGGCTGGAAACCTGTAGACAAGCCTTGACAGACAAGATTTTAGGACGGAAATCCAAAATGGCCGTCTTAACATTTATCCAGAATGTCGAAAAATTAATCAGTTCTAAACTTTATAGGTAGAAACATCCCTGAGAATTTCAAATGAGTCCCTCAAACGGTTTGGCTGAAAACCTGTAGACAAGATTATTCGGGAGCCCCCCCCCCCCCGCCCAACCGCCCGCCCGCTCAACCGCCCGGCAAACTGATTACAATATAGCACCTTAGGGTATAAAACACTTTTTTCGCGATACGGGAAAATGAAAAAATCCATATTCCAGTTTTCCTCCATCAACAATATTTCTCAAGTTGAAAGATATGTGTCAAGGAGTCATGAATATGAAAATATAGAGCACGAAGTGAGGTTGACAATTAAGGAATACATTTCTCGGCATCATGGCAATCAATAAGAATTTATGTTATTCAATTAGCTCTTTAAACTACTGCTTTTAGTAATGATCATTATAGCTAAAGATACAGATCTTCAAAGATATTCGTCACAATGTCTTGGTTCTTTGCCCACTTTAAGATACTACTATTAAAACTTCTTATGATACTTAAGCAGCACTTTGATATTTAGGAAGGAATGCGTCATAGTCCATGGAAAGTAATACAAGGACTTCTTTTTTGTTTTTGTTGAACATGAAGTAGCAGAAATATATTGTTACTAATAACCTAGCTCCACGCGTGAGCTCGTGGTTCGGAATTTGAAAATTTGTCCGCTTTGGGGATCAACCTATTTTTCGTTGTACTCAAGATATAGATTCTTGTATAAGTACCTGTGCAAGATGAGCTTTGATAATTCTTCTTCATCGAACCGAAGAATAGACCATGCATATTGCACAAGTTCGAGTACAAGAAAGATGATCTCATATGACTCTGTATTATGCCATATTTTCACATTTTTATTATAAAAACAAACTGTGAATTCTCCATAGTAATTTTACAATAAACAGCTTATCCCCATAGCGGACAAATCTTCCGATCCCATCTCGTTATTTTAGGCATTTGGAATGATTTGCGGGTTGTATTTGGCTGCAATATGAACAAAAGTTCGCTGGTGCATGCTATTTACCCGATGAATAAACTGATTTATATCTCGTAAATCAAAGTTCCAAAAACATATCTATCATTCTACAAAGACAATTTAAAAAAAATAATAGTTTCTTATGAAGATTTATGGCTCCTAATCTAGCTGCATGCCACGATAAATGTTTCCAATGGGAAAACATATATGATATAGTGATAGAGTAATCGCATTTAACTTTCTTTGTACAGAGTCCTATCTACTCTATACCTGATCAGGTATTTCATTTAAAAGTGCGTAGCGATCAAACCGATTTATCATGATTATTTAAATAGGAAAAAACTTGTTCACTGCAGTTGATTTTAATTAGGTTGTTCAAATGTATAATTTTATTTTATCGTTGGAAGACTTTGAATTTCAGTGACCATTTTTCAAGGTTTATTTCCTTAACATTAATGATTGGATCTTTCTTAGAGAAAAATAACCTACCCTTAAAATGAATGATGTAGCATGGACCCAAAAGTATGCAGAACATAAACGCAATGGTCGATGTAAGAAAATAAATGAAGCTTACAGGTATATATCTTATATGAAATTGGTATTTAAAAATCACGATCAATCAAATCAATTTAGTTCTTAGATAATCTGGAGTTTACTTAAATATAAAACCTTCTAAATAGCTTAATATAACTGACATAAAATATGTCAGTGTCACCCTTGTCATTCTTCGTTTTGTTTGGGCCAGACTGCCATAGCCTCCCATGTTATAAACTTGCAATAGTCACTTAATTTAATGATTAATGAAAACGTGTTGGTTGAATCTGTCTTAACTTAGAATAGCATACCATTAGATGACCCTGCCAATAATTGATCATGAAATGTTTGGTTGTCAAATTAATAAACCAAAGTTTTTAAGAATTGCTTCAAGCTTGCTTGAGATTTGGCCCATGTTTTTAAAACGTCATGGAAAATGATTTTAAAAATGACGTAAATGTATAAATCAAAGTTATTGTTGTAGAAAACCTTTCAAATATGGAATTAAATAGAAAAACAGTTAGTTGTAAGAGGTTAAAAGTGCAAATCTCTTTGATATCTCAATGAAAAACGAGAATTAGCGAGATTTCAAAGCTATATGGAAACTCCTCGCAGCCTTTTCGAAACCTGACAAAATCAAATGTTGCATTTTGGGGTTTGATTTACATTTGATTTTGATTTAATCAATTGATGAATCTTCAAAACTGAAAAGCAATGGGGTGATACCCGTTTATTTAATACACTTCACACACTACATTCTAGAAATATTTCATTATGTTTACTGTACGAACTCTTTTTCAGGAATCGTTTCATAAATCCAATATAAGTCAGGGGATCAGAAATACAATTTGCAATCACAAGTTATGAATTACTTTATCTAGTTAATCAAAAACGTCAACTTAAGAATTCATAGCTCTTTCGGAAATTCCTGATTACTCTCGATACACAAATCCATTGCACTTTAAGACACCTTCTGGCTTCCCATCACCAAAATAAACATAAGAAAGTAGAATTCAATCATTTTAGTTTTACCCCGTGCCTAATTCAAATAAAAGCTTGTTAGCCTCATTCTAATCTCCTTAATCGGAACATTAAAAGAATGGTTCTCCAAAGAAATATGAGCCACTTTGGCCAATTTTGGCCTCATGAGATTATATTGTTTGATTACAACTGGGATAAAGAAAATTAACTTCATCCTAGATTCAACCGCGCGGTCTTAAATCTCCCGATTCGAAATATGTACAAATGAAAATTCCCGAAGACCTATTGCGATATAAAAAGCCATCTTGTCTTAGACCCGCCAATGACGTTCAAAGAGTCTTCATACGAGTAATTATTAAATGATCTACAGGTTGTCAATTAAATCCCTTCCCCCATGCTACAGCTAAAACCTTAATATATGGTACCTAGTGTGATATACCATTGGAAAGATGATTCAGTTATGTTAACTTACATTGTACCAACTCTCAAGTATTCTGGATGAAATTCACCTATATTTTCATGATGTCTTTTATAGTTAGTGTACTCTCCTTAAGCAGCTTTCATTGCGTCAAAATGAGAAGGATATGAACTCAGAAATACGTCAAAAAGCTAACCCTTTTCGCATTCCACTTGTTACAAAAAGGTTTTCTCCACTTTCCTTGCACCTTTGTTTTCTACTTATCCAACCCTATCAAGAAATTGGTTTAATATTCACTGCCTTATACATAGATTGTCATTTTTAGGTCCTTTGACTTTTCTGATACTCGATTCTTAAAATCCTGCCAAATACGCCAAATCGCCATGTTTCTAGGTCTATGGTCACCTCAATTGATACGATGTAAAGTTTGTGACATTGATTGACATGTATTAGATTTATGCCAATCAACGTAACTTTGGAAGACCTTTCCAATGATATGTCACACTTGGTACCATATATCTTGGTTTTGGCTGTAGAGGGGGGGGGGGCGGGACTTATTTGACACCCTGTATTATATTTTCAGGATGGTTCGCAGTGTATTCTGTATCACCTCCTCAAAGCAGGAAATTCGTCAAAGAAATGGAACCTGAGTTGCAATGAGACGGAAGACTCCTTTTTGAAACACGACCACGAAGATTATCCATCAACGTTGACATCTGGGCAGAAAGTGTATGCTTATATTACACCTATCATTATTTGTATCGGAGTTATAGGAAATCTGCTCTCAGTCAGAATCTTCTTGTCATGGAAAAAGCGTAAATTGCCTATCAACCATTACTTAACGGTACTTTCCGCATCAGATTTGATTGTCCTGCTCACATATGTTCTTCTGGATTGGATGAGAAAAGGACTTCCACATTTGCCCGGTCACGTTGTGCACAACGTCATCGACACAGAAGGGGTTTGTCAGTTTTACTTATTAATCTCTTATGGCGCCCGATTTCTGTCCGTCTGGATCATAGTTAGTCTTACGATCGAAAGATACACGGTCATATGTTACCCGATTAGGAGTAGGATCTTCACTTCGAAAACTCTTAAGGTCGTTGCAACACTTGGTGCATTGTCCTTGATATTCTCCGTAACAAAAGCTTCCATTAGTGGAATACATGAAACGGTACCTGGTGGAGAAATATATAAATGTACCTACAAACCGGGTTATAAAGCTGGATCGTTTATACTGGACTATATTTTTGCCCTATTTACAACCTTGGTACCATTTTTTGTCATCGCGTGTCTAAATGTGATGATCATTAAGAATCTGAACCCATGTATTGGTAGGAATACTTTACATGCTTCGACAAACAGAGTTTTCGGTTCGAGGCTACTCCGCCATCAAGTTGAATTAACAGTTACTTTGCTCACGATTTCAACTTCATTCGTACTGCTCAACCTTCCTTACTTTGTCGCTTGGCTCACACAACATTCCATGCCTGAATATCGTAATATGGACACGTTTGCAGAGCTTATGAACGACCACCAACAATTACAAGGATTTTTACTAATTTCGAAAACAATATATTACCTTAATTTCTGTTCTAACTTTTTCCTCTATTGCATCACTGGTTCTAATTACAGACGCGCATTGATTTCACTGTTCCAATGTCACCATGAGACGCATTTCATTCACGATCAGAGATCAACGACAGGAAGAGCTTTCTCAACACAAGTGACATCATTAAGTAGAGCGTCATTAACAAGCACGGTTTATTCGGGAACTTCCGTGAAAGGATCGTGCATGTATCTCACAGAGTTGAGGACTAATCGACGAATTATACAGACTACCGCGGAGTGATATTCATGGTGATAATTGTGTGATTTGATTGATGTAAAAACCAGAACATGATTTCACAATATTTTCAGATGTTAAGTAAATAATACAGTTCTCAAATGCAGATCCACGAAACAAGTGTTTGTTTCGTGGATATTTCATAGTTTTTTCGATGTTAAGTTGTTCCTCAGACACTCTAAGTAACGGATCTGTAACGACAGCAAGTTGCTACTACGGCCCAGCTGTAGTGGCTTAAGCCTTTATAGCTCAGTTGGTAGAGCATCAGTCTTTGGATCCAGGGGTCCTAGGTTCGACTTTCTTTCAATTTCTTTTATCCGGCTTGTTACAATTTTGTAACAAACCTCCATTGTATTTCAATAACTGCTGTTTATGTTCATCAAGCTCTATGTACTATTTAAAGGAATATTCCTTGCCAGACCCGTTCTCTCTTGATATGGTAGCTATAATCATATATATAGTTTCCATATTTAGCAAAACATGGGAAAATGTTTTAATGTGGTCAATATTGATCATTTAAACACCTAGTGCTTATTTCCAGTGAGCTGCCATCTTTTAAGATTTCTTGCAGGAAGTGATGTCATCAACTCTCAACTTCTATAACCTTTCCCATAACAGTAGAGAAAAGTAGCACAAAATCACTACAGACAAGTGATCATTAATTTCTGTGCAAAAATATTTTCAGGGCTTGTCAACTTAGAATAAAAGAAGAGATTTTCAGAAGGATTAAATAAGATACAAAGTTGAAAAAGAATATTTAGCTGGTTTTGTAATTCTTAATAGCTCCTCACCTAATGCTATATGCAAAGTTGAGACTCGATGACACCACTTCCTGTTTGACATTTTAAAAGATGGCAGCTTACTGGAATTACCCAAATGCGAGTAGGTAGTTACCAGTTTCACCACCAGGTGGCTGATTCGGGTCAATTAACATGGCAGGTATATAAGAAAGTTCCCTTAAACTTGAATATTATCAAATTAAGTGGCTCAATTTTCATATAACCCTTATGCGTCTGATACTTATACTAATGAAAATATGTCCAGTAAAGCAAAATATTATCTGTCCACTAAAAGAAAAGATATTTCATTTTTTGTGATTTTATAGCATGGGGTCTATGGGGAATCTCCCCGAGCTAGAAGTCACATTTTAAAAGAAAATTAATTTTTCAAAGTTGATAAGCACTTTTTAAAACCATATTTCTACATGTAATTTTACATGTAGATTTTAAATATGATATTACTTTGACTGAATTTTGAATTTTTAATGATGTAAAGTAAGATTATTTCTACTCGCATCTGGGTTATTGAGCATCACATTTCTAAGTGATCAAATATCAAAACATTTTTGCTAAACATGGCAAGCATATATATGGTTATAGCTACCATATGAGGAGAGAGATGGTTTGGCAAGGAATATTCCTTTAAGTGTAGTATTTATGCTTGGGTCACATTTGCTCTGATCCATCGGCCGGCGCCCGGCCGATTGACTGTTTTATTCAATACTGTATTCAATTTTGAACATAATACTCAATCGCCCGGGCGCATTAGTAAAAATCGGAGCAAATGTGACCAAAGCATTACATATGCATGATCTATTATTGTTAACATTACTCTCTTTGCTTAAATCGAACAGCAACATATATTTATGTGTATATGCATTTAAGTGTGTCTATTGAAAACTATTAATGTGGCAACTGCTCAGCATTGCTGGCTGTTCATTGATTGTTTAAACATTACTTTTGTGAGTTTGGTATTCAACTTTTCATATAAATACCAGGTTTTTACGCAGATCCAGGCAGTGTTGCTGGGGGTTTCCTGACAAGGTATGGTGTAACTGTCATAGCCAAGGTCACGGCATGGATAGATTGTATGTTAGGAAAATTGATAAATTGCCTTCAAGACTTCAATGTTGGTCTAATCATGTGTGTTAAGGTGTTACGAGTGTTTATTAATTCAGTCACAGCCATTTACTTTGCTTTTTAAGCAATTAGTCGAGATGTTACCCATAATTTCTCAAATTGCCTTCATTTTCTTCATTTCCCCCTATCAAGGTAATTATCCCAAAGTCCCATCGAGTGCCTGGCCCATCAGTCTTCAAATTCTTCAATGCTTAGCTTCACACCCCTTTGAAACCATTCAGTCTTCATTTTCTTCATTTCCCCCTATCAAGGTAATTATCCCAAAGTCCCATCGAGTGCGTGCCTGACCCATCAGTCTTCAAATTCTTCAACACTAAGCTTCACTCCCCTTTGAAACCATTCAGTCTTCATTTTCTTCATTTCCCCCTATCAAGGTAATTATCCCAAAGTCCCATCGAGTGCCTGGGCCAACAGTCTTCAAATTCTTCAATGCTTAGCTTCACTCCCCTTTGAAACCATTCAGTCTTCATTTTCTTCATTTCCCCCTATCAAGGTAATTATTCCAAAGTCCAATCGAGTGCCTGGGCCAGCAGTCTTCAAATTCTTCACTCCCCTTTGAAACCATTCAGTCTTCATTTTCTTCATTTCCCCTATCAAGGTAACTATTCAAAAGCCTCATCGAGTGCCTGGCCCATCAGTCTTCAGATTCTTCAATTATTCTTCAACCCTTAGCTTTATTCCCCTTTAACACCATTCGCCTTAGCACACAAACACCATCTACTAATTGTTATTTCATACATCTTCAGATACCAATAAATATACAGTATTACATTATTTTGTACAGAACTTACTTCTCATGTTCACATTTTATGGGTTTGTTAGCTTGGAATCCCTACAACTACCCTTCATGTTTCAGTAAGACCCTAATACACCATTTTGGTTTCAAAATAAACTACTCCCTCTTATACTGGCTTGCCGCGTCCATAATTAAAGGGAAAGTATTTTACACTATACTTAAAGTGCCTGATAAACTATAAAATGCGCATGCGTCCAGGTGTTGATAAACTATAAATAGCGAAAACCCAGGGTTTGTCATCACAAGGTAAGCCAGGACGTGTTGAGCGAACATCTAGTGTTGATATTGAATTTACATGTAGCCAGATAAGTTTCCTTATTGAAATTACATATAGTTATTAGCAATACTTTGTAGGTGATAATTAATAAAATATGAGTATATATGAGAGAAATTGGCCATTTCGAACCTGTTGAAAGTTTGTGGCTCTCGGCTACACCGGGGAATTTACTTCCATGAGTACAGACACAAATGTGGGGCTCCCCAAAAGGTACGCGAGAATGTGACCTGGCATCAAATGTACGACTAAATGCTTCTATCGAGTAGATAAAAGAACGAATACGACAATAAGTTATTGCAAACGACAATTCCGAGCATTCATCTCACTGAAGTATTTTGAAGTGAAGAAAATATGATTTTTGTTTTGAAACATGGATTCAGATGAACGTAACTTCATTCTGACAACTAATCAAAACTGAACAAAATTGATTATACGTAACAGACGATTTATTGTTTTACAATGTTTTGATCGGCTAAACGAATGAAACCAAGAAATTATGACATGTAAAATGGCAATTTTGAAATGTAAAATTTAAAAGTGACAAACACAACCTCCATATCCACTCTTTATGAGCCCTAATATGTACATGCAGCAGTGGTAGTGTACAGCTTATTATCACACTACTGGGCTTTGTATTCTAAAGCTTGTTGTTTTTAATAACACTGTTCACTCGACGTAAATGTTTTGTGTGTGCGCAGTCAACGATAATCATTGTTTTATCCCGGTTATATGACCTCGGCAATTATAACAAAACGGTACTAAACGAAAAAACGCAAATAAGAGAAAGCTTTCACACACATATAAAAAATGAACTAGTCTAATCCGCCAGTATAAACTTAGTCCAACAACATTAGACCTAGCCCGGGCCTCGTTTCTTATCTGACATGTGTTATGGCCCGGCTAGGTCTAACCTCCATGACCATTTTGCCTTTGATGCGTTAATTTAATCGTTCAGCAGGTTTCGACAAGCGGAACAAATTAAACCCTGAAAACATGGCAATATTACACAAAGAATGTGATTCAAACATGCATACATACCTTATAAACACATACACCCCGTCCCGTATCCCCCTTAGACCCTATTGATGCATAATTACGAAAATATTGGAGACAGGTTTGGAATATGACGAAAATGTCGGTCAGTTTCGGTAACATCGAAATTGCAAATCGTTTCAGGAATTAACCGTCATCACGGCACTGCATTAACGAACAGCGGGTTTGCAATTAATAACTATTTTGCGTGTATACACGCGCTATATAAATTAATCAAAGATACCTGTTATCCTCAAAATTGATCTTTTTATCCCGAGTAATCGCGATAATAATTATCAATCTATTTGACAACAATTTCGTTTCGCTGGTAGTTTAATTTTACGATCCGGGACACTCAGACGAACAGACACAATGACTGACATGCGGAAATGTCACTTTAGAGATTGGTAAGTGTAGCCTCATTTTACTCGTATAAATGAACATTTAACACAAAAATATTGTGTTAAATCGCTTGATGTTATGTGTTTTTATATTATTGTCAAGTATCAGTTGCACGTTATCGCGGAAAAATGGTTTCGATGGATTCAGAACTTGCATCAAAGGAAAGAATAGTAAGGAGGTTAAACTCAATAATGGCCCCAAGAAAATTCCTAATAATAAAGAACGCCGTTATTGAGTTTAACGACGTTGAACTAGTATAAACTCTGTTATATACGTAGCCAGGTCGGGCGCACACTTTAAGAAATATAGACCGAAGAGCAGGGCTACTAGTTTCGAATACACCCCGCAGGTCTAGGCACAAACGTTTTCTGTTCGAAAGCTTTTGTGCCTAGACCTAAGGGGTGTATTCGAAACTAGTAACCCCGCTCTGAGGCCTATATTACGATTCGAACATGAAAGCTCACCAGAATATTGCAAAATCGTCAATTTCGATGCTCATTTCCACTTTTTTCATTTCTACTTCCGGTTGAGCGTTTGGCTGTTCTAATTTGTTTACTTACCTCCTGACCCCGACTTAAGTTTTTTAATGACATTTCGGCCTATTTTAGTGGTTTCACGCATACCTACCACATTGATTATTATTGAAATTATTGGGATTACAGTTTACAAATGCTCCGACGGAAAATTTTGGCTCCGGACAATTTCTCCCTGCCATTTTGAATTTTGCAGACGAGAGGGGGATGCGAAAAGAACGGAACGGCCTAAACTGATCGAGTGCACTGAACGAAACACTTAGTACACAGCCGGGGAATTGATCTCGAATATAACCCAGCTGAAGTATTGACTTTGTTCACAGTTTATAGAAGTCATGAATACAGTTATGTTCGAATCGTTAGTTAGTCATTCCCCCTGGGTGCCCTCGGGTCATTACATTGGTGTCAGATGTGGGATCAAAGCATTGGTTGTATCCTTTGCGCCGTGTGTGTGGAAGTCACTGCTAGGGAAAGCAGGGCTGACCACGAGGGGTTGTCCTTTCAAAGGGGGAGATAGTGTAACGACCCTGGAGGCCGTTTCTCGAAAGTTTCGTTATTAACGATTTTCCGTTTCTCGAAAGTTAACGATTCGTGATGACGTCATGGTTTTTTCGTTATCCATGATTGATTTTACGAGTGCGAATGGGAATCTCCTTATTCCATTAACGATGCGGTGTCCATAGAAACGAATCCACGATTCGTTGATAAAGATAAGTTTCGAGAAACGGCCTTCGGGATAGCAAGTTGCTACTACGGCCAAAATGTAGTGGCTTACGCATTTATAGCTCAGTTGGTAAAGCATCACTGGATCCAAGGGTACTAGATTCGATTCCCACACGGGGCATTGAATTTAGCACACTTTTAATTTCTTTGTTCGACTTGTTACACTAAACTCGTTAGTAAGCCATTCCCTTGGGTCCCCAACTTCAACTTCGAACAATTGCGACCATTGATGTGTGATATTATTCTGTCCATTAGACCCTTAATACAATGTATTAACCATACCTCTGCGACCCAAACCCTTGAGTTCAATTCCCATATCAATGACACCGTTTGAACAGTTTCTTAGTTCGTAGAATTTATTTGCAGAGTTAATTAATCAGCACACGGTGGCGCAAAATCAATTATTTAACAAGGTTTATACGTCAGTTCATCCTGATTAAGTGAAGGAATTTCTAAATTATTACGATACATGAGACGATCATTGCTGTTTATCAAGAGCATATTCGCGACACGTCCAAATGAAGAAGATGGGATTTAATATTTAACTTTAATTTTTATGCATCAAAATCATTGGTTTAACAAAAAGTGTCAACAGGGGTGGCAGCATCTTTGGTCCAAGGGTATTTCAATTCTTTCTATATAGCTGCTACATCAGTGACGCCAGATCTTGAAGGATGGGGTGGCAGCTCTGAGACCATGGGATCATTGCTATGTGGGCCTTTTAAATACTGAACGATGTATTTGCAAATGCTAAATGGGCACCATGGACAAGCTTTAGGATCTCGAGGGATCCGAGATTGAGATTTCATGTCAAACATTCTAATGAAGACATGATCCCTTGAGACATGTACAATAATGAGGAACAGGAATAGTTCCACTATAAGTCTGACTTGCTACACTTATTACTATAATAAGGTATGGCTGGTATTACCACTTAGATCTTTAGAAGAATGATATGTTCTTCATCTTCTATCCTTTCCGAACCATGATCTAAAGGGGATACATACCAACAAAAAATATGTTAGCGTTTATTCTACATGACCCCATGATGAAAAATTAAAATAGAAGAATCACAACGTTGCTATTTGAGATGAGATCAATGAAGCAGAAAGGCTAATTGTAACACCTTATCAGTAATAGACAAGACTCACCAAGAGATTCATCAGGATAATAGGCATGAGGATCATGAAGATTATACACATGAGGGTTGACACTCGCTCTAAGTGAGTACTCCCTTGGTCACCATTGACGAGTGGTATGAGGAATGTATCCGTGTAGCTGACGGCATTCAGCATCATGATAAATGTGGATACAATGGACAGCTCTGGGGTTCTATATGCGTCACTCTGAAAATCAAAATTGTCTGATAGATAATTTCGAGGAGGTTACATTTTTATCTAATCTTGTAAACAAATACGGATGCTTTAACCTTGACCAGTTGATCACAATCATTCGTTTGGGCGGAGCTTCATTTTGAAATGATTTGCGTTTCTAAAAGAATACTCGTGGTAATCAGAATCAGTTATGAACAGATCAAAGGGGCAAGGTGACATTATTACAAATAATCATTTTCCAATTGGGAATCGGTTGGCTAAACAAATTACAATCATCATAAATAACTTGTTGTTGTTTATTGGTATAATTTTGTACAAACTTTCCACCCAACTGCATACCATGTTGATACGTTCAAGAAAATAATGGTTCAACGTGATATTTACAGGGTTTGGCTAAATTAATTGAAGTGAGTACCCATTAGACTATTAATGGTCTCAGTTTTATCTGATATCAACACATTTACCTATTAAACCCAATCAAGCCACGCGTCATCACAGACTACTGAACAATTATGGAACTTTGTATCGTTCCAATGGTGAACGTCGTCAATTAATGAGGTGGATTAGATTCTGAGAGGACTAATGATGAAACATTGCAAACTAACCTTACACAAGCCTTTTGATAATGCGATCAATGCATTCTCCGATCAGTTGTTTCTTTTAATCAGGACAGTCTGTCCAACAAGTTATTAGTCATTTTCCAAGACTTATAACGGAAACAATATTTAAAATTGATACGATAAACAGATAAATCAAATGACATAAGCAAAGTCAAATTGGATTAAAAAAACGCTAGAACATATCAATAAAATATAAGAATGGCATATTTGTTTGATAAATCGACGTAATCCATTCAAGGATGACAGTAAATATGAAGTGGTAAATTATGATTATCAAGATAAAGAATTGCTGTGTTCGATCAGATTTATACTTTTCTTTTACGTTATCTTGAAATAGTGATAAACATGAACCAAATAATCTCATACAGGGCTCGAAAGCAAACCCTCCTAAGCTGAGGCCCGGGTATACATAGTCTTGCTTAAAAGACCCTGTACTCCTCCCCCCCTTTATCCTTCTCTCTAGGGTGAAGGTGACGGGGGGGGGGTGGATACAGTCTTTGAGCAAGACTAGGGTATACAGTAAAATAAAGTTTCTTGTGTTTTACATCTATCTTGTTTTGTTACATCTTATTCACTCATTTGCATGAGTAAGTAGCTAAGATAGTACATTACCAACATAAGTGGGGATTTTTAAATATTTTATAACGTATACCAAGGCCTCAGCTCCTAAGACAACAAACCGATTATACGCTTGTAAACTGCACAGGATGAGATGAACCTAAATATGATCTAGTAAATGAGGACGATCGTTTAGGGTATGCCTTTTTGGCACTTAATGCTTCATATTGTCCAATGTGTTGGTAGCGGCACCCATACCACCATATCTTTAATCTAGCTTGAGCTTGAGTCTCGGAACAGATACATGCGACACTTTATAAAAGATGGTATAAAAGTTGGCGGGCAGATCGTTTTCGATCAGTACAGGATGCATATGGTCAAAATATTCATTATATGAAAAATCCATTGCCCACATTTGATTAAACGATTCATGGCATGAACTAATTGCGTGAGTCAATTGTTAAATTTTAGGATCGACAGTCATATATTCCAGCTTTTTTGATTAGGTTGAGAATAATTAGGTTAGCATAAGTCAATAGGGTGAAACAATCCATCTAAAAACGCAAGATGTGATGCATAATTGATTACGGACGATAGGATCAAAGAATGGGAGAGGAAACGTATTTTGGAATTGCATCTCGAAGAACATCCATTCAACCTCTTCAGCTCTTGTTTCGTGTCAAATCTAATTGGCACATAGCTCAGCCGAAATGAGATACCCATTACCGAAAACGGCAAATTGAATTGTTTTATCACACTCAGATGGTGATAATAAAAGGGACGTTGCCTCGAATCATTGAGAAAACATCTTACTTAAGATTAAAGAACACTCATGATCTCAGACCTCAAACACATTCCCCTCCATACGTTTGGCAACCTTAATTCCCTCATTGAACTACGTGTTAAAGCCTCTTTATGTTTGAATTTTCATCTACTTAGCAGCGATGAAAATACTTTTGAAAAAAGTGGAAATGTAACTTAACTTAATTTTCAATGCCTCTAAATTTTCCCAATTTCTTTTCTTAATTACAATAGGTCGAAAATTGATGACTTTGATGAATTTTTGAAAATTGACATTCCCATGTAAACCAATGAAAAATGGTGGGTTCGGGGCAAATCAGATTTCTAGATATCTATTGAGCTTCACCAAAAAATATTTTTATATAGAAATTGAATTGTCTACCTTTTTTTAAAGTTACAGAGCTTCAAAGTCATTTTTGAAAATCATTTTTCGCCTCCTGTATTATTTCAATAGGAGAGGTTTCTTGAAAAATAATTTTGACTTGGGAGAGCTATAACTTTGTTGAACGTGAATAAATATCATTTTTTGTTATTTTTTGCGAGAACTCGGATAGATGGATATTCTGTCATATGACTTGCGACAAACCTATCAGTTCCCATTGGTTTGCATGAACATGTCGATTTTCAAAACTTCATCAGATTTATCATCAATATCCGACCTTTTGATTATCGTTGAAATAAAATGAGAAAAATTGGAGGTATTCGAAATGATGTCAATTTATATTTCAAGCCCTAAAAGTAGACTTTTCTTACAGATTATGTAAATAAAAATAGATATAGACAGGCTTTAGCACATGTTATCCAATGGGGGGTTAGGGTAGTCAAACTTATGGAGGGGAGTGTAAATTGTTTGACCATGTATATTGCTCTATCTTATTGCTCTGTCTATTTTTCAGAGAATTCATAATCTCAATTCCATATTTGAGCCTGGCCATAGGAAAACCGGTCTTATCACAAAAATGAAAAGTGTGCTTCAGAGCCAAAAATGTGCCCAAGATTAAGAGAAAATGTGCTGAATTCAAATCCGACTTTTTGGTCTATATATGCAAGGAAAAATTGGTAAGACATAAGCCATGGCTCATTTGAAAGGTCTCTTTGTGCTTTCTAAGATAAACAAAAAATCAGAATATTGAAATCTGTGATTAGACCCCTTTTCCCGTGTCCTGGCTCATTTCTATTTAGAAAATAAAGAATCGTTTTTATTCTTTACGGTACGCTTTATACATCTCCACTCTTCAGTTTCTACACTCTCACACATTTAGTAGATATTTATTAGCCATCGATTATCATAACAATTACAAACAAGCATTTCTTCCCTAGTTGTCCCCTGTCACCAAATAAAACCATAGGCGATGATTAAGTTAACCTAATGTTATTGTATTAATTCAAACTATAATAGTGGGTTCTCAGATAACAAAATGATAAAAGAAATGCTGATTTACATAAGATTTCACTTTGCTTTATATGGGTGAATACTTTGGGATATACAGGTACCTTTAAATCGTTCAATTAAATTGTTTAAATGATTAACAAATCAAACAGCGGGATTAAGGGCTTTTGAAAATTAAGTTGTTTTCATGTCATTATTAATTGCATTTTCAGAAGATAGACTAACATATGATGAATATTCCAAGAAGTGCTAAGCGCTCTCTTTGGAATCGAAGACATGTTTATGTTCCTATAAGTTCTTCAAAAGACAAAGTCGATATCATCATAAAACATATTTTGGTTTCAGAGGGGAATTTTGCGTTTATTTCTAGAAAATAATGAAATGGGTCTTAGAAGTCCTTATCCGCTCATTCTGGAACAAGGGGCTTTTGTGGCAATCCTATAAATTAATTTCATCATCCGTCTCTGAAGTTGCATTTTAGTAGTAGATACTCGGTTAATAGTATGCGAGTTTAAGAGATGTCAGACGTCTCTTGCTTAGCACCTTTAATTTATTAGGGTTATTCTCCTCTTGAAACATATATCTGAAGGAAATAGTCGAAGAATTGAACTCCTTTAATATTCAAAATGACCTTCATGTTTGCCCACATTGCGTTGCAGCCTCGTTTTGGATAGGCGTACGTCCTCAAACGCTTCACCTCTATCCACCGTGTATTTAAAATTTGTGGTTTTTCTTACACTGAGATATTTATTCAAGATATTTTGTGATTTTACTTTTTTAAGTTGAAATACCTGATTTGAAAGAAGCATATAGAATGTCATCCCAAATGCAACGATCACAGTGAAGAAAACAACCAACACTTTGACCAACGTCTTCAGAATTTCCAAGAACATCACAACGTATATCCCAATAACATCTAATCTAAAAATGTAAAAAAATGTTTCAGCCTGGCCTGTTACAGGTTGACGGAACTGCGTCTGATCCATAACTCATCTTTTAATACTTCAGAAGATATTACCCCGTGATTACTGTATTCATCAAATATGTCATTTTGTCAGATAAACCAAAATATAATTCCAATCATACTGAAATATGCTGATTAATTTCAGTGATTTATTGATTCATTCAATATTATCTAAATCTACGAAATTATAAAACCATCATCATTTCATTAAATTTCATAACCTCATAAATCATATGATGTCTTTGCGATCGGCTGATTTTAAAGCGGTTTCGGTTCAGATTTTGTGTCATTCACACCGTTCCTCGAATCGTAATTTATTAGGTAACAGAAATGATGGATTAAATTTCTTTTGTAACCTTTCTCTGGAGGCCATCCCAGTCCAAATAAATAACATTGCGTAATAATGTAATATTGAAATAATGACGAGGTTAATAAGTAATCATACGATTCAGAGCACAATGTTTTACTAACCTTACGAAAAATAGCATAAAGTTAATCCATGCCAGACAGACGGCTATTGGGGCACACTGCCATTGTACAATACTTGAAAAACCGAACAGGAAGGGCACGGTGAACGCAAGCGATGCCCCATATATCATCCACTCCATAATGTTGATGGGATCGAGGAAATATCTAAATTTCTTAAATATGAGAATTGTATTATATAAAGGAGGGTTATGTACTGGGAGGTTTTGGATATGGGGTTTATCCAGAGGGAGATATGCATATCTACCTGAGGGACCGTAGGGACCGAAGGTAGATGTGCATATCTCACGAGGGATGAACCCTATATCCAAACCGACCGTACATAACTGCTTTATCATATACCAAGTTAAGTTTTCAGGGGCATATGGCCATTTCAATAGTACAAGGTGTAAAAATAAACAAATCATTCATATGTAAAGTCATTTTACTGCATTACCGGAAGCGGGAAGATATGCACCAGATGCGGGAAGATATGCACCGAAGCGGGAGATATGGCGGGAGATATGGAGGTTCTGGATATGGAAACCTCAAAATCAGGATACGGGATATATCTTACCAACATATGTCCCTAAAACTATACTTGACATAGGATAAAAAGAACTACATGGGGAAAAGAAATTCAGTACTTCTCATCTATTAATGCAAGTCCTTAGACTGATCAGTTCTGGTCTCAATTTATTTTCAATGAACAAACTGACGTCATGTGCTGTAGTATAATGTGAGATAATCAGCTTGGTCAATTTAATACAGACGATTGCACATATTTTAATTTGTATATTTTGAAAAAAAAATAGTAAGGTTACTACTGATTTTTAGCGAAAAAAAATTATGAAATGTATAGCGTTTTCCTTACCCTACGAGGCCCTTTGTTACATTTTAGGAATAAATTAAGTGGAGCCTAGAATTTTACAGAAGAATTTAGCAAAAACGAAATACAGTAGTGTTGTACCTGATGGAAGAGCTGAAAAAGTTCTTTTCCAATGTTTATCAAACAGAACAGAATTATCTCAAGAGCTAAAATCATGTCCACAGAGCCCATCTGTAAAATATCATAAAAGCATGTAGTGTGTTTCACGGTCGGTTTGCATTTGCCATTAAAGTAGTCTGTTATTTATTTGAAATCGCATGTGGAACGTGACTTCTTATCTCAAGACACATCAATTTGGAGTATGGGCAATCTGCGCCAGATTCGTTTTAAAGTTCGTGTTTGCTCATGCTCTAAAAATGAAACTTCAATATTTACGAGTTTTTATTAATCTCGATAAATGAGAAAACAGAATTCTCATTAATATCTAGTAAGATGTCATTTTTGAATCATTACAGTCATTTAATCGTCTTAAAAGTATTTAATATCGATGAAAATGTCATAACTGTGCTTTCGAAGTGCTACTACAAGATCAAAAGTAAAGCCACAACGGAGCACCGGAACACCCCCACAGTGGCCCTGGTGTGTATAGTTTCTCACATGTGCAATACCTAAACCATAGTCCGTTGTCACATCTTACCGTGTGTCGTTGTCTTTGTTAATTATTTGAAATTCAGCTCTGATTTTACCGATGCCAGGGTGTTCCATGTAAACTTTGAACGTTGTAAATTCGAGGAAGAAAAAACAATGTCTTCCTGGCGCTCAATCGAAACACCCAGTAACTACACTCTGACAAACTCACCTCAACTTGGGGATTTGACCTAATCGGAGTTGTCGCCGTGTATGTTTCATTAATTTTCTTTTCGGTATTCTCGAACCCACCATGTTCGAGTGGGTTTCTCAAACTTACAAAGGCAGTAAGTGAAACCAGGAACAGTAAATAGATAACCATGTTCATTATATGTAGTTTCATACCAAATGTTGCCCTATAAAAGTACAGTGTAATTATTTCCAACATGGAATGGTCGTGATTTATCTAGGTGGGATGAAAAGATAAACAAGATGACAAATGAGAAAACCCAACTTACCATTTATACTTCAGGTACTGTAGACATAGCGGATGAGACAGACAATCGATTCTTCCGTGTTCTATCATTACCTATTGTAAAACGAGTAAGAAGGAACAATCATTCACACAAAAGAACAGATATTGCAATAATTGGAAAATATTGTTCACGACCCATTTTTAAACTCCTTATAGATAGGACATGCTGTCTTAAAGTACTAGCACGTTTGCATAAACCGGTATTTACGTCTTACATTTGAAAAACACAAGAAAGTCAGAAAACAATAAGGCTGGGAGAAATTGTCACGGTCTCCAGAGGTTACAGAAATAATCGGTCATTATTTTTGTTAAAAAACTTACATGCAATGGAGATGTTGACTTCATTATTTTGTTCTGATTAGAATCGCTCGGGAGAAAATTCTTTATGATGTAAGTAAAGTCGTATTCTATCTGAAAAATCATATCAAAGATACTTAAACATGTCCGATTCAGATATGTTAAATGTTTACTTTGATACCGAGCGGGACGTTTTCCAGGAATGGCGATCGACAAGATTAATCGAAAATCTTCTAAAATGGCCGCAAGAAAACAAGATGACCATCCAAAAGTTAATTTCCTGTAAAACGTAGTACCCTTAACATGTATATGATAAGGTATTAACATGATAAATATCCCCACCTGCCATTTGTTACAGACGCCGAACACCGAACACGAACCGCCGCCACGAAAAAGTTGGAGGCTATAATGATATGTCAACCAAGATGCAGCTGTAGAATTTGATTTGATTTGACAAAACAGCGGTACCCCAAAACGATCACGATCACCCGCCATCATGAATAGTAGAATATTATAAGGCTTACATTATAGAAGATATAACGAGCATCAAAATGCAAACTAGACACTCGCATGCATCCCCGTAGCCAAAGTGGGGGTACAGGGGGTGTAGGCGAACTCCCCCTCCTGGCCAAAAATCCTTACAAAACCATGCATTTTTGAACTATTCTGAGCATTTTCAAATGATTCTTGGCCATAATTGTCAAATGTGAACCATTGACAAAAGCTGGCTACGGGCCTAACATGTATACTTACAGATGATCCATTGTTTTCCGATAACACTATACACCTATCCATGGCAACCTACAATCACAAATGTACATGTAAAATATTTCTAAAGTTAATGTACAGTGAATGTAGGGATAATTATTCTTAGGTATGAATATATTTTGCGCGTATTTCAACGGCAGTCCACAAGGGACCATTGTGGATTTATGTGTCGGTTAGTCAATATAGAAGTTTACCATACATGCTTTTGGGAGGTTTCTTATTAGTCCAAGAAACGGGGCGTTAAATATTGCCGATGATTGATTCAGTGCATCTCTGAACCTATAAAATCAAAAGTCATTTTTCATGTGGATGATTAAAAGTTCGTCTTCATTTACTCCAGATATGATGTGCCAATAAACTACAAGCATGTATTCAGTTTTAATTTAGCCATGTCATTTCGAATTCGTATGTACAATACCCTTCGCACCATCTATATAGTGTTTTAAACATAAGAATCATATGAAACGGTATAAGAGGGGAAAACATTGTTCTGTTGTCAAAATGCAATTTCTTATAACAGAGTTTACAAAGTACAGTAGATAACCTTTCCGACGATAGCACTGCAATAGCACTTTCTTCCATGCTGTTTACAATTAGGATATCAAAGAACGTTTGATTATTTAAATCCTTTGTTATCATCGCATCCATCGAAAGAAGTGTTACCAAGACTTCCCCATGCCCCTTTTCTGCCGCCAAGTGTAACGGTGTTTTCTGCAAAATAAGACGACGTAGTCTCTGACTTTGAGAAAGAAGCTGACATGGTTTATGTTGCCATCAGTGTTTTATGTTGTATAAAATGAGATGTATTTTCAACGAAATCAGGACATTTTAAGGAACGCAGTCTCCTATTATAAGATATCCTTAATTGAGGATTGAAGCCACGGAAGGAAAGGAGAAATGATAATGGACTCATTTTTGAACAATTTTGCTTGTTTGAAATTCTCCAATCCTCATTTTGATCCTCAATTAGACTGATGTCTATCAAGTATCAATAGTTGCTTTAAAATTTTGTTTTAGGAACACCAATTTTTAAAAAAATGTGATTAAGAGATAACAAATAAAAAGAAAGAAAAGAGAAACACTTTGCAACAATTAATATTATGAAATACAATACTAGTACTGATAAATAGATTTTGATCATTTTCAGACACTATGCTTACCGACTCATTATTGGTCGCATTTATCATATTAGTGTGGGTAGACAAGAGCTGTCGTAAAACGTCCATGTTGCCGTCAGCAGCACATGCAATATGAAGAGGGTTATTTCCCCTGTGGTCCCTGAAACAAGCAATTTAAATAAATTATAGTTATAATCGTTTTAACGGACGGAAAATGGCCATATACAACTATCTCGATGAGCGCCTCAATTTGGTATTTTCTAGGGCAAGCAGCTATTGACTGTGGATGAGACAGTTTGAATAATTACTATAGTAACAGATCGAGGAATGGAAAATTGATCCCAGTTATAAATTCCAGGACAAAGTTTCGCATGCATTGAAAAGAGAGTGATCATCTACCTTGACATGCGTGCTCCTCTTTGTAATAAAAGTCGGACGACTTCAGACTGACCATTTGCACACGCATGGTGAAGAGGACTGTATCCATTGGAGTCAACTTCGTTAATGATCTGCGAGCCTATCTCACTATCAAGGTAATGTTTGCATGTATTCAACCGTCCATAACTGAAAAACAATAAATCGTTTGTGCAAGATAAGTGCAGCCAAGGTTAAAGAAAATGATTCAGTGTAGAAAGTGGTATACAGGGGTAATGACATGGGCTCAGCACATGTACATCTGCTGAAACCAAAAGTTATTTGAAAAAGAGGTATTCTTACCGAGCTGCAAAGTGTAAAGGTGTCTCCCTTTTGACAGTCTTCCCATGAGGATCAGCACCATGATTGAGTAAAGTTAACATCGCTTTAATGTTGCCATACTTCGAAGCCACATGTAGGGGTGTATGACCATCGTTGTCCAGAGAGTGTAACAAATCAGATAGTTTACTTCTCTAGAAGAAAGAAATTCATGTGTAGTCAAAGTCATCTTGCAGAAATGAAAAATGAAAAACAATTGATAGCCAAATAAGAAAACTGAGTAATTATAGCGCATTCATGGATGGTGCAAAGTATGTCTGAATTATGGGAATATGCCTATCATCAGATATGCATTATAATGAACGTAAAGATGTCTACCTCGGAAATCGGTATATGTTCCGCAATCATCTCAATATCAGCTCCCACCGACACGGCTGCATGTATAAAGGTTCTCCCTTGTTCATCTTGACATGTTATGTCTGCTTTTAATTGAATGAGACGTCTGGCAACCATTGACGAGCCACGGGTTGCAGCTAAGATCAGCGGTGTCATAGAGCGTCCATCTCTGGCGTTTACGTCAGTGCCCTGTGTGCCACCAAACATTAAAAATGGTCAGGGGCCAGCGTTTAGTCGGGGGGGGGGGGTGTGATCGACAATCTTTTCGATTTTCTGTCAAGGGGTGCGATTGTGCATAAACAAGCCAAAAATAAGATTAATTTTGATTTTTACAAAAATTGATGCAACTTCCTTCAAAATTGAGCTAGAAGCTTCAAATAAAAAGCATCACATCCCCCCTCTGGCTACGTCTATGATGGTGATATCAACAAATTTAGATTAATAGAGGACACCTATAGTGCTTAGTTGTGATTTAGTTTACTTCTGGGAATACAGGGTGACCAAAAAAGTGAACCGTTGGTGTTTTTTTTCAACTTCCTCATAAATGCCATGATCAGGTTCATTAATGTACATTAGTCAATGCATGACATCATGTAAAAGTGTGAAATGTCGATCTTCTTCCATTTTTATTTGATGACGATTTCTGGAAATGCCCCTGGCACTAAAACCAAACTAAGATTCTGCGCTTAATATCATTGATCACTCTGATACATTCCTCAACCGTGATAGCTCTTATTCTAGCTTTAGTTACTCATTTTAGCTCCCTTATGGTAACAGGATTGTTTTCATACACATTATCAAATTTGGATGGTTTAAGTCAGGGCAGCGAGGGGCCCATATATTGGGACAACGCCTATTGTTCAGTCAAACTCCAAACCTTGCACAGTGTAGCCCCATCTTGCTGGAACCACGGCTCATGCCTTAGCAATGTTCCCTCATCTGTCAAGAGGCTGCCCAGAATTACTACTACGTATTGTTCAGTGTTCACTGTGACAGCTTTTCCTGTGTCGTCTTCAAAGAAGTAAGGCCCAATTTTGCCGAGCCTTGAGAAATAAACCCAAGCTGTACAATTTGTAAATTGTAATGGCCTTTCAGGCACTGGGTCTGAGGGAGCTGTACCACAAAAAAACATTATTCTTTGAATTGACATTTCCCTTTATAAGAAAATGGGCTTCAGAAAACCATGGATCATTGCGCGCAGAATCCAAGTTTTTTTGTGCAAGGGAGCACATTTGGAGCATGTCCTTAAATAGCCATAAAATAAAAACGGAAGGAGATTGACATTTTACTATAATGTCATGCATTGACTAATATACATTTGTACCGAAAATGAACCTGTTCCTGGCATTTATGTGGAAGTAAAAGGAAAAATCGACGGTCCACTTTTTTTCTGGTCACTCTGTACTATAGTTTTTGGCTTTATTAGGCATCAATGAGCTGACTTTATGAGGCATACAATAGGGAGTTGAATGACCATGGTAAAACGACACGATTTTAAGTTACCACTGATGTAGTTTACAGGAAGTGACAAAACAATTGAGGAGGACAATATTAATCCATGTGATTACTAATAAAATAAAAAACGTATAGACCTGTTCAATTAGGTACGCCACTGTGTCTGGTTGGTTAACAAGAACGGCTCGATGTATCGGAAGCATTTTGGCGTTATCCATTGTATGCAACACTTTCGAGATTTTGTCCTGTTGGGACTCTATCAGAAGTTTAACCAAATTCATACAACCAAGAGTACATGCTAGGTGAACCGGCGTTGCACCATCTCCCTGGATAAAATATAGAAAGATGAGTACTATAAATGTACTATAAATCCCACATACTGTTGTCCTTTGTGATCCATGATGTCATTTTAGATTATATGTGATGTAATGCCATAAAAACATTTATGCTGATCTAGAGTCATATCAATAACTATAAAAGGTGGATACAAGAATCATTCAGGCATTTCTGCATACCTGCTTATCGGTTTGATCTTAAATGATAAAAAGTCAGATCTTGGAAATACAGTTTTAATCCAAGATGAATATAAGTTACCTGTTGGGCATCAATTGCTGCTCCAGCCATCAGGCAGACAGACACGGCGTTTATATCAGCGCTGTTGACAGCCGAGTGCAATGGATGATTATTCTCCTTATCCATCATGTTCAACAGGTCCTGTTTTGTATGTCCAGTGAGTTCATTGCTCTCTGGAATGACATTTTATGAATTGAACATAAGGTTTGTTATATTTGCTTACAAGATCTACCCAAAAAATAAATCCAATTTGTAGTACTACATGTTTTCTTGCTGACAACATTGAAGTCGGATGGAGACATGTTTTTTTTGTAATCGCATTTTCTAATTGAACGATGCATCTCAAATCAACCTTTCTAAGGTAATGCTAAAACATGAAAAATGTGCAGGTATCATGGCAAATTGTAAATGTCAATATGTAATTTCCTAAGAGTGCTTTAATTATATCTCGATCGCAGAGTGTTTTATGACGTTTACCAAACCTCTCTAAAGCAAGCAAGGGCTTGATATCTTGTCGAATCGCTTCCAAACAATTTACACACTTTTCAGGAAAACTTCTTACCAAACATTATTGACAATACATCAGCGGAGCCCACTTTTGCAGCAACGTTTATGGGACTGCAACCATTCGCTGTTACTTGGGATATATTCGCTCCGTGTTGTATCTTGAAAAGAATTATTGAAATATTTCCTTTGCAAGAGACTCATTGTGATTTCTCATTGATCGAATTTGTGGAATACGTACAATACAAGTCTCGATCACCAAGTGATTGTAAGATCTCTTTAGAACACTACGTGGTGATTTGTAAAATAAATACTAACCAAACATCTTGCGATTTGCGCGTCGTTATGTTGGGCTGCAATATAGAGAGGTGTTTCCAGATCTGGGCGTGTCGTTTGATCCACATCAACAATTCCTTCTTTGAGAATGAACTAAGAACGAAAACAACGTTTGGATGATAAAAATATTTTCATAATTGCTTTAAACAAGTAAATGATTTTGCAAAATGGTTTTAAATGAATGATATGCACACGAAAAAATTAGATAAACAGTTATACAGGGTGTCCCGAAAGTATGCCCCCCCCCCATCCCTAGGCAGACATATACCAGTGTCTTCATAGTATGTGTCATATTTCATCTTAAACCTATCCAAAGTTACATTGATTCGCTAAGAGTTGAAACATGATACTTGGCAAATCAATGTAACCTTGGATAAGCTTTAAAATGATATATGACACATACTGTGACAAAACTGGTATATGTCTGCCTAGGGGGAGCATATTTTCGGGACACCCTGTATTTTCTCGTGACATACTTCCACAATTTCTAAATTCCCATGCTTTGTAGCTGTGTGTATTGGTGCCAATCCGTCCTTATTCAAATCAGTTTTCGAAACAGTTTTTAGTTGGTTAAGAATAAACTTCACACATTCAATGTGCCCATTTTCTACCGCCAGATGTAATATGTTGTTTCCGTGTTTGTCACAGCCATTCACATCTTAAAGAACAATGAATGGTTTACATGTACTGTTTTGTACACAGCTGTACATGTACAAACAACGAACGAAAAGATGACCTCCGAAAATCGACCAATTTCAATTTCAACGAAGAAATGTTTTATCATTTTAGACCTAAAAAATGTGACAATGGTAGGTTCGTGGATTAGCTTTTTCATAATAAGCTTCTGAAAATATCATGACGTTTGTTTTCATCATATGAAAATTGGAGGCGTCGTTAATTTTACAGCAATAATATTATATTTTCTATATCTTTTGATAAAATGATGAATGATTTTTGGTATTCATAACAACTTCCATTAATGCAAGTAATAACTGGGATATAGCTTGTTGCAAGTGTTCACTTTTTGGACCACTCTGTACATAACTTAATTTTGTAATAAGTCTCCATCCCCTCCCAAACTATAACATTTATAATATAACTATAGTATTGTTAAAGACAAGTTCAACAACAATCTTTGGCATTTTTCATTTAGGCAGAATCTGATCTATAGGGGGTGACAAAATTACAAGCAACATGTATAACTGACCTACCAATCTATTCCTTTCAATATCAAATTCAATATATCCCAAAAGATTCACAACATGTTATAAATTGGTGAAGTTTTTAATGGTTCAAAGTGCAAAAATGAGTGAAAAATGTTTTAATTCTCCCAAAAAATAAGAATGGTAACCATTCTTATAGAAAAATAATACATTATTGTAAAAATCTTTAGTTTTCCTGGAATAAAGTATGCACTTTTGTGATTTTTAGAAAATAGACATGACAAGGAATGACATGAGACAAAAATATTCTAAAATTGAAACAATTTTTTGTTCAGCCTGCTCGCTATACTGATTCTCTCTTTAACTTACCAAAATGTGATAGAAATTCCACGACAAACATCCTAAGAACTTCGAGACTCCCATTTTCGGCCGCAACATGGTGGACGCCTCTTCCATCACCATCCTTGTACCTCAACAGACTGAAGTCTGATTGGATCAGTTGCCTTGCACTTACAACGGTATTGTTTGTAATGAACTAAAATGAAAGAACACTGTGTTGGCATATAAATGAGAGAATCGACATTAGACTAATTGAGGCTATTCGCTTTACCCCCAGTCACACCAAACTCGTTCTTGAAACATGTTGCCGAATGGCTAAGACTGTGTGCGAACGGTTTTAGATTTAGTTCGAACTTCTTACGATATTTCGAGGTTGCACAAAAGCTTCTGACAGCTCAGACAGGATCGCTCTACTATACCTTGCATTTAGTATTCATTAGCAACCCATTTGGCTTATTAGTATTGATAATATTATTTCAATGTTTTTTATTTGTCTTTTCCTTATTAATGGTTAATCGGATGACTGTTGAATGTTAATACGTATAATAAGGTACTTTCAAAAATATACTAAACAATTCAATTAGACAAACTGAGTATCTTATGCATCTCTAGAGGTTAGGTGTAGTAGAGTAACCCTACTATCACACCAAACTAGTTCTCACTACGTTCTCGAAAACGGGCTTAAACTGTGCACGAACGGATTTGACGTACTACGAACACACTAAGAACCGTTTGGGATCTGTTTACAAACTTCATGAAACTACTAGAACGAGTAGGTCCTCCAGCACTTAGAGCATGCTCAAAATTTTCTGGTGGTCGTCAAAACGTTTCCGAATCGGTTTTAAACTGTGTGCGAACTGAATGAACGTAGCTTCTACGTTCTACGGTCTGTTTACGAACTTCATGGACTTTCCCGGACGGGGTATGTGATTTAGAATTTTGAATCGATTCAAAATTCGATGGCGACCATACCGTTCTACAATCAGGTCATGATGACCTTCTAGACTAAGGGACGGTTTATACTACGTTGCACACCGACGTGGTGCGACCTGAACGAACTGCGAACGAGATGGACGTATTGAAGACTGTTTATGAACGAAGTAGCTAATTATTTTAGACATATATCCCGACCGCAGCCAGATTGAGCCCGTTTTACGACATTTTCGTAGGACTGGCAAGAACGGGTAAGAACTAGTTTGGTGTGATAGGGGGGTAAGGAAGGCGCTCCAGCCTGCTCATTTCGTTCTGGGGCTAGACCAAGTGACATCGTACTTTAAACGAATGGCTTACTACTGTACTACATTGTTACCGTACTTCGATCGTTTGAGGGACGTGATATGAGGCAGAACGAGTCAAATGCAAGAACTAGTTTAAACTGACTACGGGCTGGTTTGAACTGCTTAGAAACTGGGATAAACCTGAATGTCAAACTTAAAGAGAGAATCAGATATAGCAAGCAGGCTCAACAAAAAATGTTTCAATTTTAGAATATTTTTTGCTCATGTCATTCCTTGTCATGTCTATTTTCTAAAGATCACAAAAGTGCATACTTTATTCCAGGAAAACTAAAGATTTTTACAATAATAAATTATTTTTCTTTAATAATGGTAACCATTCTTATTATTTGGGAGAATTTAAACATTTTCACTCATTTTTGCACTTTGAATCATTAATAACTTCACCAATTTATAACAAATTGTGAATCTTTTGAGATATTGTATTTGATATTGTAAGAAGTAGATTGGTAGGTCAATTATACATGTTGCTTGTAATTTTGTCACCCCTTATAGATCAGATTCTGCCTTTAACTACAAGGCCCAAAATATTTTTGGATTGCTTTCACATATATTATCATTAATATGACATATCTACCCATTTTTTAAACAATTTTGTTAAATTTGATGAGCTGACTCGTTTATTGATTAATTTTAGAAAGGACAGATTTTCTAATTTACATTTTTGAGTGAATTTGTGTCAGAGCATGCGTCCGCGGAAAATAAGATATCTCTTAATTTCCAAGTTGTTGATGCTACACAAACATACCGATCTTTCTTCCATTGAACACTCTATCTACACATTATAAAAATCATGAAGATTCCTTCATTATTGAGAGTTATTCCAAAAATAGAGGCTTGGGTCACCCTGTAGTTTTCCCTAAAAGTTCTTGAAAATTTCGCCGAACATGCTAAATTGTACTTGGTGCAAACGGATTAGGCGAAGTTGCAACGTTTTATGGTATTTTTAATTATGGATTTAATTTGCTTGGGCGGGATGGCGCTCCAAAACACCAACCATTTCAAAATGTTGATAGCGTCCATCCCCGTTTTGACAACCCAAAGCTAAGAAACCTTCTTTTACCATTTCCTCACACGACATTTTATGCTAAGAGTCATAAATGGTGAAAGCCATACCTATCAATTATTCTAGAGTTAGTTCTTATATGAGCATAAAACTAGATCTTGACTGATAATTCCGTACAAATTGGTAAATGTCTTTTGATAAAGGTTGAAGCCTTGCAATATCATTATAATAAACAATAATGGCTCATTGTTCTTTTATGCGTCCGGAAACAATACACCGCAATAATGAATTTATCATGTTTAGGGAAATTAAAAAGGAATTGCAACATCAATACGTAGATTAATGAGATGGTGTTAACGTTGTAGTTTATATACTCTGGCGTCTTCTGGGGGAGGACATAGCCCTTTTTGATATTAGATTCGTTTCTTTGTTAAATGTTCAATGCAATGCCTTACCAATACCCGGGAATTTATCGGTTCGTCCAGTACTTGTTTGTGATAGCGCCCTCTGTAGGTCACTATGCTTATAGCCTACAGTAATACGGGGTAGGATATCGGGAATTCGGTCAGTTTCTATCCGTCGATTTCGCTATGAATTGAAGCAAGTGTGACCACTTTATCCACTTAAACAATTTGATAATTGATTAAATCTTTAAACAAAATCGATAAACACGTTATACACTTCCTATCTCCTTAGAAATTAGCATGTATTTATGGATTGTGTTTTCGAACAAGGCTCGACCCACCCCAATAGGGAAATCCTTATGCTAATTAGTATGACGTCATATTTTCCTGGGGAATCCTAGATTTCAAGGCCTCAGTCTGTTATTGTGTCAAATGTAAACGCTCTTGGGACGCTCTTTTGCAGACAGAAAATTGACAGATTAGCTTTTAACTTTCAGCTTTGATGTTTAAATATTCTGTATTTCTACCGGACTTCTTGCTGAATATCATATATGTTATAACTTGATTTGGATCATTGCCTGATTGATCATTCTGAAATTTTGATTGTGATTCATGATTGATTGGCAAGAAAAATAATTCCTATTGTTTTCCAGCGAAGTCAAAATGTTACAGCATGAGTTATAATGTCGAGTTTGCATCATGTTAAATTCTGCTAGTGATTAGAAGTCCATGCACAAGCATACACATAAGAGACAAACACACCCAGGCTCCAGGCCGTGGATGGAAATATAAAACTATTTAAGGCACAAACTGGTATTAATAGACCGATATGTAGTGTCTGCCATGTATTGAAGGTAAACCAATCTGTATTATTAATGTTTCTTCTATCAATACATGGGTTGTGCAATAGAAAAGCAATGGCACAATCAAAAATGTGCATATCAATCGTGAATATCTCTCGGTTCAAAGCTTATTTCCAACAGAATCGTGTCAAAATATGTGTCTGAGTAACAGTTATACATTATAAGATCGCAAACTCTTACCAATTATCAGCCGAATGGCTCATTTTCAACGAGATGTCCTTAAGACAACAGCCCTGGGTCGCGCCTGAGACCAAAAACTACTTCAAATAGCCCTCCCCTAATTATATTGGATAATCACATTTATGCGTGCGCGCGCAGCTCATCCAATGAACGAAACGCCACTTCCCGCTGAAATCACCGGGTATTGATCTTTCCCTTGGCCTTACCTTGTCAATGCTTATTGTTTGTCGTGGAATGAAATGAAGTTTTGGGGGACATAAACGAAAGCATTGTTTTTGGGTTAATTCGTTTTAAAATTCGCTAAAAGTGGCTAAAAGGTTTTAAAATATTGTCATATATACTGGTACTGCACTCTTAAACTAGATAGCGAAGCGGATCCGTTTCCGTATGAAAATGTCGGAACCTCAAAGATTTGGTTTTCCTTTTTCCTCATTTCACGAATTGTTGGCAGAATTTCCACATCACAAACGTGTGTCAGTATCTTTAAGAAATCTTATGTTTAAGAAAATCTAAACGTTCGCGAACAAATAGTTCAGACGTCTTGAAATTTACTGCCGGGGAAAGATCGATCTGAAGGTTATTTCAACCCAGCAAAATGATAGATTGCGAATTCAAGACATTATGAATTATGCAAATATAAAACGTCAAATTCAAATAATGTACCTCATATAGAATATTCCACTTTTGTTTAAATGTCATCCCCTCAATCGCTACATGGTGTAGGTCAACAATATCCTCTGTACCCCTTCCCTCTAGCTCAATTTCGAGCGTAAATCGGCTCTCTGAGTACTTATCCTTAGAAGGTGACGAAGCATCAGGCCCAGCTTCCTCATTGTTAGCAACGGATTCCAATTCCGTCTCGCCAAAAAATTCTGTCGTTGACGATGACGATGGAAAATTGTCCAGCTCTCCAGACCTCTTTAGCTTTCTCAAGAAAAACATTTTAGTTATTAAAGAATTGCAATTTCAACACAGACATTGGTCTCCTTAGCAGTGATTGATTTTAGTGTTTATAGTTCGCTCTTGCATTTAACCAGTTAAGTGAACACCAATGCAATAACAAATGAATTCCAAATGTGCTCATGCTCTGGCGTAGTAATTATGAATATTACTGTAATCGAGGTCACCTCTATCCTCCAATGCATACGACTTATGGTACTACTAACATCTCTGATACCACACATCAATGCTTGATTCAGCAATGTATTGTTTTAAAAATATTTGTTCGAAGTGGAATTCACGAAAGCTCTTACTAAGGGGATAACTGAGGTACATTTATCATACATTATTCAATGATAGCGCATTAACAAGATCATGTTCAATGATGATGGGTCCATTAACGATCAAATAACAAAACATGCGATTACTAGACGTGCCAATCATACAGTCATATAGGCCAATGAATTGTGATGCATAATGCATCATGTAATTCACGATCATCTTTCGTTGATCACCGATGCTCCTGGGATTTTAGACAAACTGTTCTGCAGCATTCAAGTTTTTATAGGATAGAATGGTTTGATGATCTTGATCATATTGACCATAAAACATGTTATATTAAATGTTGAGTGAAGAAACTAAGAAAAAATGTGGCAAAAGAAGAAAAACACTGAAACCAACTGTAACAGGTACCCTTCTTGGCTTCATTATGATTTTTATTTAGTACCATAACACTAACTGATTTGATTAAAAGGGAGCAGATGACAACATCTTGTCCATTCCTGGAGGGATCACCACAGTTTCGGTGAAGAGGGCTCTTCCGCTTATAACTTTGTTAAGCTGATATTGTTCAATTATGTGCACAATTGCGTCGGGTGCTGGTTCACATACGTACAACTGAATCCTCGGTTTAACGGGTAACCGTCGAACCATTTCGTTGAATAACGAGTTTGCTATCGCATTAAATTTGTGTTTGCCATGAACGGAGCCACTATAAAGACATGGCCAGCCCCTCGAACTGTTAAGTATCCACAAGCATTACCACCGATTTTTGCGATTAAAAAAATATCACTATCCCTGTTTCCATTTTCTTCAAGAAATCGCCTTCTACTATATCCTTGATATCCTGCTGTTATGGCCTCATCGTATGCAATGACGTCATCCATATGGGTTGAATCGCCAATAATGACGCTTCCATCAAATATTGCTGGTTCCAGAGTGATTTCACTGTTAACAATACCATTATATATACCAATGGCATACCCTTCGTGTATTTATCCGCACTTGTCTTTATACAATCCAGCAATGGCGTCCACGGAGTTAACCATAAGGTTGCGATCTCCTAAACATGTTTTAGAAGCAGCTACAAGTTGTCGTGCGATACCACGATTTCGCATGTCATCTCTCACAATTATTCTCGTTCCTATACCAAGTGATGGATTTAAATCACACCATTGCGCAAAACCTAAAAATGCAACAATGAGATTATATTGACGTAACACCTTAATCTTAAAGCAGACGGACGGACGAATGCAAAGACGAGAACCCGACAAATGAACACTGGACAGTAGACGTACAATCAAATTGGTAAACAAATGTGTTAAACAAATGTGTGTACCTATGGGCCTATCACTATCATCAACAGCTACAATCCCTTTATCTCCATAAACTCGCAGATACATCTAAAAATATAAGTACAACTTTAATAAGCTAGTGATTGTTACGCGGAATATGGCATATATTCATGGTTGCGCGGTATTTGTGATAGGAGTGAATACTGCCATACTGACCTGTGGTATATGGCATATTCTGCAGGTGAGTATGGCGTATTCCGCAGTGAATATGCGATACATTTGTTTCAGTGAAAACATTGATCTAATGGTGAAAACAGTAATCAAACAAACAGAAATGTAAAAACTCTAAATGTTAATCGATATGTAACAATTAATATGTACAAATGTAAATAATCTGTTAATGTGAATTGTCTGTAATTATATGTAATGTTTAAATCTTCACCTATGTGGAGGAAATAAAGACACTGAACATATAGTGGTGAAAACGCGATACAGAAAGCCTCGATTTGATTGGTCAAAAGAATCGATTCTAAATATAAAACTATGCTGGATTACCAATGTTGTTAGCGCTTCGAGTACTAATATGTAACGCCTGAATTGACCTTTTCCATATAATGGAAAAAAAGATGGCATCATTGGTACTGGTAGGGCTAGAATCAAAGTTGTTTTGATAGAAAATTACACACAGAATTCAAATATGCCATCAAATAGAAGAAAATGTTTGTTTTTAATGGTTAAAAATGCAGATCTCCAAAAATCTCATTAAAACTAGATTTTAACGAGATTTCAAAGCTATATGGAAAAAGGACCATTGATTAAGCACGTTTATTACGTGTAATTGCTAAATGATAATTCTGGAAGTATCAGAAATGTGTAAACTGTGATAGCCAATACAAGAATACATAAATACTCGTATTTTTTAGGTTTTCATCTGGTCTATGTCAACTGTTGATTTGGTTATTAAAATCATTCATCACTCATAAGCTCCACGAATGTAGGTTCGTTTATTTATGCCTTTATAATGTTTCCCTTGAATTAATGTGTATTTGCGTGTTACACATACATAAAACAACATCAAACAACAGCAGGTACCACTAGTGCACTGGTGTATGTTATTCAATTGTATTAGTTTATATGTTCAGTGCACTGGCCTGTTGATTCGGCAATCTTTGTGATAATTTATAAATCTTTGCCCGTTTGTGCATTAATGCAATATTGACAACTGCGTACTTCCGTATCGCGTTCTCATGGATTAGTGAGTATGCCATAAACCGCAGGGGAATCTGTCATACACCACAAGTGTATATGCCATATTCGTCGCGGGATATGACATATATTTGTATTGTGTTAACCGCGTAACAGTGATCGCCAATGTATACTGTGAACTGTCAACTCGCTTCAAATTGACCAAAGACCTAAACAATAGAAAGAATGTCTAAATTACTTTTTGTCGACACTCATTATAATTATCAGGCTTTGTTGACAGTTGGAGACCTCTCTTGAAGTCAATTGGCAAAATTGCATACTGATACTGTAAACCTTGAAAGTACTTTTGACCGAGACCGGATGTCGAGATCAACAGTACTCTCAGGGTTTACTGTTGAGGAATACACTTTTGCCAGTTGAACGAATAGAGAGCACGGTTAACATTTGTTTTGTTAGTCCGGAGAATATAATAATTGGAAGGATATATTACCGAATATCACGTGAACATATTTGGTATCATATTTTAGCAAAAAATCCCCAAACCGTAGACCGTAACCGTAAGTTATTTTTTCAATTTGTTTTCAAAATTAAAAAATTCAACATTTATTCAAAACTAGCAGTCAACAGTACCTAGTAGCGGTCAACAGTATACAAATAGTGACTGCCATTGAGGGCAATATGGCAAACTATTTTCTCCGAGGGAATATCCTGTCCACTGACATGTTCCCGAGGCCGCAGGAGATTTGATAATGTTTTTTGTAGCCAAAGAATCGGCTTGGTCCATCAATTCATCCAAATCATCGTCATTTATCGTTTCGAAACGACCAGCCTTATTGTCGTCTGAACTGAACTTTGAATGCGCACTAATTATGCGCAGTCGTTTTCCTGGGATTTCAATGACGTCATCGGTCATTAGTAGCTTTTATCTTCCCCGTAATCTGCGAAAGCGGGGATTTAGTACTTTCCAGGGAATTAGTCTATCTATTTCATGTGACCATGAATTGACCAATAAGCGTATAGAATACATATGAGGTATGCAATAATACATATTGCTGACCGCTCATCAACCAATCAGAATTGAGTATTATAACATACTTATGATGATGTATAGTGCAAATTGTATACAAGACAGCGGGCCAATATAAGTTTTGAAAAGCCCGCGCCCGCTAACTTTCTGATTGGTCAAGGCGCTGACATCATAACCAATCAATCGAAGATAAAACTGCGCGAGCAATTTTTCTAAACTCATTTCAATCATTTTCAAACCATTTGTTTGTCAATTCTATAAGAAAACGGTACTGTCTGACCAGTCTACATCATCATAGGTATGTTATAAATCGTTTATGTCACTATCGTGGCACTTATGCCCTCGGTTCTCAGAGATCAATGTCCCTCCCAAGGTCGGGCCATATATCACTGAGACCTTGGGCATATATGCCACGATAGTGACATAACCTCTAATTATTATTGAGGTACTAACAATATCAGTTATTACCTCGAGTAGTTCCTTATCTGCGTTCCAATGGTTTTCTTGCATCCATCTTGCCGGCTCTGCTAGATCCTCAATACGAGCAGGACGAATCTTAACACCGTCTACATTGGCCATGCTAAAATATCGTTGTACATGTAGGTTATTCACTTATCTTATGCAGATATGTCAATAGTTTGACTTCGTGTCAATATAGTCTCTAGTCATGTACACGTCTGGGGTTTAATTTAAGTTACTTACAGTATACTTCCTTATTTACCATATTCAGACTGTATGTGCCAGTTAGATTGTAGTCTACAAACTCTGACCTGGAATCATGTACTGATGTATATGCATAGTTGCATACGATGTGGCTGCATACGATGTTTTGTTTTGCAACCCTCATAGCCTAAAACCTCTTTCAAAGGCTGACTGATCTGATAGAACAATTAGAAAACAACAACTCCATGCTATTTGCACCAAATCCCACCGAACAAAACATGTTCTGATAAATAGCGGTTATTTTGAAAATTTCTTCATGAACAGAGCTCCCTTGCCCCTAGGTTTCAGCATATTTTGAACCAAATCCGTCTGGTATTTGAGTTATCAAAGATTATTTTCTAAGAAAAATGGCAGCCATTTTGAATTTCAGCTGCCATCTTGAAAACTTCTCCTTGAGCAGAGCTCCTTTGTCCCTAGGCGTCAGCATATAAATTTTGAATCAAATCCATCCGTTAGTATTTGAGTTAGAATTCAAATTGCGGCCATTTTGAATTGAGTAGCCATATTGAACATTCCTTCTCGAGCAGAGCTTATAAAATTGTAATCAAATCCGTCAACCGGTATTTGAGTCATCGCCCGGACACACGAATGGACGAACGGGCGGACGTGTTGGACGGATTGCTTTTCAATCCCCCTCGAACTTCGTTCGGTGGGATAATCAGGTCCTTGCATGAAAGAGGTAAACCTAAATTGCTCCTTATTTCTCAATCTCATTTGGCGTTATCTCGCAGAAGAAATATATACTTCCGTTAGAATATGTAACCCATAAAGTTCGTTTTATACTCCAAATAGAAATCATCTCAACGACTTGCAATACACTTAAAGTTTCTTAGGGTAGTTATGTTCAGAAATGTTCGTGGATACCTGGGGATCTGATGGGCTATTACAAATCATGTGAATAGACACGACAGATGCCATGGATAATGCATATCAATAATAACTCACAGAGCATACAAGACCTTGTGGGTATGTGTGTACGTGTAGCTAAACTAAACTGGAAATGAAAAATGACAAGAGGAGAAACAAAAACTAATTTAATGTTAAATCATGAAATCGAACGTGTCGAATAAACATGATAAATGTGTCATAAAGCATAGGAGCAAAACTCAATTCGTCGCAAATCCCTTTTGGGAATCTTAATTATGAAACGAAAAATAATTTGTTTAATTGTATCGTTGTAAGGAACCGAATCCAGTGGTATTGAAGAATGATATCAGAGTAGTATATCTTGCAATATATTCATCATGTTTTTATTTCACCTTTGACTTTCAAAGTTCATTGCTGATTTGCTACGCATACGTGTTTTTGTAAATTTTATACAAGCAGTATTTTAAACAATGATTTGACGAAACAGGGCTTGCAAAAACACTTTAAGTCGAACGATCCAACATCTATACGAGTTTTCAGTCTCATTGATCATGGGTGTACCACTAGTTCCTTAACATCTAAAAGGGGGCAAACGAATAGATTTTCTCCATGGGGAAGTTTACACTGTTTTTACTGAATAGCGCCAACGCACTGCCCATCTTCTTCAATTTATATTTCTCAGTGATATACTCGATGGACTCGGTAACAGTAAACGTGTTGAGCTCAATGGTAGAACCTTCGGGAATCTCCGATGATAGGAATTGAATCAGCCTATTAGCAATTTTTGCAGTATTAGCATAAAATGGTGCAACTCTGTAAACGTTGTTGATAAGATGTGCTATAAGGAACCCAACGATAATACCATCTGTAGTCGCAGATATGAGATAATTTTCAGAGCCAACAGCAAACTCAGTTAGGAAAGCTTTACGATCTTGGAGTCCGGTGATTTCCTCATCATACGCTACTATATCATCAATTGATGCAGCAACACCACGACGGACAACTTCCACCGTTGAATCCACATCTAACGCCACATCTCTGTGTAACGAACCAAGAAATATTTCTGCATTGTAACCTTCGTGGACAAATCCATACTTCTTGTAAAAATCAACAGCATGGATTTCGGCGTGTAGCCATGCATTACGATCCCCAATGCAGGACTTGTAGGCACATACTAGTTTCTTTCCAATGCCCTTACCACGGTGTTCTTTCTTCACAATGATTTTTGCTCCAAGTCCAATATCGGGACCTAAGATATTCCATGTAGCAAATCCTATAAGATTGAAAACTTAGGTATAACTAGACATTTGAATTAGCTATTGCTACTAGTAATTTGTTCAGGCCCATTTATGAGATTATTTGGGGTCAATAAAATGTAAAATCTGAAAAATATATGAGCATATGGTAGATAATAGATGTTAATGAAAAAATATATTGAATTTCAACTTTTGAAGGTCACAAAGGGTAAAAAGGTCAACTCTCAAAATTGAGATCGGGTCAATCCTTGGGAATTCGTTTTATAGGTTTTTAGGTCAATATTTGTTAAAACAAGTTGAAATTTGATGAACTCACCAACGGGGCTGCCTGTATTATCTTCGGCAACAATGACCCCATCTCCATAGACTCTCTTGAACAACTAAAAATGATAATAAGATTTGAATTTTCGTTGAAAATTAACAGACTTTGACAAATAATCTAATAGGGACATCGCCAACCATTTTTGGAATAAGTAAGGTCACGTTACACTGAACCATGTATTTCCAATCTGAAATTATTTAACGTTAGGATTCGATGATAATTTTATCAATTTACTGCCTATTCATAGCCTAGATGACAATTCATTACCGTTACCTTGTTGAAGGTGAATCTGAATGGAATAGTAATGACCTAATTACACAAAGCTCTGAGAACAATAGAACAGTCTACATAAGAGACTGAGTATTGTGCAAAATATTTACCTTGAGATCTTCAACATCATCTACCCATCCATTCTCTTGATGCCAAGCAACAACCTCTTCAAAGTCCTCTTCCCGAGCTGGACGGATGGTTACATCCATTCTTTATTTTTAGATGATCGGTCTTATCGGTTTATTCTATTCCTGAATAAATCAGTAGTGGAGGAACTCATACAACGTGTTGCGTAATCGACCTTCTGTCTAAATGTAGTGTCAAGTGTTGATTAGAGAAAATGGGCCGAGCCATAAGTTTTAAAGGACCATATTACATTTTAAGAAAAATGTTTTCGTGTGGAATTTCGTTCTGGAAATCAGAAACTCGTTCAAAATTGTTATAGTTCAAAATCTACACGAGAGAAAGAAGCGAACGAGTACATGTCAATATCACCGTGTATATTAAAATTGTATTCCAAAAATATCATAGGATGTTATTTTGTACTTAAGGTATGAGTACCGTAATCCAACACCAAATTCGAAAATTCATATACACGTCGCACGAAACTGGGGACAATTAGCGTAACATTATGGCGTCAAAAAAAACAAAACAAAACAATGAGCAGTATAGGGCGCAAACAGCCTTACAACGTCAAAAACGACAAGCGTCACATTTTTTACAAGTTTAGTCAGCCTCAAAATAAAATACTTTATCCTTATCTAATCATTACAAAATTTACAGGGTAGCAAGATCTCGAGGACAATATTTCTAAAATGTTTTTGAATTTTGAAAAACGGTCAAGAAATCCACTTGGGGCGTTAGTAAAAATTGATATGTATGGAATTTGTGGTAAAAAATCGATGCGTCACATTTTTTCAAGTCTCGAAAACCAGCTCTTATTTTGATATTATTTGCAAAATAAACAAACCGGTTATTGTTTTGTAAATTTCGCCATGACAATATTGTGCAGTTAAATTTTCTTTCAAATCAGACCTAAATTAGAAGGTTAAATGAAGGTAAACTTATTGCTCGTCCCATTCGCCTTCAAAACCTTACACAATTTTGAAAATTTTAAAAGCGTTCGTATAAGATAATTTGAAGTGTAGCCGTTAAGCAATTGTGACGTCATAAATGCAAATGTTCCATTGAATAAATTGTGAAATTTAAGTGGGATTTTGATCATTATTTCAAAAGTTATCTCAATTTCAACGAGCCCTGTAAGCGTAAAGTGTTACGTCTTACAGCGTATTTGACGATGTCTGAGTATATTTAACTTTAAAAATGTGTTGGATCCCATCAAAATTTTGAAGGAAAAATAATTTCATTGAAATGCGAATAAAAAATACTTTAAAATGATATGTAAAACACATAGTTGGCTTTTTAAATAAGGCAGAGATTAACGTTCAAAGCTGAGATAAGCCCGCATTTCCCGAATTGTCCCCAGGTCCGTGCACGTCATAATAACAATACTTTGCACATATGGCGTTCGTGACCAACTATAAAACGCTTACCCCCCATAGTGTTATATATCAAAATGTACCTGTTCATATAGGGGTTCGATTGATCTACATCAAATTATAGGGAGTCAGGTTACTTTTTGAGATATCAGCGTCCATTTATTGTAACTCGCGTTTGCCACCACTTCCTCAATTCTTATATGACGGGCAAACGCGTAGTAAACATGCTCACGTCGGAACTATTTTTGACCTACATCGCTATTTTCGTAATTCAAATGAAAGTTAAACTCCTCCTCTTTATTTTGATACCAAATAGTGGCATACTAGGTACCCTAGAAGCCAACTATGGCGTTATTTAGAACAATACCACAGGTTTTTAAATGGACTATATAGGGGTCATACCTTTTGGCGGATGGATATGGAACCTCATACCTTTAATGTATAGATATATCCTATGATCACATGATTAGGAGTGTCTAAGAATTTTGATTGGGATCAATTGTGATGATGTCTATTCCGTATCAAATGACACGTGACTAATTTTCATGTGATACGGTGGGCTGTATCACTACGGAGTCAATAGCAACGATGTGACGTCACTGATTATACCACTTAAGGAAAACAATATGACGTCATACTATTTCACAGACACGTACAAATACAACGGTATGACGTCATATTGTTTCAAAGCGAAATCAAAAATTATAATAGTTACCAGGAGTACAGGGTACTGAACACAATCATCTGACCAAATCAAAATGCTTCAAAATCCCTAGACATGTGATAAAATCGTCATCACACGTTTCAGCTTATGTGATACAGGAAATATTCCACTCGGGTAAGAATGTATCACCACTCAAGCTTCGCTTTCGTGGATGATACAATATAACCTTTCGTGGAATATTAAATCGGCTCTCTGAGTACTTATCCTTAGAAGGTGACGAAGCATCGGGCACAGCTTGCTCATTGTTAGCAACGGATTCAAATTCCGTTTCCCCTAAAAATTCTGTCGTTGACGATGACGATGGAAAATTGTCCAGCTCTCCAGACCTCTTTAGTTTTCTCAAGAAAAACATTTTAGTTATTAAAAAATCGCAATCCCAGCGACCTTATTCAGTATAACACAGACATTGGTCTCCTTAGCAGTGATTGATTTTAGTGTTTATAGTTCGCTCTTGCATTTAACCAGTTAAGTGAACACCAATGCAAGAACAAATGAATTCCAAATGTGCTCATGCTCCGGCGTATATTACTTTAATCGAGGTCACCTCAATCCTCCAACGCATACGACTTATGGTACTACTAACATCTCTGATACCACACATCAATGCTTGATTCAACAATGTATTGTTTTAAAAAACATTTGTTCGAAGTGGAATTCATGAAAGCTGTTATTAAGGGGATAACTGAGGTACATTTATCATACATTATTCAATGATAGCGCATTAACAAGATCATGTTCAATGATGATGGGTCCATTAACGATCAAATAACAAAACATGCGATTACTAGACGTGCCAATCATACAGTCATATAGGCCAATGAATTGTGATGCATAATGTAATTCACGATCATCTTTCGTTGATCACCGATGCTCCTTGGATTTTAGACAAACTGTTCTGTAGGATTCTGGTTTTCATAGGATAGACTGGTTTGATGATCTTGATCATACTGACCATAAAACATGTTATATTAAATGTTGAGTGAAGAAACTAAGAAAAATGTGGCAAAAGATTTAAAAAACACTGAAACAAACTGTAACAGGTACGCTTCTTGGCTTCATTATGATTTTTATTAATTACCATAACACTAACTGATTTGATTAAAAGGGAGCAGATGACAACATCTTGTCCATTCCTGGAGGGATCACCACAGTTTTGGTGAAGAGGGCTCTTCCGCTTATAACTTTGTTAAGCTGATATTGTTCAATTATGTGCGCAATTGCATCGGGTGCTGGTTCACATACGTACAACTGAATCCTAGGTTTAAAGGGTAACCGTCGAACCATTTCGTTGAATAACGAGTTTGCTATCGCATTTAATTTGTGTTTGCCATGAACGGAGCCACTATAAAAACATCGCCAACCCCTCGAACTGTTAAGTATCCACAAACATTACCACCGATTTTTGCGATTAAAAAAATATCGCTTTCCCTATTTCCATTTTCTTCAAGAAATCGCCTTCTACTGTATCCTTGATATCCTGTTATGGCCTCATCGTATGCAATGACGTCATCCATATGGGTTGAATCGCCAATAATGACGCTTCCATCAAACAATGCTGGTTCCAGAGTGCTTTCACTGTTAACAATACCATTATATGCACCAATGGCATACCCTTCGTGTTTATATCCGCACTTGTCTTTATACAGTCCAGCAATGGCGTCCACGGAGTTAACCATAAGATTGCGATCTCCTAAACATGTTTTAGAAGCAGCTACAAGTTGTCGTGCGATACCACGATTTCGCATGTCATCTCTCACAATTATTCTCGTTCCTATACCAAGTGATGGATTTAAATCACACCATTGCGCAAAACCTAAAAATGCAACAATGAGATTATATTGACGTAACACCTTAATCTTAAAACAGACGGACGGACGAATGCAAAGACGAGAACCCGACAAATGAACACTGGACAGTAGACGTACAACCAAATTGGTAAACAAATGTGTGTACCTATGGGCCTATCACTATTATCAACAGCTACAATCCCTTTATCTCCATAAACTCGCAGATACATCTAAAAATATAAGTACAACTTTAATAAGCGAGTGATTGTTACGCGGAATATGGCATATATTCATGGTTGCGCGGTATTTGTGATAGGAGTGAATACTGCCATACTGACCTGTGGTATATGGCATATTCTGCAGGTGAGTATGGCGTATTTCGCAGTGAATATGCGATACATTGGTTTCAGTGAAAACATTGATCTAATGGTGAAAACAGTAATCAAACAAACAGAAATGTAAAAACTCTAAATGTAAATCTATATGTAACAATTAATATGTACAAATGTAAATAATCTGTTAATGTGAATTGTCTGTAATTATATGTAATGTTTAAATCTTCACTTATGTGGAGGAAATAAAGACACTGAACTGAACTGAACATATAGTGGTGAAAACGCGATACAGAAAGCCTCGATTTGATTGGTCAAAAGAATCGATTCTAAATATAAAACTATGCTGGATTACCAATGTTGTTAGCGCTTCGAGTACTAATATGTAACGCCTGAATTGACCTTTTCCATATAATGGAAAAAAGATGGCATAATTGGTACTGGTAGGGCTATGGTAGGGCTAGAATCAAAGTTGTTTTCATAGAAAATTACACACAGAATTCAAATATGCCATCAAATAGAAGAAAATGTTAGTTTTTAATGGTTAAAAATGTAGATCTCCAAAAATATCATTAAAAACGAGATTTTAACGAGATTTCAAAGCTATATGGAAAAAGGACCATTGATTAAGCACGTTTATTACGTGTAATTGCTAAATGATAATTCTGAAAGTATCAGAAATGTGTAAACTGTGATTGCCAATACAATAATACATAAATACTCGTGTTTTTTAGGTTTTCATCTGGTCTATGTCAACTGTTGATTTGGTTATTAAAATCATCCATCACTCATAAGCTCCACGAATGTTGGTTCGTTTATTTATGCCTTTATAATGTTTCCCTTGAATTAATGTGTATTTGCGTGTTACACATACATAAAACAACATCAAACAATAGGTACCACTGGTGTATGTTATTCAATTGTATTAGTTTATATGTTCAGTGCACTGACCTGTTGATTCGGCAATCTTTGTGATAATTTATAAATCTTTGCCCGTTTGTGCATTAATGCAATTGACAACTGCGTACTTCCGTATTGCGTTCTCATTGATTAGTGAGTATGCCATAAACCGCAGGGGAATCTGTCATACACCACAAGTGTATATGCCATATTCGTCGCGGGATATAACATATATTTGTATTGTGTTTACCGAGTAACAGTGATCGCCAATGTATACTGTGAAGGTCAAGAAGGTCTCAACTCGCTTCAAATTGACCAAAGATCTAAACAATAGAAAGAATGTCTAAATTACTTTTTGTCGACAATCATTATTATCAGGCTTTGTTGACAGTTGGAGACCTCTCTTGAGGTCAATTGGCAAAATTGTATACTGATACTGTAAACCTTGAAAGTACTGTTGACCGAGACCGGATGTCGAGATCAACAGTACTCTCAGGGTTTACTGTTGAGGAATACACTTTTGCCAGTTGACCGAATAGAGAGGTTAACATTTGTTTTGTTAGTCCGGAGAATATAATAATTGGAAGGATATATTACCGAATATCACGTGAACATATTTGGTATCATATTTTAGCAAAAAATCCCCAAACCGTAGAATATTTGTAATTTTTTTCAAAAGTTATTTTTTCAATTTTTTTTCAAAATTAAAAAAATTCAATATATATTCAAAACTAGCGGTCAACAGTACCTTAGCGGTCAACAGTACATATTGCTGACCGCTCATCAACCAATAAGAATTGAGTATTATTATTGAGGTACTAACAATATCAGTTATTACCTCGAGCAGTTCCTTATCTGCGTTCCAATGGTTTTCTTGCATCCATCTTGCCGGCTCTGCTAGATCCTCAATACGAGCAGGACGAATCTTAACACCGTCTACATTGGCCATGCTAAAATATCGTTGTACATGTAGGTTATTCACTTATCTTATGCAGATATAATAGTTGGACTTCGTGTCAATATAGTCTCTAGTCATGTACACGTCTGGGGTTTAATTTAAGTTACTTACAGTATACATGTGTACTTGCTTATTTATAAAAAGAATCCATATTCAGACTGTATGTACCAGTTAGATTGTAGTCTACAAACTCTGACCTGGAATAATGTACTGATGTATATGCATTATGCATAGTTGCATACGATGAGGCTGCATATGATGTTTTGTTTTGCAACCCTCATAACCTAAAACCTTTCAAAGGCTGACTGATCTGATAGAACAATTAGAAAATAGCAACTCCATGCTGTTTGCACCAAATCCCACCGAACAAAACATGTTCTGATAAATAACGGTTGTTTTGAAAATGTCTTCATGAACAGAGCTCCGTTGTCCCTAGGTTTCAGGATATAAATTTGAACCAAATATGTCTGGTATTTGCGTTATCAAAGATTATGCTTTTTAAGAAAAATGGCAGCCATTTTGAATTTCAGCTGCCATCTTGAAAACTTCTCCTTGAGTAGAGCTCCTTTGTCCCTAGGCGTCAGTATATAAATTTAGAATCAAATCCATCCGTTAGTATTTGAGTTAGAATTCAAATTGCGGCCATTTTGAATTGAGTAGCCATATTGAACATTCCTTCTCGAGCAGAGCTTATAAAATTGTAATCAAATCCGTCAACCGGTATTTGAGTCATCGCCCGGACACACGAATGGACGAACGGGCGGACGTGTTGGACGGATTGCTTTTCAATCCCCCTCGAACTTCGTTCGGTGGGATAATCAAGTCCTTGCATGAAAGAGGTAAACCTAAATTGCTCCTTATTTCTCAATCTCATTTGGCGTTATCTCGCAGAAGAAATATATACTTCCGTTAGAATATGTAACCCATAAAGTTCGTTTTATACTCCAAATAGAAATCATCTCAACGACTTGCAATACACTTAAAGTTTCTTAGGGTAGTTATGTTCAGAAATGTTCGTGGATACCTGGGGATCTGATGGGCTATTACAAATCATGTGAATAGACACGACAGATGCCATGGATAATGCATATCAATAATAACTCACAGAGCATACAAGACCTTGTGGGTATGTGTGTACGTGTAGCTAAACTAAACTGGAAATGAAAAATGACAAGAGGAGAAAAAAAAACTAATTTAATGTTAAATCTTGAAATCGAACGTGTCGAATAAACATGATAAATGTGTCATAAAGCATAGGAGCAAAACTCAATTCGTCGCAAATCCCTTTTGGGAATCTTAATTATGAAACGAAAAATAATTTGTTTAATTGTATCGTTGTAAGGAACCGAATCCAGTGGTATTGAAGAATGATATCAGAGTAGTATATCTTGCAATATATTCATCATGTTTTTATTTCACCTTTGACTTTCAAAGTTCATTGCTGATTTGCTACGCATACGTGTTTTTGTAAATTTTATACAAGCAGTATTTTAAACAATGATTTGACGAAACAGGGCTTGCAAAAACACTTTAAGTCGAACGATCCAACATCTATACGAGTTTTCAGTCTCATTGATCATGGGTGTACCACTAGTTCCTTAACATCTAAAAGCCGGGGGCAAACGAATAGATTTTCTCCATGGGGAAGTTTACACTGTTTTTACTGAATAGCGCCAACGCACTGTCCATCTTCTTCAATTTATATTTCTCAGTGATATACTCGATGGACTCGGTAACAGTAAACGTGTTGAGCTCAATGGTAGAACCTTCGGGAATCTCCGATGATAGGAATTGAATCAGCCTATTAGCAATTTTTGCAGTATCAGCATAAAATGGTGCAACTCTGTAAACGTTCTTGATAAGATGTGCTATAAGGAACCCAACGATAATACCATCTTTAGTCGCAGATATGAGATAATTTTCAGAGCCAACAGCAAACTCAGTTAGGAAAGCTTTACGATCTTGGAGTCCGGTGATTTCCTCATCATACGCTACTATATCATCAATTGATGCAGCAACACCACGACGGACAACTTCCACCGTTGAATCCACATCTAACGCCACATCTCTGTGTAACGAACCAAGAAATATTTCTGCATTGTAACCTTCGTGGACAAATCCATACTTCTTGTAAAAATCAACAGTATGGATTTCGGCGTGTAGCCATGCATTACGATCCCCAATGCAGGACTTGTAGGCACATACTAGTTTCTTCCCAATGCCCTTACCACGGTGTTCTTTCTTCACAATGATTTTTCCTCCAAGTCCAATATCGGGACCTAAGATATTCCATGTAGCAAATCCTATAAGATTGAAAACTTAGGTATAACTAGACATTTGAATTAGCTATTGCTACTAGTAATTTGTTCAGGCCCATTTATGAGATTATTTGGGGTCAATAAAATGTAAAATCTGAAAAATATATGAGCATATGGTAGATAATAGATGTTAATGAAAAAATATATTGAATTTCAACTTTTGAAGGTCACAAAGGGTAAAAAGGTCAACTCTCAAAATGGAGATCGGGTCAATCCTGGGGAATTCGTTTTATAGGTTTTTAGGTCAATATTTGTTAAAACAAGTTGAAATTTGATGAACTCACCAACGGGGCTGCCTGTATTATCTTCGGCAACAATGACCCCATCTCCATAGACTCTCTTGAACAACTAAAAATGATAATAAGATTTGAATTTTCGTTGAAAATTAACAGACTTTGACAAATAATCTAATAGGGACATCGCCAACCATTTTTGGAATAAGTAAGGTCACGTTACACTGAACCATGTATTTCCAATCTGAAATTATTTAACGTTAGGATTCGATGATAATTTTATCAATTTACTGCCTATTCATAGCCTAGATGACAATTCATTACCGTTACCTTGTTGAAGGTGAATCTGAATGGAATAGTAATGACCTAATTACACAAAGCTCTGAGAACAATAGAACAGTCTACATAAGAGACTGAGTATTGTGCAAAATATTTACCTTGAGATCTTCAACATCATCTACCCATCCATTCTCTTGATGCCAAGCAACAACCTCTTCAAAGTCCTCTTCCCGAGCTGGACGGATGGTTACATCCATTCTTTATTTTTAGGTGATCGGTCTTATCGGTTTATTCTATTCCTGAATAAATCAGTAGTGGAGGAACTCATACAACGTGTTGCGTAATCGACCTTCTGTCTAAATGTAGTGTCAAGTGTTGATTAGAGAAAATGGGCCGAGCCATAAGTTTTAAAGGACCATATTACATTTTAAGAAAAATGTTTTCGTGTGGAATTTCGTTCTGGAAATCAGAAACTCGTTTAAAATTGTTATAGTTCAAAATCTACACGAGAGAGTGAAGCGAACGAGTACATGTCAATATCACCGTGTATATTAAAATTGTATTCTGAAAATATCATAGGATGTTATTTTGTACTTAAGGTATGAGTACCGTAATCCAACACCAAATTCGAAAATTCATAACAATACTTTGCACATATGGCGTTCGTGACCAACTATAAAACGCTTACCCCCCATAGTGTTATATATCAAAATGTACCTGTTCATATAGGGGTTCGATTGATCTACATCAAATTATAGGGAGTCAGGTTACTTTTTGAGATATCAGCGTCCATTTATTGTAACTCGTGTTTGCCACCACTTCCTCAATTCTTATATGACGGGCAAACGCGTAGTAAACATGCTCACGTCGGAACTATTTTTGACCTACATCGCTATTTTCGTAATTCAAATGAAAGTTAAACTCCTCCTCTTTATTTTGATACCAAATAGTGGCATACTAGGTACCCTAGAAGCCAACTATGGCGTTATTTAGAACAATACCACAGGTTTTTAAATGGACTATATAGGGGTCATACCTTTTGGCGGATGGATATGGAACCTCATACCTTAATGTTTTATGGCATCACACTGATTTTTGTCTCTGCAACTTTTTTTGGTAGAAAATATCATTTTTAGTTCAAAAATGCATAAAAACGTCGGAACTGGCTGAATATGTGAAAAATTTATCCATTTAGGCTAGAAAGTGTTAATTTGCCCTACCCCAAATACGTCTAAATATGCTAGTCTAACTTTGCCACTGTGACGTCACAAATCTAACCTGACTATCTCTGAGTTTATTGAAGGAAATGATACGTCTGACAAACAGCTTTCATTCCCTATATGGCACACCTTCTACTAAGAGTTGCATCATTGACTAAATCTGAGACAAAGGCCCTGTGTCCCGAGGATTTTGACTGAAATCTGGCCATTTTCGCCCAAATCTAAATAAATTGCAGTTTCCCTCACACCTGTATTTTGAAATAAATATTGCTACAATGTAGCAATTTAAAGATCACACATGCTTACTGTTTCTGTCGACCTGACACGTGTATCTAGCCTGTAAAAATGAAAAATCGCTACATTGTAGCAATTTCACTGAGATATGGGCCCTGAAAATCATGTAATTTTAGCAAAAAATGAAGAAATAACCTGCAATTTTGACGGAATTTCAGAGGGCTTTCTTTCATGCATGACCCTTCACGGGCCTCTTATGACCATTCTTATCCTCACAGAAGGGTTGAAAGTGATTTCAAATCATTGTTTGCCCTACGCAGAACGAAAAAATCGATTCTGTTCTCAAATTATGCTAGAATATTGGTCTCTGGCCAACTAGCAGACAATTTTAGGCCTCATATTAAGGTATGAGTACCGTAATCCAACACCAAATTCGAAAATTCATAACAATACTTTGCACATATGGCGTTCGTGACCAACTATAAAACGCTTACCCCCCATAGTGTTATATATCAAAATGTACCTGTTCATATAGGGGTTCGATTGATCTACATCAAATTATAGGGAGTCAGGTTACTTTTTGAGATATCAGCGTCCATTTATTGTAACTCGCGTTTGCCACCACTTCCTCAATTCTTATATGACGGGCAAACGCGTAGTAAACATGCTCACGTCGGAACTATTTTTGACCTACATCGCTATTTTCGTAATTCAAATGAAAGTTAAATTCCTCCTCTTTATTTTGATACCAAATAGTGGCATACTAGGTACCCTAGAAGCCAACTATGGCGTTATTTAGAACAATACCACAGGTTTTTAAATGGACTATATAGGGGTCATACCTTTTGGCGGATGGATATGGAACCTCATACCTTAATGTATAGATATGGAATTATTACGCCAAAAGTAGTGCGAAATGGCCTTTTCACGTGTTGGCATAAAGTTTTGATGACATTTAAAGACATAGTTCCTCTTTCACGTATATCATCTCATGGAAATGGGCATACCAGCGCAAAGATCTTTGTTCCGTGGTGAAGAAAAGCCATCAAACATTGTCTGAAGAGCAGATTTATCTCCGTAATTCTACTTTTAACATGGCGACCTTGACCTTGAAAAAATATAGCCATTTGGGCGATAATAGGTGATTCAAAAGTGAAAATGAGTGCTTTTTTCGTAGTTTTACTTTGACCAAGCCTAGAAAAAAAATCGAAGTGGTAAACCTACCCCCAATTTTTAATATTTTCGTTGTCTAGAAGTGTCCTAGATGATATCAAAGTTTAAGAAAATTTGTATGTCTAGAAATATTTTATAAATTAGTGCCAATATGGTGGGTTTGGGTGTTTTTTTGCTCTCATTTTTTACCCCATTTCTACGGTTGCCATGGCAACTATAAGGCTTTGGTAACCATGCCAACTTGATTTTTGAAGGACATCCACCTGATAGTAGTTGGGCCAAGTTTGATGGAAAATGGGCATGGTTTGATATGCTGGCAGTGAGGTTGATTGTGGCATGTAGTAAAACGGCAAAACAATGGTGGAGTCATACCATTATTTTGCCGCATTTTGATGCTTAATTTTCAATTTATAATCGTTTGGTACCATCGTGACGTCACAATAAAGCGTCTGGCCTCATGATATGGGTACCAAATTGAAGAGGACGTGACAAGCTTTAAGATGGTACCAAACATGTGGCCATTCATTTGATTAAAATGCTAACTTGAATAAGCCCAAAAGGTGTGTCACTCCCCTACCCCATCCATTTTCAGGCCAGTGAAAAACACCAAAATCTCAAATAATCCAGGCATCTTCAGGGGTCGTTTTTTGGCCCCGTTTTATTCAAAATATCATGTTTATGGATACCATTTTTATCAGAAATGTCTCAATTACCTAAAAACAGTTACACTAGTGCTGAATAAGAAAACATGTCTCCATATATCCTATGATCACATGATTAGGAGTGTCTAAGAATTTTGATTGGGATCAATTGTGATGATGTCTATTCCGTATCAAATGACACGTGACTAATTTTCATGTGATACGGTGGGCTGTATCACTACGGAGTCAATAGCAACGATGTGACGTCACTGATTATACCACTTAAGGAAAACAATATGACGTCATACTATTTCACAGACACGTACAAATACAACGGTATGACGTCATATTGTTTCAAAGCGAAATCAAAAATTATAATAGTTACCAGGAGTACAGGGTACTGAACACAATCATCTGACCAAATCAAAATGCTTCAAAATCCCTAGACATGTGATAAAATCGTCATCACACGTTTCAGCTTATGTGATACAGGAAATATTCCACTCGGGTAAGAATGTATCACCACTCAAGCTTCGCTTTCGTGGATGATACAATATAACCTTTCGTGGAATATTAAATCGGCTCTCTGAGTACTTATCCTTAGAAGGTGACGAAGCATCGGGCACAGCTTGCTCATTGTTAGCAACGGATTCAAATTCCGTTTCCCCTAAAAATTCTGTCGTTGACGATGACGATGGAAAATTGTCCAGCTCTCCAGACCTCTTTAGTTTTCTCAAGAAAAACATTTTAGTTATTAAAAAATCGCAATCCCAGCGACCTTATTCAGTATAACACAGACATTGGTCTCCTTAGCAGTGATTGATTTTAGTGTTTATAGTTCGCTCTTGCATTTAACCAGTTAAGTGAACACCAATGCAAGAACAAATGAATTCCAAATGTGCTCATGCTCCGGCGTATATTACTTTAATCGAGGTCACCTCAATCCTCCAACGCATACGACTTATGGTACTACTAACATCTCTGATACCACACATCAATGCTTGATTCAACAATGTATTGTTTTAACCAGAACAACGGCAACGCCAAAGCGTAGCGAATCCCATCGAACAGCCATGGAGGGCATTTTTACAAACAAAGGATATAGCAAAATGGCAGCCATTTTTCAAAATGGCCGCCTTCTACCAAAAGTGTCATTAGACCATGTGCCATGCTTATGGTATTCACATACCAAATATGAACAAAATCGCTCCACTACTTTTCAAGTTATAGTAAAAAACGTTAAAATGGCGGCCATTTTTCAAAATGGCCACCTTCTACCAAAAGTGCCATTAGGATATAGTCCTGAGTAAGGACACTAGCGGTTACCGTTAGTGATTTGGTTTTCTGTATAAAAAGTCATTTTTCTCCTTTCCTACCCCATTGGAGCGCCATTTGGCGTTTGGGAAGTGAATTGGGACTAAATATTTATAAGGTAGGTCCTGATTTATCTGAAAACATGCCAAAGTTCAGTGGGAAATCTCATTTTAAGCTGGCGGCGGAGTGATTTTGACCTTGGTGATTTTACCAGAATTCTCTGAGAAATCTGACGATAGAGGGGGTTAGTGTCTTCAAGTTTATTTATCTCAAAAATTCGGTGGACATCCCATGGTAAGATTGTTATAGCAGTCTAGGCGAGTCTCTCCCGAACACTGTGGTATGTTGCACTAGGCTTGGATACTAATCGTTAATAAGATACAGGGTAAAATGTTATAATGGCCACCTATGGGAAACTCTACTGTGGTCTTCAACCTATTAGAAGGCGCATTTTTGGGGTATTTTGTAGGTTTTGTCCCCTTTTGAGGTTTTTAAGTTCATTAAGAAGCCTAATAGCGCATATCATATTAAAGGAATGTATCTTAGCTGAACAATGGTACCAAAATCGTGACATTTTGAAGCAACTTTAGTGTTTTGGGGGCGAGGCCATTGTGCCAAGTACCCCGAATTCCATTCTCCCGTGCCATTCAATTGTCTTCTGGGCAGTTTTGAATGAACCTTTGTTTCTCCCTAACGTTATGACGTCATAATATGCAATTGAACGCCTTGACATGGATATCACTCGAAAGATAGTAGAAATCGCTTTCCAATGATACCCCATATGGCCATGTTCCCCTCAGTTGGGTGTACTCAATCTGTGATGCAAACTGTAAGGTGCACCCCTACCCCAAGGAAATCTCAAAATCAAATTTCCTGAATTTTGCTAAAAGGACCTGTGTCTATAAGGATTGAATCTTCCCCCGTGCATTTTCTCAAATATAGCATTGATATATACCATTGTGATCGGGATAATGCCTACAATGCTAATATAACCATGTTGAAAGAAAACAAACTAATTCAGTTTACTATTAGGATATAGTCCTGAGTAAGGACACTAGCGGTTACCGTTAGTGATTTGGTTTTCTGTATAAAAAGTCATTTTTCTCCTTTCCTACCCCATTGGAGCGCCATTTGGCGTTTGGGAAGTGAATTGGGACTAAATATTTATAAGGTAGGTCCTGATTTATCTGAAAACATGCCAAAGTTCAGTGGGAAATCTCATTTTAAGCTGGCGGCGGAGTGATTTTGACCTTGGTGATTTTACCAGAATTCTCTGAGAAATCTGACGATAGAGGGGGTTAGTGTCTTCAAGTTTATTTATCTCAAAAATTCGGTGGACATCCCATGGTAAGATTGTTATAGCAGTCTAGGCGAGTCTCTCCCGAACACTGTGGTATGTTGCACTAGGCTTGGATACTAATCGTTAATAAGATACAGGGTAAAATGTTATAATGGCCACCTATGGGAAACTCTACTGTGGTCTTCAACCATTAGACAGTGTGCCGTGCTTATAGTATTCACATACCAAATATAAACAAAATCGCTCCTCTACTTTTCGAGTAATAGTAAAATACGTTAAAATGGCGGCCATTTTGAAAAATGACCGCCTTCTACCAAAAGTGTCATTAGACAGTGTGCGATGCTTACAGTATTCACATACCAAATATGAACAAAATCGCTTCACTACTTTTCGAGTTATAATAAAATACGTTAAAATGGTGCCAATTTTTAAAATCTTTTTCAAAATGGCCGCCTTCTACAAAAAGTGTCATAGGACAGTGTGTCATGCTTATAGTATTCACATACCAAATATGAACAAAATCGCTCCACTACTTTTCGAGTTATAATAAAATACGTTAAAATGGTGGCCATTTTGAAAAATGGCGTCCATTTTTCAAAATGGCCGCCTTCTACTTAAAGTGTCTTAAGACAGTGTGCAATGTTTATAGTATTCACATACCAAATATGAACAAAATCGCTCCACTACTTCTCGAGTTACAGCAAAAATCGTAAAATAATGAATAAAGACCGCCATTTTTCAAGATGGCTGCCATGTGCTTCTTTAATATCTAAATTTCTAGCTTTATTAATGTCCTATATAGTTTTTTTACATCTAAAACATATTGCTATTACAGTTTTACATATTGCACCTAAATTACTGTAAATTCGGCACTAAAATGGCCGCCATTTTGAAATGAGTGGCCATTTTGAAAATCGGCTTTCGAGCAGAACTTCTACCCCCATAGGGTATATGTGTACAAAATATGAACAAAATCGGGCCAACGGTATTTGAGTTATTGCCCGGACGGACGGACGTACGTACGGACGGACGGACGGATGGACGTACGTACGTACGGACGGACGGAGGCGTTCCCTATATCCCTCCGAACTTCGTTCGATGGGATAAAAAACATTTGTTCGAAGTGGAATTCATGAAAGCTGTTACTAAGGGGATAACTGAGGTACATTTATCATACATTATTTAATGATAGCGCATTAACAAGATCATGTTCAATGATGATGGGTCCATTGACAATCAAATAACAAAACATGCGATTACTAGACGTGCCAATCATACAGTCATATAGGCCAATGAATTGTGATGCATAATGCATCATGTAATTCACGATCATCTTTCGTTGATCACCGATGCTCCTGGGATTTTAGACAAACTGTTCTGTAGGATTCTGGTTTTCATAGGATAGACTGGTTTGATGATCTTGATCATACTGCTGACCATAAAACATGTTATATTAAATGTTGAGTGAAGAAACTAAGAAAAATGTGGCAAAAGAAGAAAAACACTGAAACAAACTGTAACAGGTACCCTTCTTGGCTTCATTATGATTTTTATTTAGTACCATAACACTAACTGATTTGATTAAAAGGGAGCAGATGACAACATCTTGTCCATTCCTGGAGGGATCACCACAGTTTTGGTGAAGAGGGCTCTTCCGCTTATAACTTTGTTAAGCTGATATTGTTCAATTATGTGAGCAATTGCATCGGGTGCTGGTTCACATACGTACAACTGAATCCTCGGTTTAACGGGTAACCGTCGAACCATTTCGTTGAATAACGAGTTTGCTATCGCATTTGTGTTTGCCATGAACGGAGCCACTATAAAGACATCGCCAACCCCTCGAACTGTTAAGTATCCACAAACATTACCACCGATTTTTGCGATTAAAAACATATCACTATCCCTGTTTCCATTTTCTTCAAGAAATCGCCTTCTACTGTATCCTTGATATCCTGTTATGGCCTCATCGTATGCAATGACGTCATCCATATGGGTTGAATCGCCAATAATGACGCTTCCATCAAATATTGCTGGTTCCAGAGTGATTTCACTGTTAACAATACCATTATATATACCAATAGCATACCCTTCGTGTTTATATCCGCACTTGTCTTTATACAGTCCAGCAATGGCGTCCACGGAGTTAACCATAAGATTGCGGTCTCCTAAACATGTTTTAGAAGCAGCTACAAGTTGTCGTGCGATACCACGATTTCGCATGTCATCTCTCACAATTATTCTCGTTCCTATACCAAGTGATGGATTTATATCACACCATTGTGCAAAACCTAAAAATGCAACAATGAGATATATTGACGTAACACCTTAATCTTAAAACAGACGGACGGACGAATGCAAAGACGAGAACCCGACAAATGAACACTGGACGGTAGACGTACAAATTGGTAAACAAATGTGTTAAACAAATGTGTGTACCTATGGGCCTATCACTATCATCGACAGCTACAATCCCTTTATCGCCGTAAACTCGCAGATACATCTAAAAATATAAGTACAACTTTAATAAACTAGTGATTGTAACGCGGAATATGGCATATATTCATGGTTGCGCGGTATTTGTGATACGAGTGAATACTGCCATACTGACCTGTGGTATATGGCATATTCTGCAGGTGAGTATGGCGTATTCCGCAGTGAATATGCGATACATTGGTTTCAGTGAAAACCCGATACTCATTGCGGTATATGTCATATTCTCCTGCGGAACATGGCATACTCACCTGCGGAATATGCCATATAGCGGTGAAAACGCGATACAGAAAGCCTCGATTTGATTGGTCAAAAGAATCGATTCTAAATATAAAACTATGCTGGGTTACCAATGTTGTTAGCGCTTCGAGTACTAATAAATAAAGCTTGAATTGACCTTTTTCCATATAATGGAAAAATAGATGGCAATATGGGTACTGGTAGGGCTATGGTAGGGCTAGAATCAAAGTTGTTTTGATAGAAAATTACACACAGAATTCAAATATGCCATCAAATAGAATAAAATGTTAGTTTTTAATGGTTAAAATGCAGACCTCCAAAAATCTCATTAAAAACGAGATTTTAACGAGATTTCAAAACTATATGGAAAAAATACCATTGATTAAGCACGTTTATTACGTATAATTGCTAAATGATGATTCTGAAAGTATCAGGAATGTGTAAACTGTGAGAGCCAATACAATAATACATGAATACTCGTGTTTTTGTAGCTTTTCATCTGGTCTATGTCAACAGTTGATTTGGTTATTAAAATCATTCATCACTCATTAAGCTCCACGAATGTTGGTTCGTTTATTTATGCCTTTATAATGTTTTCCTTGAATTAGTGTGTATTTGCGTGTAACACATACATAAAACAACATCAAACAATACAGGTACCACTGGTGTATGTTATTCAATTGTATTAGTTTATATGTTCAGTGCACTGACCTGTTGATTCGGCAATCTTTAATTTATAAATCTTTGCCCCTTTGTGAATTAATGTACTTGACAACTGCGTACTTCCGTATCGCGTTCTCATTGATTAGTGAGTATGCCATAAACCGCAGGAGAATCTGTCATACACCACAAGTGTATATGCCATATTCGTCGCGGGATATGACATATACTATTGTGTTTACCGCGTAACAGTGATCGCCAATGTATTAGCACCTCAACTGAAACACTCGATTCTGATTGGTTGATTAGCGAAAAAACATGGTAGACGGACATTTTGTAAACGTTGATGGAAGTGATATTTTGACTTTACTAGACGACAAATAGAAATGTAAAATTAACATTAATTTACTAATGAGTACGCATTGCTGGAATGGTTCGGAGGAAATATTGTGAAATGAAGCCATGCCGATTGATGATTGTCGTCTTTATGTGTATTATTAGTTTCTTCGGACTAACAAAACAATTGTAGACCTCTCCATTCGGTCAACCGTCAAAATCATATACCTCGACTGTAAATCTTGAAACTACTGTTGACCTCGACCTTCAGTCTCTGTCAACAGTAGTTTATCGGTTTACAGTCTCGGTTTACAATTTTGCAGGTTGACCTCTGGAGAGGTCAACAAGTGTATACTGTGAAGGTCAAGAAGGTCTCAACTCGCTTCAAATTGACCAAAAACCTAAACAATAGAAAGAATGTCTAAATATCCCAGATGCGAGTAAAAATAATCTTGATTTACGTCATTAAAAATTCACAATTCAGTCAAACTGATGTCATATTTGGAAATGGGTTTTGAAAAGAGTTTATCAACTTTGAAAATTTAATTTTCTTTGAAAATGTGACTTCTAGGTCGGGGAGATTCCCCATAGACCCCATGCTGTAAAACCATGCTGTGTTGGGTAGATAATATTTTCTTTTACTGGACATATTTTAATTTGTATAACTATCAGATACATAAAGGTAATATGAAAAGTGAACCACTAAAGCTGATGCATATTCAAGTTTAAAGGAATTTTGTAATACCTTGCCATGTTAATTCCCCCGAATAAGCCACCTGGTGGCGGAACAGGTAACTACCAACTCGCATCTGAGTAATTATTTTTTGACGAATTTCGGCCTCGTTTCTGGCTACACTCATTTATTATCAAGCTTTGTTGACAGCTGGAGATCTCTCTTGAGGTCAATTGGCAAAATTGTATACTGATACTGTAAACCTTGAAAGTACTGTTGACCGAGACCGGATGTCGAGATCAACAGTACTCTCAGGGTTTACTGTTGAGGAATACACTTTTGCCAGTTGACCGAATAGAGAGGTTAACAATTGTTTTGTTAGTCCGGAGAATATAATAATTGGAAGGATATATTATCGAATATCACGTGAATATATTTGGTATAATATTTTAGCAAAAAATCCCCAAACCGTAGAACATTTGTAATTTGTTTCACGAGTTATTTTTCAATTTTTTTCAAAATTAAAAAAAATTCAACATTTATTCAAAAGTAGCGGTCAACAGTACCTAGTAGCGGTCAACAGTATATATCGCTGACCGCTCATCAACCAATTAGAATTGAGTATTTCAATTGAGGTACTAACAATATCAGTTATTACCTCGAGTAGTTCCTTATCTGCGTTCCAATGGTTTTCTTGCATCCATCTTGCCGGCTCTGCTAGATCCTCAATACGAGCAGGACGAATCTTAACACCGTCTACATTGGCCATGCTAAAATATCGTTGTACATGTAGGTTATTCACTTATCTTATGCAGATATGTCAATAGTTGGACTTCGTGTCAATATAGTCTCTAGTCCTGTACACGTCTGGGTTTTAATTTAAGTTACTTACAGTATACTTCCTTATTTATAAAAAAATCCATATTCAGACTGTATGTACCAGTTAGATTGTAGTCTACAAACTCTGACCTGGAATCATGTACTGATGTATATGCATAGTTGCATACGATGTGGCTGCATATGATGTTTTGTTTTGCAACCCTCATAACCTAAAACCTCTTTCAAAGGATGACTGATCTAATAGAACAATTAGAAAACAGCAACTCCATGCTGTTTGCACCAAATCCCACCGAACAAAACATGTTCTGATAAATAACGGTTATTTTGAAAATGTCTTCATGAACAGAGCTCCGTTATCCCTAGGTTTCAGCATATAACTTTGAACCAAATCCGTCTGGTATTTGAGTTATCAAAGATTAGGTTTTTAAGAAAAATGGCAGCCATTTTGAATTTCAGCTGCCATCTTGAAAACTTCTCTTTGAGCAGAGCTCCTTTATCCCTCGGCGTCAGTATATACATTTTGAATCAAATCCATCCGTTAGTATTTGAGTAACAATTCAAATTGCGGCCATTTTGAATTGAGTAGCCATATTGAACATTCCTTCTCGAGCAGAGCTTATGGAATTTTAATCAAATCCGTCAACCTTACTCACGTCGAGAGCTACCATGTTAGATTTTGAAAGTATAGCTCTCCATCGTGAGGATCTCCAGCTGAAGAATTGTGACATCTAAATTTGATCAGCGCCAGTCAGCGGCTTACTGTTTGTCTCAAACTGTAGCCTACATATGGGCTCATATGTGTCTACTTTCCCCGTGCATGTAGGATCGCGGATGTGCTTCTATGGCGATCAGGAGTTCTAATCGTTTTTTGTTCGATACCCATTTCCAATATGGCGGTTAAACGGAAATATTATCGACGCATGCGCAACTTGGGAAACGTCAAGCCGCCATATTGAATATACCTGGCCAAAACTTTTGACACGACCAATAAAATGAAGTCCTGATCGATACATAGGGCAGTGAGACGTTCTATAGTTGAGCTGAATGAAAGATGGCGATGTAGGATACATTTTCAGGTATATAATGTGCAACATGAGTCAGCTGAATTCCCTGAAATTTTCTTTGAAGTCAGGATTCCTAATCTGTTGATTCTAGCAATAGAGAGCTATACTTTCAAAATCTAAGTAGCTCTCGACGGGAGTAACGTCAACCGGTATTTGAGTCATCGCCTGGACACACGAATGGACGAACGGGTGGACGTGTCGGACGGATTGCTTTTAAATCCCCCTCGAACTTCGTTCGGTGGGATAATCAAGTCCTCGAAAGAGGTAAACCTAAATTGCTCCGTATTTCTCAATCTCATTTAGCGTTTCCTCGCAGAAGAAATGTATATTATTTCCGTTAGAATATGTAACCCATAAAGTTCATTTATAGTCCTAATAGAAATCATCTCAACGACTTGCAATACACTTCAAGTTTCTTTACGTGGTTATGTTCAGAAATGTTCGTGGATACCTGGGGATCTGATGGGCTATAAAAAATCATGTGAATAGACGCGATAGATGCCATGGATAATGCATATCCAAAATAACTCACAGAGCATGCAAGACCTTGTGGGTATATGTGTAACTGTAGCTAAACTAAACTGGAAATGAAAAATGACAAGGGGAGAAATAAAAACTAATTTAATGTTGAATCTTGAAATCGAACGTGTCGAATAAACATGATAAATGTGTCATAAACCACATGAGCAAAACTCAACTCGTCGCAAATCCCTTTTAATTTGGAAATCTTAATTATGAAACGAAAAATATAAATTGTTTAATTGGATCGTTGTAAGGAACCGAATCCAGAGGTGTGGAAGAATCATATCAAGGTATATCTTGCAACATATTCATCGTGTACTCAGTATTTATTTCACCTTTGACTTTCAAAGTTCATTGCTGATTTTTCCAAAACCATAGATATGCACGGGCCTAAAACCGCTACGCATTCGTGTTTTTGTAAATTTTATAGTTAGTTAGTTAAATATTTATTAGAGTCTCACGCTGTAAAATATATCAAAAACAAGAAATACAATTAAAATATAACTTGTTTTGCACTAAAATTGAGTAAAGATAAAACAAACAGCCCAGCCGGCACCGGCTTATGTGAGACTTTAAACAGTTCATAACATTGAAGAATAGTTTTAAACTTTAAGAGTCTACTTTGCTAGTATGCGTTGCAATGGGGGGTGTACATTCTATTACAGTATTTCCCTAATGATGGAAGGTTTTCAAAGTCAGGAATTGTATCTCTAGCTCTTTGAAAAAGGATAAAACATAATGTTTCATGTAAGGGACAGTCAATTAGAAAGTGTTGCTCGTCTTCAAGAGACTCATTTGAACAAGAACAAGTCCTATCCGCACGGGGTGTGGCACTGTATCTCCCTTCTATTTTTAATGGAAGTGCCCCTGGGCTATGTTACTTCTTTGTCAAAAAAGCAGTATTTTAACAATGATTTGACGAAACAGGGCTTGCAAAAACACTTTAAGTCGAGCAATCCAGCATCTATACGAGTTTTTATTCTCATTGATCATGGGTGTACCACTGGTTCCTTAACATCTAAAAAGGGGCAAACGAATAGATTTTCTCCATGGGGAAGTTTACACTGTTTTTACTGAAAAGCGCCAACTCACGGTCCATCTTCTTCAATTTATATTTCTCAGTGATATACTCGATGGACTCGGTAACAGTAAACGTGTTGAGCTCAATTGTAGAACCTTCGGGAATCTCCGATGACAGGCATTGAATCAGCCTATTAGCAATTTTTGCAGTATCAGCATAAAATGGTGCAACTCTGTAAACGTTGTTGATAAGATGTGCTATAAGGAACCCAACGATAATACCATCTTTAGTCGCAGATATGAGATAATTTTCAGAACCAGCAGCAAACTCAGTTAGGAAAGCTTTACGATCTTGGAGCCCGGTGATTTCCTCATCATACGCTACTATATCATCAATTGATGCAGCAACATCACGACGGACAACTTCCACAGTTGAATCCACATCTAACGCCACATCTCTGTGTAACGAACCAAGAAATATTTCTGCATTGTAACCTTCGTGGACAAATCCATACTTCTTGTAAAAATCAACAGCATGGATATCGGCGTGTAGCCATGCATTACGATCCCCAATGCAGGACTTGTAGGCACATACTAGTTTCTTCCCAATGCCCTTACCACGGTGTTCTTTCTTCACAATGATTTTTCCTCCAAGTCCAATATCGGGACCTAAGATATTCCATGTAGCAAATCCTATAAGATTGAAAACTTACGTATAACTAGACATTTGAATTAGATTTTGCTAATTTGTTGAGGCCCATTTATGAGATTATTTGAGGTCAATAAAAGGTAAAATCTGAAAATAAATGAGCATATGGTAGATAATACATGTTAATGAAAAAATATATTGAATTTCAACTTTTCACAAAGGGTAAAAAGGTCAACTCTCAAAATTGAGATCGGATCAATCCTTGGGAATTCGTTTTACAGGTTTTTAGGTCAATATTAGTTTAAACAAGTTGAAATTTGATGAGCTCACCAACGGGGCTGCCTGTATTATCTTCGGCAACAATGACCCCATCTCCATAGACCCTCTTGAACAACTAAAAATGATAATAAGATTTGAATTTTCGTTGAAAATTAACAGGCTTTGACTAACAATCTAATAGGGACATCGTCAACCATTTTTGAAATAACTAGTAAATTCACGGTAAACTGAACCATGTATTTCCAATCTGAAATTATTTAACGTTAGGATTAATTCGATGATCATTTTAATCAATTAACTGCCTACTCATAGCCTAGATGATAATTCTTTACCGTTGAAGTGTTGAATCAGAATGGATTAGTAATGACCTAATTACACAAAGCTCTGAGAACAATAGAACAGTCTACATAAGAGACTGAGTATTGTGCAAAATATTTACCTTGAGATCTTCAACATCCTCTACCCATCCATTCTCTTGTTGCCAAGCAACAACCTCTTCAAAGTCCTCTTCCCGAGCTGGACGGATGGTTACATCCATGCTTTATTTTTAGATGATCGGTCTTATCGGTTTATTCTATTCGTGAATAAATCAGTAGTGGAGGAACTCACACAACGTGTTGTTCAATCGATCTTCTGTCTAAATGTAGTGTCAAGTGTTGATTAGAGAAAATGGGCCGAACCATAAGTTAAAAGAACCATATTACATTTTAAGAAAAATGTTTTTGTTTGGAATTTTGAAGGGGTTTTAATAGGTGAAAGGGGGTTCTGGAAATCAGAAACTCGTTCTGGTCCCAAATCGTTTAAGTTCAAAATCTGCACGAGAGAGATAGGATGTTCCTATTATCCTACACTTAGTGTACTAAATGTTTAGAAATATCCTAATAAAGGAAATATCCTATATGGTTTTGAAAAAAATATCATTTATATCTATGAGTGTATTGGTATCTTCACGAATGAGCGCACCGAATGAGCCCAATTGAGTGAAGATTGATACCCATGCTATTGATATCCATGTGTGGATATAATCGATATTTTCGAAAAACCATACAAGTGTCCGTTTATCTCTTTAAAATGATTACCCCCCCGTTTATCTCATTAAAATTATTACCCAGCAAAAAATGTTGAGAAATGTGAAAAAGATTTTGAGAAAATTTGAAAAATGAGGAAAAATTTGTGTGGATATAATTGATATTTTTGAAAAACATTTAAGTCTCCGTTACCTCATGGAAAATTATTACCCAGCAAAAAAATGTTGAAAAATTTGAAAAGATATGAAAAGAAATTTGAAAAATTGTAGAAAAATGGAATGCTTTTTAATTTTGGGAAAACCTTAATATGCTTGCAAGTATGGAATAAAAACAAATTCACCGGCCTGTTTACGCAAACACCTGTAAAATAGACTTAAAGGGACGCGGGGTGGAATCATGGGCTCTGATAGAGCCCATGGTGGAATCAAAGATTTGTCCGCTGTTGGGCAGCAAGCTATTTTTCATAAAAACACCTACAAAAAGTTCATATTATTTTCTAACTCGTATCTTTGTACGCACCAAAGAAAATTACAAATGTACCTGTCCTATGCATGCATGGGTATATCATTTGCGGGTAACCTTCACTTCTATTTGAAGTTCAGTAAGCTAGGAGTAAAAGCCGCTTGAAAACGGTGCTAGAGTATCATACTCTAAAACGTACCATTTTTTAACGTTTTAATGGCTTTCAGTGTCTGAAGGTATCCTAGAATCTAGATGTTTTGGGGGTTTTCATTTGTATTTATAAAAATTAATGATTAAATCACTCTCGGGATAGTTATCAGTGCACCAAATAAGAAATGAAAATAAACACTGGATTTTTGAATTGATTAAATAAATATTATCTTAAATTATCTTATCTGTCATTACATTGGGCACATTTTCTGAAAACTGGCAGTGTGCCTTTCTGTTTAGAGATCTTTCCGAAAGGATAAATATTTTTCAGTCACAACTTCAGAGGGCTCAAAAAGCTGTTCCATCCTCAGGCCATCCTGTTTTGGATAACTTTAACCATGAAAATTGCAATCCTGGTTATGTATGTTTGTTTATGTTTAAACAAACGTATGAGACGCTAAAGTTGCTCCGATTTGATGGAAAAACTTTCTAAAGTCCGTTTACACTCCCCTTAAATGATTGATGAGTGCCTGCCGGGTGCGAGGTCGGGCCCGGCCGAGTGAGGACCTCTTGTTGTAAACGCCCCATCCACTGTGATATACACAGTGGAACACCCGTAACAGAACACCTTCCCCAAGGTTGGTGCCTGGTAGTTAAATAATACCAATGCAGACTTCATCAATTGGTCAAAATAATAACTTACAAGAGGATTGCAGGTTTGATACTGTGCATTCCCTCATTGTAAAACTCCCAATTACCGGCCAAGTGCAAGTACCGATCGACAACCAAGGATAGGTATAAAAGGGTCAAAAGTTTAAAAAAATTATTGATGGAGCCAACTGGCATTTCGCCTTAGCCACAGCCATCTTGAACATGTAAATGATATGTCTAGTGAAACTTAGTAAAAATGACTTTAAGCTATGTTCACACCAACGGCGAATGCCACGCTTTAAATCGGCAAGCAAAGCAACCATTGCATCTTTGACTCGAGAACACGATGGCAGAACAAGATCCAAAAATTCCAGATGGACCACAGCATGACCTATCTGAAGAAGACATGATGTTTGTCGTACGGCGTGAAAGAGCACGAGAGCGTGAGGAAGCTTGTCAAGCGTAACAAAGCCTAACAAAGCGTTTCAATCCTTGATTAAAGCGTCTCAATTCGTTGGAAAGCTTGAAAGTCCTTCATGAAAGCGTAACAAAGAGTGTCAGATATTGATGAAAGCGTCTGACATCGTGTCAGATCTCATGCCAGATCGTAGCAAATCTTGAGACATCTTAACGAAGCGTGTCAAGTGGTAAGCCTAACAGACGGTGAAGAGAATGGGGTCCCCGCTTTGAACCAAGCTCTGTTTAGCTTTCCTACGCTTAAGGTCAAGCTTTGCTGAGCTTTGTTACGGTTTGTTAAGCTTTGATACGCTCTCGGCGCTTAGGCCTAAATCAATTCGTAACAGCACGGGTAACAGAAGGCCCAAAATTTTTAAACAGTTTAAAAGTTTTTGGCGCTCTTGCCGAATACCCCGCTTTACTCCGAGCTTCGCTAAGACCTATTACGGCCCTTGATCAAGATTTTTTACGCTTTGGTGCCGCTTTATAAGCCGCTTTGAAGGGCCATAAAAAGCGCCGTTGGTGTGAACGTAGTGTAACGACCCATCAGTCTGTCTTCTCTTTTCAATGGCTTATATCTGGCCTGATGTGCCGTTACTGAGCCTTATTATTGCATTGCTTTAGTCAAAATAACTAACAATTTCACTGTTCACCAGTATGGAGTTTTACTGTATTATATATGTCCTGTATTTGCATGTATTCTGTGGCCAGCGCCTTCATAGCGCCAATGCTAGTTTTGTTTACAGTTAATGCAGAGTGCATCTGTACTTTGCTGGCTAAGCCTATAGCGACTGGACATCGCCTTGTAATTGTATGAATTTTGTCTGTTAACTTTAGTAAGAGTCACCATGAGTCATAGGCTGTGTAGCCCGTCCACTACTTCAGTTTTTGCAGTTACTCAGCTTAAGGATATAGTTCCATTGTTTATATCGCCTTGTTGTGATTATTTTGACCTATGTACGCTATTTAGTGTGTCTAATTTATTGTATACATGTTTATATATATGTACATAACTCTACTGTGCTTCGAATTGTCTTATTTTAAAGTGTAGTTCATCTTGTTATGTGAGTAGTGATATGTAATCATGTTGTGTGATCAGTCTCTTGGAAATCTCAAAATGGTGGAACACAGGTTGCTAATTTCTCTTCAATTAAATTGGATTTATAGCAGTTTCCGTTCGTTAATCGAGGTGAATGGTGTTCTAAGGTAATTATGAAGTAGTTATTTAATTGGTCAAGAAGTTTCAACGCATTTCATTAACTGATTCAGTTGTTATTTAGAGTCAAACTTTTGATGTGATTTCCATGTAACTTTGAGTTTAAATCATGTCTTTTCTTGTTAAAATCTACCTCTTATTACGGTAATTATGCTTAATTGTTAGTGTTAATTATACCCAGTATACCGGTAGAACACGTATTGGTACCAGGGTCCCGTTTTGGAGTGAGTTTTGGGGTGATTCAAGCCATCCCAATGTACGGTAATGGAAGCTGCAGATGGCTGTCAGGTTGCTAGCCAAATGTAGCTAGGCTCTAGTTGGAGCCATTTGCAGCCATGTAGGAGTTGCATGGTATTTGGGTATATTTTACACTACATAAGTCAGATCTTATTCGTTATGTAACATAACTTGTATTAATGAATGATTTCCAATTGAAATAGAATTAATTAATGTTAATCTTTAATTGCTTTTATTATGTTGTTTTATTGTGTTGGTGAGATTAACACTTATACATACACCCCCCCCCCCCCCCCCCCGACTAACATTGACTATTAACATGGACTGCGACATTTAGACTTCCCCTAATCAACGCCCCCTCCCTCAGTCACACTGGCTGTTATGCCGTATGTGACTAGTCACTCACCCCCCTCACATTCGCACTTTCCCAGATACGAGCTACAAGTGGCTACACAATTGGTGTGTGAATATAGGTGACCAGGCTGACCCCCCCTGGCTACATTTAGCTGCAGCCCTATAGTAACTAGTTAGTTGTCCCACACCACCCTTGGTCCGAGGCTACATTGGGCTGCAACCCTATATTGACTATTGAGGTGTCCCATACCACCCTATACCCGGGGCTACATTAGGCTGCAACCCTATATTGACTAGTGAGGTGTCCAATACCACCCTATACCCGGGGCTACATCAGGCTGCAACCCTATATTAGCTAGTGGGTTGTCCCATACCACCCTTGGTCCAGGGCTACATTAGGCTGCAACCCTATATTAACTAGTGAGGTGTCCAATACCACCCTATACCCGGGGCTACATCAGGCTGCAACCCTATATTAACTAGTGAGGTGTCCAATACCACCCTATACCCGGGGCTACATCAGGCTGCAACCCTATATTAACTTGTGAGGTGTCCCATACCACCCTATACCTGGGGCTACATTAGGCTGCAACCCTATATTGACTAGTGAGGTGTCCCATACCACCCTATACCCGGGGCTACATTAGGCTGCAACCCTATATTGACTAGTGAGGTGTCCCATACCACCCTATACCCGGGGCTACATTAGGCTGCAACCCTATATTGACTAGTGAGGTGTCCCATACCACCCTTTACCCGGGGCTACATTAGGCTGCAACCCTATATTGACTAGTGAGGTGTCCCATACCACCCTATACCCGGGGCTACATTAGGCTGCAACCCTATATTGACTAGTGAGGTGTCCCATACCACCCTATACCCGGGGCTACATTAGGCTGCAACCCTATATTGACTAGTGAGGTGTCCCATACCACCCTATACCCGGGGCTACATTAGGCTGCAACCCTATATTGACTAGTGAGGTGTCCCATACCACCCTATACCCGGGGCTACATTAGGCTGCAACCCTATATTGACTAGTGAGGTGTCCCATACCACCCCATACCCGGGGCTACATCAGGCTGCAACCCTATACCAACTAGTAGGGTCCCCATACCACTCTATTCCCTGGGCTACATTGGGCTACACCCCTCTGGTATCAAGTGAGGTGACCAATACCATTTCTCATCCTTGACTACACATAGTTATAACCCCAATGTATGTAGCAGGATGATCCTATTGACTTATCCTTACTGACTACATGTGACTTTACTCTCACATATTAATACGGACTTAATACAGACTTATAAACCCACATGTAATTGTTTTATTATTAAATGATAATGTTGAAATGATACTGCTTTGGGAATAAGATAACAGTCTGGGACTGTGTTATGCCAAGGCCATGCTACACTTGTATGGCAGATACATGGCCCAGGATTGTTACACTGGTGGCAGCGTCGGGATTTAATTATTACCTAATAATTAGACCCACTTTATGTTTTTATTAAATATTCTAAAGTAGTGTTGTTTTCAGTTGTTTAATGGTGTCAACTTTTTGTTTGATGCTAATTTAATCTTGTTTTCCACACTGGTGCGTGTGGATGGCCATTTTGGGATTTTCAGAGACCCAGTCCATGTAGCATTCCACAGGACTGTATCGATTTAGGTTGGTGAAGTAGCCCGTTGTTCTACTTCCAAGTGTAAAGTGGTACGTATCTTTACCACAGACCCTCTGGTTTGGTATGTAGGTGGGACCTAATATACAAACATATCAAATCTTCCCAAGCCAAAATTGTAGATCCCAGTTGTAAAACCCTGTCTTATCATGACCCACCAGAACATCTAGAGTGTCATGTCTTGAAAGCACATACATTATGCATTTGTTGGTGTGGATGTCTCCTGTACCCTGTTCTCGTCCTGTTAGTGAGTTTCTTTCGATGATGGTCATGCTGGGCATGATTATAATCGAGAGATAGCTTGGGTAGACGTACCCATACAGTGACCCGAATATGCCCCTCCCCTTACATTCCACTTGCCCGAAATGTGTGTGATGGTACGATCCTCTTGTGCTTTCCTGGTTGATGAGGAAACGTTGTACTATATCTCCCTACAACTGGAGATCTCCATAGCCATATCAGAACGTCTGGTATACTTTTTCTTTTGCCTACTCCAACAAAAGACCCCAGCAAAACCTGTCCGACTGGTATAGAGCCATTGACTTGGGTAGGGTGGTCCAGGAAGCCCCTGCCCAGTGATCATACTTCTAACCAGTCCCAACATATTTGTGTGCACCTGTCCCATATCGTATATAGGTGACTAGGAAAGTTGTCTATTGGGAAATAGTCATTATATGACTGATAATGGGAGTAGCGATAATGGAATGTCCGAAGGATGACCTAATTGGTCTGATCAAGTCCAACTGGCAAACCTATTCAACTTTGTAGAAGTAGGTCACCATGCATACAACCATCTTATGTGTCAATGGTGGTCCCTTTCATTGAACTGATTTGGGATCTGTTATTTATACGGTCTGATAGATATTTGAGCTACTGCCTCGATCTTGGCAAGTGGTATTGCCAAGATTAGTTACCAAAATGTTGATAGTGGACTGTCAGTGGAAGTGAGCATGTCTGGACATAGCTTTTGCTGGCGTCAATCAGCTTTTGTTCCAAGGAGGGCTGATTGTCACAAGTCCCCTATGTGGAGTGTTATCAGTCAACAATCCATGTACCATCTGATGTGGCTGACATTTACCACATATGTATGTGGCATTTACTACGAGAGTAAATGTCATTTGCTATGTGTGTACATGTATCCTTGGCGACTTATATTTCCTGAGAAGCCGCGGGGTTGTTGTGTTTCTTAAGAGTGGAACCCTAATTATAGCTAGATGGTTTGAGTGGCCTGTGCTACCTGTTGTCCCTACTGTCTCTGATTGCCAATATCATGTAAATATTGATTAATATTGACACATTGAATAAAGCTTCCCTTAGCGTTCCCCCCTTTAGTGATGTTGATACCTCCACACGGGAAGATGGTTCCCATAGATCCGAAGAGTTGCTAAATAAACCCCAAGTTTACATCTCTGATAATGATGGCGTCAGGATAATGTACAGTCTCTGGTGCCTCATTGATTTATCCTTTCCATTATTGATTACCAACTGAAGTAATGAGAAAAGACTGTCTACCCAAACTGTTACCTTGTTGCCCTAGTAGATGACCTAGGCTCAACCGTTACACAATTGGAGTAATTGTGAACGTAATGTTTGAGGCAGAGTTCCCTTGTACATAGTGTATATAATTGTGATGGTGCCGAAAGCTGTCAGTAAAACATTGCACCAACTGTAAAATGTTATCTCCATCCCTCAATGGTCCCTAAATGCCTAACTCCAGCAATGTCACTTAGCTGTAGCCTATTTTGTCTTGTCCCACAGTCTTAAGGTAGGCGGACATTGAATATGTGTGTGGTTACCATGGTTGACGATCCCTGGAGCTAGTATAGATATGAATGTCTATGTAACGTGTCTCCACAAGAGACTTATTCGTTGGCTGGCAATGGGAGGAAGTTGTAGCTATTGTAGATTGGAACATCCGCATAGCAATGATACGAGAGTGGAGTTTCTCTTCCAGGTTTAGAGATGTCGACCACAAGCCAACAATATAGAGAGACATTAAGAGGACATTCTGTAACCATACACCAAGGATTATTGGAGAAGCTTACTACATATATTTGATCTTCATACTGTATTTGATGTGCTATATATGAACTTATGACTATCTCTGTTATACAGAGGCGTTACCAGGGTACGCAGTGTTCTGGATACGACTAGTGCCAACTTAGTATAAAATGACTAAACATTCATTGGAATTCTAAGAAGAAAACAATCTTAATGACTATAGCTACAAAATACATGTGCTATTCTGAACTCTTGATATTAATATAAATGTGGTTTCTTCATACGAATATTGTAATGACATGTTTTTTCAGGTGATGCAAGTCATAAATGTATAACCATGTAAACTACTGTATTATTATGCACCTTTGAGATCATATCTTCACATTGAATTACAAACTTATCATGTATATTTTTGATTTATCTTTTAATTATTTTGTAACAATTGTGTAAAAGTTCGGGACGAACTTATTTCAAAGAAGGGGGCAGTGTAACGACCCATCAGTCTGTCTTCTCTTTTCAATGGCTTATATCTGGCCTGATGTGCCGTTACTGAGCCTTATTATTGCATTGCTTTAGTCAAAATAACTAACAATTTCACTGTTCACCAGTATGGAGTTTTACTGTATTATATATGTCCTGTATTTGCATGTATTCTGTGGCCAGCGCCTTCATAGCGCCAATGCTAGTTTTGTTTACAGTTAATGCAGAGTGCATCTGTACTTTGCTGGCTAAGCCTATAGCGACTGGACATCGCCTTGTAATTGTATGAATTTTGTCTGTTAACTTTAGTAAGAGTCACCATGAGTCATAGGCTGTGTAGCCCGTCCACTACTTCAGTTTTTGCAGTTACTCAGCTTAAGGATATAGTTCCATTGTTTATATCGCCTTGTTGTGATTATTTTGACCTATGTACGCTATTTAGTGTGTCTAATTTATTGTATACATGTTTATATATATGTACATAACTCTACTGTGCTTCGAATTGTCTTATTTTAAAGTGTAGTTCATCTTGTTATGTGAGTAGTGATATGTAATCATGTTGTGTGATCAGTCTCTTGGAAATCTCAAAATGGTGGAACACAGGTTGCTAATTTCTCTTCAATTAAATTGGATTTATAGCAGTTTCCGTTCGTTAATCGAGGTGAATGGTGTTCTAAGGTAATTATGAAGTAGTTATTTAATTGGTCAAGAAGTTTCAACGCATTTCATTAACTGATTCAGTTGTTATTTAGAGTCAAACTTTTGATGTGATTTCCATGTAACTTTGAGTTTAAATCATGTCTTTTCTTGTTAAAATCTACCTCTTATTACGGTAATTATGCTTAATTGTTAGTGTTAATTATACCCAGTATACCGGTAGAACACGTATTGGTACCAGGGTCCCGTTTTGGAGTGAGTTTTGGGGTGATTCAAGCCATCCCAATGTACGGTAATGGAAGCTGCAGATGGCTGTCAGGTTGCTAGCCAAATGTAGCTAGGCTCTAGTTGGAGCCATTTGCAGCCATGTAGGAGTTGCATGGTATTTGGGTATATTTTACACTACATAAGTCAGATCTTATTCGTTATGTAACATAACTTGTATTAATGAATGATTTCCAATTGAAATAGAATTAATTAATGTTAATCTTTAATTGCTTTTATTATGTTGTTTTATTGTGTTGGTGAGATTAACACTTATACATACACCCCCCCCCCCCGACTAACATTGACTATTAACATGGACTGCGACATTTAGACTTCCCCTAATCAACGCCCCCTCCCTCAGTCACACTGGCTGTTATGCCGTATGTGACTAGTCACTCACCCCCCTCACATTCGCACTTTCCCAGATACGAGCTACAAGTGGCTACACAATTGGTGTGTGAATATAGGTGACCAGGCTGACCCCCCCCTGGCTACATTTAGCTGCAGCCCTATAGTAACTAGTTAGTTGTCCCACACCACCCTTGGTCCGAGGCTACATTGGGCTGCAACCCTATATTGACTATTGAGGTGTCCCATACCACCCTATACCCGGGGCTACATTAGGCTGCAACCCTATATTGACTAGTGAGGTGTCCAATACCACCCTATACCCGGGGCTACATCAGGCTGCAACCCTATATTAGCTAGTGGGTTGTCCCATACCACCCTTGGTCCAGGGCTACATTAGGCTGCAACCCTATATTAACTAGTGAGGTGTCCAATACCACCCTATACCCGGGGCTACATCAGGCTGCAACCCTATATTAACTAGTGAGGTGTCCAATACCACCCTATACCCGGGGCTACATCAGGCTGCAACCCTATATTAACTTGTGAGGTGTCCCATACCACCCTATACCTGGGGCTACATTAGGCTGCAACCCTATATTGACTAGTGAGGTGTCCCATACCACCCTATACCCGGGGCTACATTAGGCTGCAACCCTATATTGACTAGTGAGGTGTCCCATACCACCCTATACCCGGGGCTACATTAGGCTGCAACCCTATATTGACTAGTGAGGTGTCCCATACCACCCTTTACCCGGGGCTACATTAGGCTGCAACCCTATATTGACTAGTGAGGTGTCCCATACCACCCTATACCCGGGGCTACATTAGGCTGCAACCCTATATTGACTAGTGAGGTGTCCCATACCACCCTATACCCGGGGCTACATTAGGCTGCAACCCTATATTGACTAGTGAGGTGTCCCATACCACCCTATACCCGGGGCTACATTAGGCTGCAACCCTATATTGACTAGTGAGGTGTCCCATACCACCCTATACCCGGGGCTACATTAGGCTGCAACCCTATATTGACTAGTGAGGTGTCCCATACCACCCCATACCCGGGGCTACATCAGGCTGCAACCCTATACCAACTAGTAGGGTCCCCATACCACTCTATTCCCTGGGCTACATTGGGCTACACCCCTCTGGTATCAAGTGAGGTGACCAATACCATTTCTCATCCTTGACTACACATAGTTATAACCCCAATGTATGTAGCAGGATGATCCTATTGACTTATCCTTACTGACTACATGTGACTTTACTCTCACATATTAATACGGACTTAATACAGACTTATAAACCCACATGTAATTGTTTTATTATTAAATGATAATGTTGAAATGATACTGCTTTGGGAATAAGATAACAGTCTGGGACTGTGTTATGCCAAGGCCATGCTACACTTGTATGGCAGATACATGGCCCAGGATTGTTACAGTAGCTTTAACTAAGAATAAGACGCTGTTATCTTCGTATCCAGCATGTTTTTCACTACCTACCAGTGTTTGGTACAATTCTGATAACTACCCAAAGGTTAAATAGATAGGAGAACGCAGAATTCCCGATACATACCTCTAACTTGAATTTTGCGATTTCTTTTTAGAAGAATTATCGTAGTGACACCTTAATGTGACACGTGACCCGGAAGTAGGTATCATGTGATAGCTCAAAATGGCGGCTCGAATTGGAGGTGTGTAAGATTTCATCCTATTCCTTGACAATTTCTTCACACTTCTCAATTATAGGCTGTAATATTACCTTAAATTCTCAACTTTAATCATTCTTTTATATTTACAACATATCAGCATTGACAAATAGCTGCGGCGGCCACTAAAGTAGGTCGTCGTACAATCCAATTTCATTTTCATTCAATTCTGAATTCATGTTTTACTGAGTTTTACTAAGTCCTACTCTAGATCTTCAGTGAGAGTGAATGGGGGTCTGCTATTTGATTTAGAATCGATTATGTATTCAGGATTTATATAAAGATTAGGAAAACTAAAAAGTTAGCATTGGATGAATTTGTTTCAGTTGGACTCTCAGTTGAATCAGATAGATCAACTCTACATTTTCTAATTTCAGGCAATATACAATTATGGAATGATGCAAAGAAGAATTAAAGCTAGATCTACTACTATAACGTACACATGGTATTGTTACAACGATTAAAAGAATATATTCAACGCACAACCTAAAAATCCAAGATGGTTGTTGACTTTCTTGCAGAAAATAACCTGTGTGGACAGACTATTCTTCGTCTTGTCGCTCGAGGAAATGCCATCATAGCAGAATTGTTACGTCTTTCAGATTTTATCCCGCCAGTTTTCAAAATGGAAAATAAGCAAGATGTTGCTAAATATGGAGATCTTTTGTCAGACTTCAGCTACTTTAGAAATGCAGAATATTTTGATAATAAGATTGATTCTAAAGAGGTAATAGTTTATCGCATCCTACGACCCCCACAAACGTAAGTGGGAATTGTAGGATGTGATAAGGTAATAGTATAGCAGTATATTTATAAAGCATTTGATTTGTTATCTAAATCTACATTATGCTACTTATAAATGTAGTGTTCCATTTGTATTCACTCAAATATGCATTGTGTGGAATGTATATTAGATGATTCAATTGTAGCATATATACTGAAAAATGAACATAATTTAGTGCATAAATGCATGCCGCTATTTAACCATATCATGTAGATTGTTTGTAATTATTTTAAAAATTAATCACTTCTTATATTTTTGTGTAACATTATGTAATTGTTATTCTATTATTGATCAAATCTTGTATATGTTTCAGGAGCTGCAGGACTTAGATGCCGAGTTCCAGGAAAATAACATAGAGATTCTCACAAGATTCTACCTTGCCTTTGAAAGTGTACATAAATATGTGGTGGATCTTAATAGGTAAGGGGTGTAGCATTATACGGAAAATAACATAGAGATTCTCACAAGATTCTACCTTGCCTTTGAAAGTGTACATAAATATGTGGTAGATCTTAATAGGTAAGGGGTGTAGCATTATACGGAAAATAACATAGAGATTCTCACAAGATTCTACCTTGCCTTTGAAAGTGTACATAAATATGTGGTGGATCTTAATAGGTAAGGGGTGTAGCATTATACGGAAAATAACATAGAGATTCTCACTAGATTCTACCTTGCCTTTGAAAGTGTACATAAATATGTGGTGGATCTTAATAGGTAAGGGGTGTAGCATTATACGGAAAATAACATAGAGATTCTCACAAGATTCTACCTTGCCTTTGAAAGTGTACATAAATATGTGGTAGATCTTAATAGGTAAGGGGTGTAGCATTATACCAAATCAACATGTATTCATCCTTTAATTTACAGGGTGACACAAAAGTGCAACCCTCAAATTTTTGATTTAGATTTTCAATTACTATGGTATCTTTGTGAATTTTCTGTGAAGATGATGTGTTCAGTAGTAGAAGCAATGCAGTTCTTATATAGCATCAATAAGGTTAATATTGAACAAATATTTCACTCTATTGAGGTGAATACCTGTACATCTTTCACAAGTGATATTCCACGAAGCCCGAAGGGCAAGTGGAATATCACCTTGTGAAAGTGCTACAGGTATTCACCGAAAATAGAGTGAAATATTTGTTTTATTATATCACTGTCTAGCTAAACATCCCTAATATTATTAAGTCATAGGTTAACATTGAAATATATATATTTTTACGAATCTACTTGGTTCGTCTGCCATTTTGACTTACACTGAACTAAATTATTTACACTGAACGAAAACAAATTCTTTGAAAATTCCTGGGAGCGGCGTGGGATATCGCTAGATATCTCACGGTTGTCTTATCTGATTAGCATTGCCATTGAATATCGCCAGATATCCCACAACATGTGACCCGGTTTTGACCAATCATACTGTCGCTAGCTAGATAGTGATATAATAATGGTAGATATCATGTTTCTGTTTGTGCATGGTTGCAACTTTTTCAATACATATATTTTCCAAACAACCAAGTAATTTCATTATTATCTACGAAGTTATTTCATAAAAGTGTGAACTAAACAGGAAACATTTTTGATAACTAATGTGTATGAAAGCAGTCCAGAAATAACTCAAAAATGGCAAATATACAAGTACATGTATAGACAGATATCCCAAATTCTGAAAATAACATTTTTTAATGTTTTTGGACAATTTTATTCAAAACATGTCAAGATGGAAAAAGCTTCTCTAAATCACATTTTATGCCATTTATGTTAACCACTGTTTCACGCATTGAACCCTCTATCAACACAGATACATTCAAAAAAATTCATCATAGTTGAGAAAGAAAAATGTCTCTATGTACAGGCTCATATTCTCAGGGTTTCTATTTCATTTATATTTTGTAGATTTCTAGAAGATTTAGATGAGGGTGTCTATATACAACAGACCCTAGAGAGTGTACTTCTCAATGAAGATGGCAAACAAGTGATGGTAAGTTACTGCCTCACAAAAAGTTTACAAAAAATATTAGCCAAACATATTTATCAATATTGAACATTATAAAATCAATTAATATTATTAGCTTAATAATTTTAATATCAAAACATTTGGATTTATTTATGAAATATGTGTCAACAAAATAAACCAATAAACATGACTAGAAAATAGTTTAAGCCTAGAAATAAATATAAATATGCAGATTATTTGAACTGCAATTCAACTAAAATACAAACATTGATGAGTCATTACATGAAATATTTCAACATTCATAAATTCTTAATTTACTCTTTTCACTTTCTCCAGATCTGGCGGCAGGGTCTAACGCCCAGCTGCCTAAATGAAAGAATGTTAAAGCCCCCATATAAAGTTTAAACCACTATTTGGCTTATATTGTAGTCTTACCCAGTGTTATCAAAGTGTGATATGTGAAACTTTTTTTTAATTTCAAAAAGTGGTTTTTGAAGGACTTTTTGTTCGAAAAATCGTGAATTTATTTAAAACTTACTTTTAGAAGTCACATGTATTTTTTAATTAAGAAGTATAGACCGAAAAGCATGGGTAATATTGTCGAATACACCCCACAGGGCTAGGCACTCCCTTCTGTACCCCGAAGGGAGTGAGGGGTTTGAAAGCTTTTGTGCCTAGCCCTAAGGGGTGTATTCAACGATATTACCCCTGCTCTGAGGTCTATATTACGATTCGAACATGAAAACTCACCAAAATGTTTCGAATATGCATCATGGTCCGCCATTAGTACAACCCACCATTATGACGTCACACATTACACGTATTACCAGGGGTATTGATTGCGAATATATCCCGGGTGAAATGTTGACTTTGTTTACAGTTTATACAAGGCATGAATACAGTCATGTTCGAATAAGCGATAATTCATACCAATGCATAGCATTCATCCTCACATGTTTTTGCCGAAAGAAATTAGAAAATTCGTTCCACATAGAAAATTCATAGATTAGCGAGGAATGAATTCATCAATGCATGAAAATGGTTCAGAAAAAATGCATTTCCAAATTTTAGTTCTCATAGAAACCAATGGTACAATGATATCTAAAACAAAATATATTCTTCCTTTTAACCTTGTTAGACAATCAACATTGGTTTATTTTTGAAGTTTAGCATATTTGGAAAAGATTGACATTGAAAAAAAAAATTCAATTTTTTTTCGAAAAGTTTTTGCCACCTGAGTGATTCATCATGACATCACAAAAATACTTTCTTATGTACTAAAACATTGAAGTGGCGCATTAAATATAGCATTTTATTATTGAAATAGTGTGATCAATCTTTGCATTGGTGTTAAAAAGATCGTCTTTTTTAAATGTATGGAGGAATATTTGATGATTAATGAATGAGCTTCGAGATCAGAGAAAAGTCCCTCTCATCTCAGTTTTTAAGACTAGAGTGTTTATATACATATTGATCTTTCAATTTAATTTAATAATAGGTCTATAAATATTTTACTTAACTTACTTAGTGGCCTACATTGCCTGTCGATTAACATTTGCTCACATTTCAGAGTGAGGTGCTATATCTGTATGGGGTGATGTTGCTTATCATAGATTTGAGAATGGAGGGTCCAGTGAGAGAGAGGATGATGGTCTCCTATCACAGATACAGGTTAGAGTTCTTTAGTTGTCACTTTGAGCTCAGGTCTTGGGATTTGGAGGGTATTGTTTCAACTGTTGGGTCCATCCATCGTAACATTGGTTGCATGTATATAACCAATCACTGTTAAGTCGTATGCATATTCATTTTATGTTTATCTGGAGTGTCAAATATTTATGTACCATTTGATTTTTGTGAAACAATTGCCTCTCGGAAAACAATGACTTATGTTTGGCTTATTTTTTTATTGCATACACAAGACAAATAAAAATACTGTAACTTATAATTATCTTTACATCTAACTGATTTCAACATATCCTTGAACATTTTTCTTCTTTAGCTCCCAGTCTAGCACCAGTAGCTCTAATGTTGATGATGTTTGCAAACTGCTACGTAGCACAGGATTCTCAACCCAAGCTACAAGCAAAAGACCAACGCAGTATCCTGAATCTTACTTTGGGTAAGCTACACATTACATTTAGAACATGACATCCACCACCTCTAGAATTGTTAATTGATTATTGCAGGCCATATATAAATGTAATATTGTATTTTAATTAAGCTATAAATGGTATGGTCAGCCTGAATGAATTTACATTTACATTTTAGGGTGGGGTGACTTATAGCTGTCATTTATTTACACATAAGCACATGATGATGAACGCTTTTGAAAACCAAATTCATAATTTTGTGCAACCTACCTAATGCATATTACTTTATGCTGTATACTAACATTTTATAAGTTTTAAACAAACAAATGTTCGATAATGATAATTCTGTGTTCATATAATAACCAGATAGGATTTAAACATAAGAGTATGCAATTTTTACATTTATTTCATAAATTACAGGAGAGTACCTATCAATAAAACATTCATCAATATGCTGATTGGTCGATTACGATCAGATGACGTCTACAACCAAATCTCAGCATATCCATTCCCTGAGCATCGTAGCACGGCACTCGCCACGCAGGCCAGCATGTTGTACGTTATATTGTTCTTCGCTCCCGGTATTCTCAATGGAGAGCAGGCAATCATGAGGGAAATAGTAGACAAGCATTTCCCTGATAATTACGTAAGTTATATTTGGCATTATTTATTCCCACCGTCTCGTGCAATGTCGTGCAGTAGTATCATATGATGCATGAACAAATCTTGCCTTTTGACATACATGTATGTGTTTTTAAAGGATTTTTATGTCACCACCAAATGTTGTGACATATTGTTGTTTTCTCCATTTTTGTTATGGCAGTTGGTGTCTGGCATCTGGTGTTCAGCATCTGTAGCAAATGGTAGGTCGTGACATTTGGCATGTTAATGCCTTGTAACCTTTGTAAATGAAACCAAAGCTGAATGGCAAAAATGATGAATTTAAGAGTATAGTTTATACATGTAATTTACTCATCTTGCAGGTAATCAGTGTGTACATGGGGATGACTGTTAACCTCCTTGACTCCTGGGCACCTTACAAAGCAGCCATAACAGCATTAAACAATACTCTCAGCACAGCCAATATTAAAGAACAGGTAAGATAACAGGGTTAGAAAATTGATTTTATCCCATTGCATGTACATAAATTGTAAAGCATCTGCACTCTGGACCCAGCAAATGTGTTGGAGGGAGGAATGTTCATATCTTAAAGAGGTGGCTTTAACATGGCAGCCTATTTATGCGAAATGAAAATGGAACCCCTTGACATAGTGTTCATGTTCCAGAGGTGTTCACCATTATGGGTATTTTATTTTTAGTTAATAGATTTTACTTTTAAATGAAAGGCATCCAAGATTTTATGGCACATTATGTAGTAAATTGACATTAACGTACATATACGCGTATATTATGTACAATGAGAGTACATACAATAATATCAACAAGATGTCTTAAAACTGGGTCTACCTTATCTCTATGTGTTTCAGGCAGTAAAATATGGTGTGAAGGTTCAGAAGATTATTCCCATTGTGATACAATATCTGAAGGAGGGTGTTCTCCAAGAAGAGTTTATATTGGATAACATTCCTAAACTGATGAACATCCTGAGAGAATGTAATGTGACTCTGCGCTGGATGATGCTGCACAATGCACCTCTCTCTCCAAGTAATCATTGCTTTAGCATTTTCACTTTGGTCATCATTCATTCTTGTATCATTGATGTTTTCCTTGAAAGCTTTGGCAACTTTTACTGTATGCTGTTACAGTGAAAATAGTAAACGAATGATAAAAACATATTTTGAAACTTTAAATGGGGCCTTTTAAGCTCATTAATATATGAAATAAAATCAAAAAGATGAATTGTACAAAATGCAATTGTTAAATCACTAACCCAATAAATTAAATGAAGGAATGTATCTTTATAACATGATTTAAATATGAACTTGTAGGTGCTGAGGCCAATAAAAGATGCAGGCAGTTTCGCGATCAAATCGCTTCAGAGAGTAGATATAATCCAGAAGTGTTATTTGCCCTTCTCCTGAACACATCACAGTTTGAGTTCAAACTTAAAGAGGTATGTCATTTCGTTGCCTTTTATAGGTGTGATTTAATAAGTTATTTGAGGTGTTTTATTTTTAACTTGATGCATAGTACCATACGTGTACTTTAATATATGATATGCAATTTTAAAATTTCAAAGTTGACCATATCTAATTGAATGGTCATCAAGGAAAATATCATGTTAAAACAACAGGACAAGGTCAGCATCCCAATTTTACCACAAATCATATTTTAAATACCTTTTTCCTTCGCCAAAAGATAATTGTTACGACTCCTTTTAAAAGTTCAACAACTCCTCAACAAAACTGAATGATGCGATGTCTTACTTTATGTTGTAGATGTTTAAACACATGCTTGCTCAGAAGCAAACCAAATGGGAGGAGCACAAGAAGGAGGGTGGTGAGAGAGTACAAGAGCTTGGAGATGTATTCTCAGGAACAAAACCTCTAACTAGGGTAGAGAAAAATGGTAAGATATAATTAATTATACAATACAGCAGTACATAATACTTTCAGTGTTATTCAGTTCAAGTGCTATTCAAGTCTAGTTCAGTAAAACCTGTCTTCGTTAACACTGAATGACATGAAAATAGCCTCAAGACATAATCTCAATACAAAAGCTTTCCAATATGACCATTGTAGCAAGTTTTCCTGTGTGAACAATGGGGAAGAAGGTTGCAGTTGCTACTGCTGCGTATAATAAATTCTTCAAAGGAGATCAAGTGTGATTGATATTCAAGTATACATTACTACTAGAGTGAATATCATGTATAACAGTAGAATGGTAATCCCAGCTGTAATTCTTCGTAATTACACCAAAGATATTTTTTACAAAATGTACATCATTTTTAGGGTACAGTATAATATGTACTGAAAAGACAGATGTTGTACTTAGCAAGTTTGTTTTCATATATCATATTCTTTCATTCATAATTGTAGAAAATCTCCAAGCATGGTTCACTGAGATGGCCAAGCAGATCAACTCACTAGACTATGATGATTCCACTGCTGCAGGGAGAAAGATTGTACAACTTATTCAAGCACTGGAGGAGGTAATTGAAATGTCATTCTTTAATATATTTAGTGAATTACATACATATATACAGTTTTTATGGAAAAATATTGAAAATGTAATGACACTTTAAAGCACAATGGTATAAAGGAGTTGAAATATCAAGGAATAAATGGAGAAAAGTGGAGGTTGAAGAGGTTACCTCAATTTTGAAGTAGAGGTTGAAGAGGTTACCTCAATTTTGAATTACCTGATTTTAAAACATTAAAGCAAACTACCAGAAGGTTTTTCAATGGAATGTTTTTGTTTTTTCTTGTTTCAAATTCTCCACTGATAAGTCTAAAGGGTGCCGTCTAAAGACGTGGGAACAAATTCCAAATGTAATGTTTTAATAAATCATGTTCCCATTGAGAATATCTTTATTTGAAACAACTGTCTGAATAGTAAATACATGTATGCATCACTGATAGTTCATAATTGTTTAGTGTAACTATAATCATGCAGAAATGGCATTCTGTTTCTGTATTTTAGGTGCAAGAGTTCCATCAATTGGAGAGCAACCTCCAAGTGAAGCAGTTTCTAGCAGACACCAGGCAGTACCTGCATCAAATGATCAGAACCATCAACATAAAGGAGGAGGTATTGGTCACACTGGAGATTGTAGCTGACCTCTCATATGCTTGGGAAATTATAGATGGGTAAGTAAATAGGAATTTAAAGATATTAAAGTATAAGTTGTTCTTCTCTATTTGATTTCATTGTATTATAAAAACTGCAAATAAAAGTTGTATTTTACATGTACATGTATAAGTTGAGGAATACTAGTGTGGAGAATAGGTTTGAATAGGTTGAAATGGACGAGAAAATGAGATGAATGTCAATATTGTTACTGTATCTTATATATTTGTAGGTTTACTGGCCATATGCAACAAGGCATCAAAAAGGATCCAGCTATGGTAACAAAGTTAAGAGCAACATTTCTTAAGGTATAGTATGTAAATAATCTGAATATGTATTTTGTATACTCTATGCTTTTGCATGATTTATTAATATGTAAAGTATTTTGCACTTATATAAAAATCTTGGTTTACTCATTTTTATAATTAATATAATTTTTTCTGTATTTCTCTTGTTTTGATGAAACAATGCGTTTTAAAAAATGTGAAACTAAAAACCATTTGAGATACATTAGAGTGAATCTGTTACAGATGGCATCTGCATTGGACATGCCTTTGTTACGAATCAGCCAAGCCCAGAGTCCTGATCTCATGAGTGTGTCGCAATACTACTCTGGGGAACTTGTATCCTATGTTAGGAAAGTCCTTCAGGTACAAGATTTTATTTGATATATTATGAGACCATTTAAGTAGACATTTTATACGTATATCAACCAAATAGGAATAAAAAAAGATCTCATTGACATTGGATCTTCATTTTCCCCTAGCTAAATACAGTAAATGTATACTTTTTAGATCAGCGATCATTTATTTTCTGATCTGTATTTATTGCAGTTAGACTATATCCTTTGTTTTACCTTATAAGGTCATGTTTGTGTCACCTGAACTAGTAATACTTCAATGTATGTATGAAATGTATTTCAGATTATACCCGAGACAATGTTTGGTCTTTTGGGTAGGATAATCCAGTTGATGACTGGGAGCATAAAAGAGGTGCCAACTAGATTAGAGAAAGACAAGATGAGAGAATATGCTCAGTTAGATGAACGCTATGAGGTAATACATATATTACTAATGATTTGTTAGACAACACTTAATAGTTTTGATTATCAACTAAAGAGTGCATTCGAATCTTGGTTAATAGTGTCAGAGTATACTTTTCATAGTCAACATCTTGAGTGGTCAGTAATTGTTCATTTACATATTCTTGAAAAGTTGTGTCGTCTCCACATTTCTGCTTCCTCCAGTATTTCTTGTGTTGGAGATGTAAAGAAGTCAGGCTTTGTTCAGTTATACTAAACCCCTATAGATTTTCATTTATCATAAGGTTTAAAATATTGACATCAATTTTAGAATACACCCATTATATGTAAAACCATGGACTTGTAATGACTGGAAGGAGAGTGATTACAAGTTAATCCACTACACTTAATTTAGAAGGAAAAAGATGAAATAATCATTGAAACATGTAAATTACACACTCAATCAAATATTATACAAAGCTTGATTTGCATTAATATTGAACCAAGAAAAAAAACAGCATTTGAAGTTAAGAGATCTTTAGTAGTGCATGCACATTTTTGACAAAGTGCATGTTTTTAAATAACTCTTGATTTAAAAGATGGCGATATTTCTATAAAAATGAAGGAATCGTGTATGTTGAAAATATGCATAGATAAGGCTTTAAACCAAATTCAGAATGCATTAATATTTAGATTTCCTCTTCTTTATAAAACAATGATAGTAAATATATTTCTTGATTATTCCTTTATTTGCAGGTTGCCAAACTGACCCATGCTATATCAGTGTTCACTGAAGGTATACTGATGATGAAGACAACCCTAGTTGGCATAATAAAGGTGACACATTTCAACAATCAGAGGTCTTTTCATCAGTATTAAAAGCAATAAGATGCAACACCGAACCAGCACATTAAAATTACCTTGCACCAAATTATTGGAGGATTTGAAATACCATAAATACTGGAGTTGTCAAAGCAGAACAAGAATGTACCAAAATACTAATCTACAAGTACATACAATTTTCTAGCCATAACTAGAATATAACTTTGATAAATTGCATACCATATAAACCTTGCATCAGCATATCCTGGTGAAGTGAATAATTTACAATTTATGAAAATACTTTTGCAGATTGACCCTAAGCAGCTTCTAGAGGATGGGATTAGGAAGGAATTAGTGAAACAAGTTGCAACTGCCCTTCACCAGGGACTTATCTTCAATCCAAAGGCTAAGGTGGGATTCTATACCTTTCTCAGTCTTACATATATCTCATGTACTTAACTTTACTTTATTTGTAATTTTAGGCTTAACATTATTAATATGTGCCTGTATATCCACTCTGGATTTTAACCCATTTGCCACTGTTTTAAGAATATTTAAGTAAATAAATAATATTAAAAACTTGTATCCATGTGGTGATACATGGAGAATAAAGAGCTGATTGGTTGTAATGTAAATATCACTTATAATATAGACATTGTGTGACAGAAAAATATACAGTAAAACCTGTTTACTGCATTTGCTTGTTGACTTATTTAATTGCGATTGAATAAATCATTTTATTTTAGACAAGTGAACTAAGCCCAAGGTTGGATGCTATGGGGGCCACCATGGATGGCTTCAGGAGGTCATTTGAGTACATTCAGGATTATGTTAACATATATGGCCTAAAGATATGGCAGGAGGAAGTTTCTAGAATCATTAACTACAATGTAGAGCAGGAATGTAACAGCTTCCTTAGAACAAAGGTAGGGAAGAACACAATTGGGGTAAAGAAGCAGAGAGGCTGTGAAGTTATTATCTCACAATTTTAATTAAAGAGACTTTTTATTTTTTTTGTATTTTGAAAATTAGTGATTTTGAACGTTGATAATCGATATATTCATTATAAATTTCTCTCATATACATACCATGAATGGAATGATGTCTTTCAAACTACTATTGAACTTGAAAACTGGCTAACTTGATCTAATTTCTTAAACCGAGCTTTGGATTCATTTACTTCAGGTGGCAGATTGGCAGAGTATATACCAGTCAACTGCCATACCCATTCCAAGGTATGCACCCACTAATGCAGAGTCTGTTAACTGGATAGGACGTCTTGCCAGAGAAATACTTAGGATAACAGATCCAAAGTGAGTACCCATTTGAATGTGAAACCTAAGTTGAATCTTATTTTAATATAAGTTTGAATTACAGACACAGAAAAATATGAGACCAAGAAGTGTTCAGATTGAGAGGTGTTCAACACAAGTGGTGACATATTGTTATTGTCTTACTTTTTATGGATGGTGTCCAGTGTTTGGCAGTCGGTGTTTGATGTTTGGCTTTCGGTGGTCAGTGTTTGTAACAAATGGCAGGGGGTGAAATTTTGCATGTTAATGCCATGAAGTATACATATACTCAATGATAACCTTTTGACTTTTCATCTTTCAGAAATACATCCTACATAGACCAAATGAGGGGCTGGTATGATATTAGAACAAAACAAGAAGTCTGCAATATTACTTTATTTAAAAAATTACAGGTATGTTTCAAATGAGAATCCATGTTTAGAACTTCGAATTGACATATTTGATTTTCAATGAAAAAACATTCATTATATATGATATGTGTAATTATTTTCATATTGCAATGACTATTCACACTCTGTTCAATAAAACATTTCATATAAAAATAAATAGTCAGTGAATTTTAAAACAGGCCTCTGAAAATGTCAATAGATAAACATGGAAGTAAAAAATTGATATTTTTATCTTTTTATATCTTCCTATAATATATGTGGATATCACAACTTAAACTCTGTTAATGTCTATTGATATATATTGCAGAGGGGTGTTGGTATATGGGGCCTGACGGGTCTTGACAGACTCTTGTGTTTCATGATAGTTCAAGAGCTACAGAACGTTCTACAAATACTAGAAAGAGGTGTTCTCAGAGACAAGGCGTGGCTACAGATGTTTGGACAGTTTGTGAACTCTGTTAACCCAGTCAAAAGTATAGTTAGTAAGTACACAAAATTTATTGATGAATATTTATAATTTCATTTCACACTCTGGTGATCTTCAGTTTGAGATATTCAATATTGCTTAATAATATAAGGGATTAGTTCATTTTACAGACCAATGGAGGAATTGCTTCAATAATGAAAGGATTGCCTCAATGAAATGAATGATTTCGTTCATTGAATGGAGGGGTTGCCTCAATGAAGGGAGTGGTTTGCCTCAATAAAAAAAGAAGCTGTATCTATCGATAAGGGTATTGCTATCATGCATGATTGGATCGATGGTTCTCCAAATAGATGGATGTTTGCCTATCAGGAATATCTTTTTCGTGATATCATCTAAAATCAATGCCTGAGTGTTCATGCATATCTTCCAGGTCATCCTCAGAAGATTTATACTCAAGCAACAGCCAAAGCTATCAAAATGTGGCCCCAGTTCCTGGATGTCAACTTAAGAGTAAGTACAACATCAATATGCTATTATACAGGGTGGGCAAATACAAATCGGACACTAGCATTTTTTCTATTTGAAAGAGCAAATATGGAACCACATGTCATAACAATTCTTGTTTCTGTTGGTATCCCAATTGTGAATGCAGACATTTGTTGAACAAACATCTTCCAGTCTTCTGTTTTTGTCACTTGATCTAAACATGATACTATTACACTGTTAAAATATTTGTGTCTTTCTTTATTCAGGTTGGGCAAATGCAGCTTTTAAGGCGACAGATTGCAAGTGAACTGAACACATCTGCAAAGTTTGACTCAAAATTCCTCTCCAGTACATTATCAACTTTCAATGAGTAAGTGAGATTGTAGAAGGACAAAGTATAAAGTTTAAACATAGAAATGCATTTCTCATATGACTAATTTTCATTCAGCCATCTTTACCCAACAAAAATACAATAACCTTTCATTCTAAGAAGTAACATTGTTCAAGATGAAATGGCTTTGTGATATCATTTGTTAAAATACAACTTCATAAACCCTGTTGCTAAAAGTATCCATTCATCTTCCATAGATAGCAAGTGGTTGCTGTGTCATGCAGATGTCCGATGTACAGTATTCTCACTCAAGAGTATTACAATTGTGTTCATTTTTTCAGGGCTCTACTATCAGACATAGAGAAGCATTACCAAGACCCAGATCTCCCATATCCCAAGGAGGAGAACCCCCTCATGTTTGAACTTACCTCGTACCTAGAGTGTGTTGGTGTACACAATCCACTATCAAAGGTAGATAAAGTTGTTTAACTCTTAAGCCTCCAAGGCTCGTGTTAAAACTAATACGTTAAAATTTGAATTACAATTTTGTGTATACACCACAGTTTATTCACAATATCTATTTTTCTTTTTTTCAGATTTACATTACAACCAAGAGGCTTCAGTACTTCTCATTGTTCAACTTTTTATTCGTCATTTCACAGATCCCAAAACTTGTCTACGTGAAATCAGTGGGTAAGTTGAATTCCTGCATAAAAAGATTTGGTCAGTTACAAATGAAATAAAGGAAAAAATAAACAATTTGAAATCAATGCCATTTTAGTTCATTTTTATTTTTTGATCAAAGAAGCATTACCATTTGGACCAATGGTTTCATCCCGGATTTAAATTGTGGAACCAAATATTAAGTAAACCAATAAATCTGTTACTGTCTATTTTGCATCTACTTCTATTTTAGGTGGTATGGTGTGTAAGCGTCCCCAAGAACCTATAGATGGCGCCCCATTTGTGGTGGGCACAATAACATTTTTGAAACAGTTTCATTCAGAGAACACTGACCAGTTCCTAGCACTCTTGGGCCAGTATGTGCGCTCACACATGGATGTTGCCACCAGGTTAGTGGTTTAAGCAAAGCTAAATAAAACCTATATCCCACAAACATAGAACTAAGCATTTTATGTTACCACCACAAGTGTTGTCTGTTGTGGTTATAATATTGTTATAGTCTCCAACCTTTTTGTGGAAGGTGTTCGATGGTTGGTGTTTGGCATTTAGTGGTTGGTGCTTTGCATTTTGTGGTTGGTGTTCGTCATTGAGCATCTGTAACAAATGGCAGGCGGTGACATTTTGCATGTTAATGCCTTGTCTAGCTTTAGTTGATATCTCAAACAATATCTACTTCAGTGCCACTTCCTACCCCCACTAGAAATTCATATGACTGTTTATTTGGAATTTCAGTAGCAAGAGTCCTGAGTTGCCAACAGAAGTGATCAATGTCCTGGTGTTCCTGGAGGACTTTGTCTACTACAGTGGTTTGCCCAGAAAGGTGAGATGGCATTTTTAAAAATACATTTACAAAAATAGATTTTGCAAACAATATACATGTATGTCAAATTCCTGAATAACATTTAATATAAAAAATTGTTTGAATCACTTAGAACATTTTATTGAATATGCAAATCTAGACTGATATTACTTAGTATTGATTTTGTCATGGGCTTTCAAGAGATTTCAAAGATATTAAAGTCTCATTTCTATTAAATAAAATAATTATTTGATCTCCATGAAAGGACCGGGAGCTGTTTGTAGAATGAGTTTTTTCACGCATTTCGCTTATGTTTTTCATCCAAAAACATCAATTCACTTTAAAATATTTTATTGATTATAAGATTGCACCATATAATTCCAAAAAAGATATTTCTCATTTTCAAGGATTATCTATTCATTAACATCCAGGTATTTTAATTTTTCAAACTTCAGAGGACTGGGAATCATTGATCCTAAACGCTTTTGAATAATATAAATGCTGTTTTAAATAGGATGCCAATAATTTCTCAAATTGTGTAAACTGTCCACATTCCTTAATCCTTAGAATTTTCTCTTTGCGGAATTTCCCAGAGAAATCCAATAGTACAATTCCAAGCAGATTTTGAGGAATGCAATCTTATAGTCATTAAAATGTTTTAAAATGTATTGATGTTTTTTGGATGAAAAACATAAGCAAAATGCATGAAAAAAACTCCCCTGATTCATTCTACAAACAACACCTGGTCCTTTTGTTCCCATTTCAGAAAGTAATATTAATATTAAAATCACAAGGTGCTCCAGCCTGATCCTGCCATACAACACCATACAACCTAGTATATGTAGTTTTCTAATAGGCCTATACATGATTTCACTAATGTTTCAGGTGGTAGAGGCGCATATACCAACTTATATATTTGATGAGTTCAGGAGCCAAGTCACCGTTACGTGATCCATGTCAGGAACTAGATGGGGGAAAGTGTATCCTGTATATGTATCATGGTTAAGTTTTTACATTTTCCAGTGGAATATTCTACAGGAATTCTTTATATCTTCATATTTCAAATAATACTTCCTCCCAGATATGTATGGAATAAACATTGACAATTCAATTGACAGGAGTAACAGTAGTTTTGTTATGTGGAAGTCAGAGAATTTCAATTCTCAACACTTATCTTAGTTCCTGTGACTTTGTGCAATACATAACAGTGTAGGTTGTGTATAATGTAATAAATGAAGTTTGTATTACTGCCGCATTATTTTTCTTCAATATTGTACATTCAAAATTTGAGAAATATGTACTATTATATTCATGATACTGTATGGTTGCTATATACCTAATGAATTTCCGTATTTGTACATAAATATATAATGTAAATAAATAAAACATATAAATTGGAATAACCCAATGTCCTATTTGAAATACAAAATACAATGTATGTGTAAAATAGTTTTTCTTTTTGATATGTTAAACTTTACTCTTCCATTTGGTAGATATACCCCCAGACCTTGTTACATACTTTTACTTTCAACCTTTCATCTAAGTAATCATCAGTCAGAATATGTGTATAAGGAATTTCCTACTTGAGCATGTCCTACTTCATCATTGAAAAACATTTGGTAGGAATTCTCCTACTTAAAAATGACATTGTTGAAAATATTAATAGAAATTATTTTACTTGAATATATGGCATTGTTGAAACTATGGGTAAAAAATTGTCCCTGGCTTGAAAGTGGCATAGCTGAAAATATGGGTAAAAATTGCCCCACTTGAGTATGGCATTGTTGAAAATATGGGTAAAAAATTGTTCCTGGCTTGAAAGTGGCATAGCTGAAAATATGAGTAAAAACTGTCGCACTTCAGCAAGGCATTATAAAAATGGGTAGAAATTGTCCCATTTGAACACTGTTGAATCATCTTAGTTGTTGATTTATAGAAATTATAGTCTAACTAAGCACTCGCTCACGTTATTAGTACCCATTATTTACTCATTTTGTACAAATTGAGTAATCAGTATATCTCCTTTTGTATTTCTCACATATCCTCTCACTTTGGCAATCATCCTGACCCCACAACATAAATATTTACTATTATTATTATGCACTAGTATCGCATAGTAGTCATATTGCACATTTTAACTGATCTGAAGAAGTGCTTGGAATGTTTTTGCAGAATTAGCTTGCACTTCAAATGCTGATTTCTCTTCATACTTGGCTCACTTGGTGAGTTATTGCTTCAGATGAAACTCGTCAACATCTAGTGGTACAAATTCTCCTTCCTTAAAGAGTCGCTGCCATTCATTACCTTCGGGGTATGTGTAATCAGCTATCGAGGCAGGGCTCAACTCTGTACTGTAGCCAGGAGCCTGAAACAGAAAATGACCTTTTTTCATTCGAATAGCATAGGTTGGTGAAAAACAGATTTTAAGAATATTTAGAAAAAAATACCTCTGAATTAAGTGATTACACATTCCCTAGGGGTAATATATTTCCTCAACAAGGAAACACATTGATGGAGTATATTCAGGTATTATGTTTCCTCATTGATACACAGATTTGATGACGACATCATCAAGAAATACCACAATTGTACACAATGGATTTCAGATTTTCTGTAGCATCTCAGATCATGATTCCAGTATAAAAAGGTGATCATTTACCAATGGAGCAGTGTAGCAGCCATTCTTCATGACGACTGGATTAACAAAGTGTTCAAAAAGATGATCAGCGCTCTCAGTCATTCTGAAAAAAATATAACATTAGTTTTTGAACACCTCTCTAATCAGAAGATCTCTCAATGTGAATACTTTTCAGTCAAATTTTTATCTATCATAAACTTTTATGTATTGTTGAAAAACCTTGAAATGTGAACACCTGCCAATCCGAACACTTTTGGCTGGTCTAAATGGTGTTCAGATGAGACAGGTTCTACCGCAAATTCATTTCGTTGATGTAACCTTAGAAATCAAAACTTTATAGTATGAGTTCAGGAACACTTCTGGTAATACACCCCCAGACTATTTTATATATTTTACTTGTAGGCAGATACTGCTCACCATGTGAAAACAGTTTCAAAGTGTTTCCCTGGGCCCGATCCTAAGTGGAATATATTCTTACACACGTTCAAATCATTTTTGTTTTCATGGTACATGAGGCAACCAGGATTAATAATTGCAAATCTTTAATTTTTCTTATTTGTATTAACACAGCATTAATATGCAAAATGTCACCACCTGCCATTTGTTACATACGCCGGATGACAACCAACATCACAAAAAAGTTGGAGACCATAAGAATATGCCACCACTTTTGGCGGTGACATAAAAATCATAGATTAGTACAAGTTCATGAGCCTGTGGTTGAATGCATTTGTATGGGCGATTGGTCATACGTATAGGTTGGAGTTTCGATTCTATATGCAAGCTTAAACTCCCTTATACCTCTAGGCTTCCCAAATAGATTTACAGTCTGAAGCAACTTGCAATTTTCATACCTACTCTCCAAGGTAGCTGATATACTGATGTAATCAAATATGGACAGATGTTGTACCATCTCACAGAGACCCACCCCTCCTGCATGAGGACACACTGGCACTGAAAGAAGCACACCAGGTGTATGTATTCCATAATAATATTGACTAGACTACTGTCTTTGGTACGTAAGAAGTGGGAATTTAGGAGTACATGCTGTTACTTTGAAGCAAGGTCTTAAAGTTACAATACAAGAGCTCTCCTAATTCATGAAAGTTTCTGTATATTGAAATTGACTTATTTGGTTTTAAAGAGGTTACATACACAGGTCAGTTTGATACTAAAACATGTTTGTTTGATGTTGAAAAGTGAGAGGAAATACTTTAGAAAAGTGGTCCTTTAGGAAGAGGTTAATTAAATTAAAATTTAATTATTTAATTAAAAAGTCAAAAAATGTGGATTTTACCATTAAATTTTTTGGCCATTAAAAGAACAGCAATAATCTCATTAACCCCTCCCAGTCTGCAACTGTCTATTTGGCAGAATTGTAGGCCCTTGGCTTGTAGAAACTGTTTAAACATGACTCTGTTCTGGCAACATTCTCCTGTGGCCACTCCACACCCATAGGGCTCCAAGGCCTACAAATGTAGACCCCAAATGTCAGTAAACACATTGTATATTACAGTTCAAAACTCCTCATCACCTGTCAAACAAATGAATTACACTGTACACTTTTTAATTAAAAATCATAATGAAATAAGTTTGGAATGAATTAAAATTATGTAAACCTCCAAAATAATTTCTTGTTGAAAGCTCACATTTGAAAACACAGGACTAAATTCTATGCTAAGGGCCTGCTTCTGAAAGCTTTACCTTTGCAATAGCTGCATGCCCAAGGACATCATCTGGACTAGTAGGTTCTTCTATCCACAGGAGGTTGTACTTCACCAGATGACCCATCCATTCAATTGCCTCATCCACTCCCCATTTTTGGTTTGCATCTACCATCTATGAAAAGAAAGACATATTAAGTACCAGTCTGAGTTATGAACCAATCACCTCTTTTTTACTCAAATTCTTCCTTGGCTAGTGCAGCTGAATCTATGAAAAAACTCCATTCTAAAATTATTTGTAATTTTGTAGGATGACTGACAGATATGTTTGCCATTGGAGTGTAGTTCATAATATAACGAAAAAAGCTGATGATGTATAAAAAAATGATGTATAAATGTTGAATATGATATGCAACTTGAACTTACAATAGTGGTATCAGGTCCTAGCTCTTTCCTGACAATCTCAAGTCTTCTAATATCATCCTGCAGATCTGAGCCGACCTTGAACTTGAACCTTGAAAAGCCATTAGCTTTAGCTGTGGCTAGTCTCTGTAAAATAATAATAAAAACAAGGTATTAAAATGCAAAATGTCACCACCTGCCATTTGTTACAGACACCGAATGCTGGACAGCAAACAGAGATTGCCAACCGCCATCACAAAAAAAGTTGGAGAACATAGCAATATGTCACCACTTTGGTGTTGACATAATAAAAATGCAAATAAAATCAAATGCAAATAAAATCAAAAATGATACATAAAGAGATAAAATGTTTTATACTACACCTGTTTTATCTCATCATTTGAGTAGCCCAGCCAGCCAGCTGATGTGGTGTATGCTGGGTAACCATTTGTCCGAATTTCCTTCTCTGTAAGATATGAAATAGCATTTGACATAAAATGTCCAAGTCTCTGATGTTAAAATGAAGAGAAATGAAACGGGGGTGTCTTATGAACAATGCCTGGCAAAATATGATAGAACTGTGAATGTAGTTATTTGTTATTTTACTCAACAGTATGTAGTGTAGACTTATGTACTATACTACCCTGTACTATTGTTTACCTCTTTCTGCTTTGCCAGCCTGGTTGTTCCTTAAAATCTCCAGGGCTTCTTCCTTTGAAAGGGCATCCTCTCTGCAAACATTGGATATAATAAATATCTCATTGATGGAGATGGAATATCAATGCAATTAACATGTTTATTACAGGGTGGGATGGAAAGATTTGTCAGCTATGGGGATAAAGCTATTTTCATAAGAATACTAAAGAAACCTCTTACAATGTAATTTAGTACATATAACCTGTCTAAAGTGAACATTTCTAGGATCATCTCAAAGTGTTCCTATTGAGAGATGTGAACACCAAGAGGATCTGATAACATCATTAGTCCACTACTTTGTAGAAGCAAAAAGAGTGTTTGTATTTACAGGTGTTCACTTTTGAGTGGTGGTCCCACATTGACACACCTAGGATATAATGTTGCAGTAAATGTATCTAAGACTTACATATATCTGAAGTCTATCAAAGAGATGATTTTTTCAGGTTCCATATCAACCAGCAACTTCCATACTGGCTACAAAAACAAAGTACATATATGCTGAAACTGATCAAGTTGAACCTCTCATCTCAAGTGAGGGTAATCAAAGGGAGACTTACTTAGCTAAGAGTCTTCTGCTTTGGAGGACAAATGGGCGAATACGGTATTTAGTGACATTTGTAGTCTTTATCATTTTACAAGACCTCATCTAGCCTCACTATGTAGCCTCATGAAATGCTATTCCTTCTTGCAATATAACCCTAATTTGCATGTTGCATCAAGTAATTCGGAGCTTGATCCAGAACATCATGTACAAAACGCTATGGTGTGTAGTTATGTTTGAATGTATCAGGGCAGTGATCTCCCCAGCATTAAAGCGCAGCACCCACCTGACATTTTAAAAACAGGCTTGAACCCACCTGAGATTTCATTTGCACCCACTTTAAAATGAGAAAAATAGGCATATTTTGACCAATTTTGGACTTAATTGTGAAAATGAGAATTTTTTACCCACTTGAAAAAATATTCTGGGGAGAACACTGCAGTGCACATAGAACACAAGACTACTTCAATGAGTGGTTCCTTTCATGAATACATGCATAAAAGTATGACCATGTAATATGTGGGATATGTGCCTATGCATAATATCATGATCTCATAATACTGATTTCTTTACCTTTCCTTCTATCTTGGCCCAGAGGTCCCAGAGTGCATTCACAATAGCTGCAGTTGCAAGATGCATTACTCCCTTCTCTGGTCCCAACTAAAATATAAATGATATAACATTAATGACCTCCACAGAGGTTGACTGTTAAAATTGTATCCTTGTAATGCAGTGGTGCAGTCTGAATTCATAGTGGATGGAATAAAGTAGACTACTTTTTTTGATTTATATTATATATCACATCATTTTAGGCAAACCCACAATACTATTAACTGGCAATGCATTATATGGCCATTTAGTCAAAACTATTAATCACTCTTCGACCAATCAAAATGAAGTATCTAGATTGTAGTTGAAGCAAAAAGAAATATTCTTATGACTATTTTTGTGGTGCCATGGTAATAATACATACTAAATATAACCATGAAACAAGAATCATATCATTTTAAGCCATTCCACCAAGCTAAGCAGTTTATCATGTATTTACCCATCTTAGCTGTTGTTCATTGGTTATCTCTCTCCAAAAGCCAGCAAAATCATCATAAATAGCGGAAAGTTTCCAATCAAGTAGGATTCTGGTGAGGGGCTTGATAGCAGCACATACTGAAAAAAGAGACTATTGTTTGCAAGTTCTGAACTTCTAACTGATTAAGTACTTGAATAGTACAATCATGTAATATATGTATGTACAATTCATAATGGCATATTAATGAAACATTTACTATTTTAATCTGCAGGATATGACAAAATGTAATTCTGGTAAAAAAAATAATAATTGCAGCTTGCAATAGATATCAGGGCTCTCCCCAGGCTTTTAGACTGTGGCGCAGCACCACACTTTATTTAGCACCCACCACAACCTACTGGCAAATCATGATTGTTTCAACAGTCTAAACTTGGCTGAATATACAATAAAAGCATACTGAACGGTAATGTTGATGATGGTTTGCACCCTAAATATTTCCTGATGAGAGCCCTGGATATAATACCAAATTATATAAGGCAGGCAGGGACAAGCTAAAATCTAGCATGATTGAATGTCTTAAAGTAATTAGAAGCGAAGAGAGTGTAGACTTTTGGAATTAGAAGCAATCTTCAAAAATAAAGTCAATGTTTACTTTACAATTCTTATTTCATTTTCTAAAAAAAGATTTGAGATATCCGATGAAATGTAGAAGTTTTTGAAGATTTCAGATGCAGAAAAGTTCAAATTCATTAAAATTGAAAAGGGAGACATCCTTTTTTCCAATTTTCCAGATAACCTTTAAAAATCAAAAGATTACCTGGTACTATATATAGCCAAAATGCTCGACCTGAACAGAAAATAGCCATTTCACGGAATGAGAACAAAACTATTCAGTAAAACTTATCTGCAGCATTCACTTAAACAGGTTTACTTGTGCCAGAAAACTACTTTTTAAAGTGGAGATATACCTATATGAGTGCCACGGCCAAGGGTAAAGGTCAAACCATGACCTTGAAGTCCAGTATCTGTGCTAATTATTACATAACCACAGGAATAATCAGGATCTCCATGCTAGAAACAAATAGCAATAACTAGGTGACTCATAAAAGATGAAAATGAACTTTAAATTAGACATTACAACAAGGTTCCTGTTTTCTTGATGGTTATTATTAGATAATGATGCCTTGAACAGTAATTCACATGAATAATCTTAAATAATGTAATTGTAAATTATACACATATACTATAGACATGCAATTCATAGTTTGATAAATGAAGCATTAATTCGGTAAATAACTGAGCTAAGCAATTCAAAGCATCACTAGTATGGCAAAGAAAATCAACACAATACTTCAAGACCATGGGTATTTGAAGCAAACATATACTTTTGGAGGAAATATTTTGTTATTATTATAAGAATAACAAGTATAAAATTAACTGGCAATCACAGCTAGGTGAGCAGTACAGTAGGGTACAGTATGGTACAGTACAGATAGAATAGTACACAACAGTACAGTACAATGGACAATGCAGACACTCTATTTGTGGGTATAGCATGTTACTTTAAGATGATCTCTTAACATAAGACATAAGCATGGCACATAAGGGTTCTACATGTGGCTATTAGGTTAGCAAAATTATCAAAGCATATGATATGTGAGGTTCTAGCTATAGAGTTGGAAAAATTACTCAAGTAAGTATAATGGCTTATAAGGCTAATGGTTGGCAGAATTCTTCAAGCATGTGTTCTATTTAGTATATGGCACAAGGAAAGGATTATTGACATCCTGAGTGAAATAACAATAACATGGAAGACCAACATAGAGACCTCCCATAAACCCTAATCCCCTCCCTCCCATCAGCCAAACCTTCTCTGGCAGAGTTACCTTCTCTACAACAATTCAAATATTTGGAGTAGATTATTCTACTAAAGGCTAGCTACAAGCTCCTGTGACCCCCCCCCCCCCTTCTACTTGATTACACACCTTTACATGCTTATTGGGATGAGTAGTGGTTTGGGATCACAAGGGTTTGTAGCTAGACTAATTCCATCAGAGAGATTTGGCTACTGCCCCATGTGATAAGTTTGAATGTGTTCAGAGTCAGGTAATCTTAAGCTTGTGACTTGGTGAGGTAATACAATGCCAGTAAATGTTACACTTGCTCTCTAACCAATTTCCGTTCCTCTGCCAGCAGTAAATGTCTGCCCACACCCATAGATGTCACTATCTGTTTGTAGAATTACATGAGCCATGGAATGATCAGGTACACTCTAAAACAGTAGTAGTATGAGTAGATGTATTAGCATGATTTCCACTACTTGATTTAAAGAATAATACATTGAGTTACTAAATTCCCCAAAAAATTTGCTCTCTTTGATTATTGCAACTTCAATGAAGTCCCTTACATATGTGTATAAACACACCAGCATTAGAGTTTTGTCAAAGTATAACTGGGCTAGCTAAGCTCAAATCTGACCATTCTCCAGTTTACCAGTGTACAACTGTGGCTATTTACTTATGTAGTAGCAATGACACTGAATGACCATGTCAATCTCAATGACATGAACATATCATTGTCAATTTCATAGACAGAAATAGAATTGGCTAAATTCAACCCTAAATTGACAAGGAGGATTGGCTCCCAGGATCGAAACTCGATATTTTCCAACAATGAAAACGTCGAAATGTCGTTATTTTCTGAAATTAAAACCGACTATAAATCAGGGGTACAATTACTCCCGGGAAATCCTTCGACCACCATGTTGCCCACATGACACAACCCTCAAGTTTGATGCCCGATCATTTTTTCAATTTTTTATTTTTGCGCAAAATTCGTTTTGCACCTTCATTCCAAGATACCCGGGTTTAGCGCGCGCGTACTATAACGTCACTATAGCAACGTTTTGACCTTGAACTAATAGGATAGAAACGCGCTGCAGTGTCTGAACGGGTCACGACAATGCAGCCTTTTTGCACGTTTCATGGACAATCTTCGGTATTATTAAGGTAAGTTTAAAACGAGGAATGCCACTGGAATCCTGAGATTCACAGCTTTGACGTGGTATGAAAAAGGATCCATAAATATTGCGATTTCTTACTGATTGAGACTCTCAAACTTTGATGAATAAAAACAGGTGCTTTTCCTGAGACCCAGCGTCTTCTTAATTTTCAGTACTTTGCTAGAAGGTTAGAAATTTTTTCTTTGGTACTCATTTGGAGCACATAACAGGTGTACATTTGAGCAACTTTGAAAATTATTCATCAAATTTTGACGGAATTATCAACCAAAGTGTTGGTGGATTTTGGTGTCATTTGCAGTTCAAATTGTTAGTTTTCAGCGTCTCTAGATAAGGGATTTTGAGGAAAAGTTGTGAAAAGCTTATTTCTGAGGGTTCATGAATACAGGTCAATGTGTGTGTAATATCTAAGCATAACTCCTGGTAGATTTTCTCATCCATCGCCATTTGTACCCCCCGAGACTTCAAATGTGGGTCCCTAGTCCAGTTCGAATTGTTCGATTTCCTTATATGGTGTTTAGACACCATATGAACGATTATTTCCGAAGGTTCATATATTCAGCTTAATGTGTGTTAAATAGCTAAGCATAACTCCTGATAGATTTTCTCATCCATGGCCATTTGTACCCCCGAGACCTCAAATGTGGGTCCCAAGTCCAATTCGGATAGTTCGATTTCATTATATGGTGTTTATACACCATATGAAAGATTATTTCTGAAGGTTCATATATTCAGCTTAATGTGTGTGTAATATCTAAGCATAACTCCTGGTAGATTTTCTCATCCATGGCCATTTGTACCCCCCGAGACCTCAAATGTGGGTCCCTAGTCCAATTCGGATAGTTCGATTTTATTATATGGTGTTTATACACCATATGAAAGATTATTTCTGAAGGTTCAATCATATATTCAGCTTAATGTGTGTTAAATAGCTAAGCATAACTCCTGGTAGATTTTCTGATCCATCGCCAGTTTTACCCCTGAGACCTCAAATGTGAGTCCCTAGTCACCATATGAAAGATTATTTCTGAAGGTTCATATATTCATCTTAATGTGTGTTAAATAGCTAAGCATAACTCCTGGTATATTTTCTGATCCATCGCCAGTTTTACCCCTGAGACCTCAAATGTGGGTCCCTAATCCATGTAATCTGGTTTGGATTGTTCGATTTCCTTAAATGGTGTTCAGACACCACTTGAAAAGTTTATTTCTGAAGGTTCATATAATCAGCTTAGGATGTGTGTATTAGCTAAGCATAACTCCTAGTATATTTTCTCACCTATCGCCATTTGTACCCCCGAGATCTCAAATGTGGGTCCCCGACTCCCCAGTCTGGTTTGGATTGTTCGATTTCCTTATATGGTGTTCAGAGTTCAGACATGCACCACTTGAAAAGTTTATTTCTGAAGGTTCATGTATTCAGCTTAATGTGTATGTAATAGCTAAGATAAACTCCAAGTAGATTTTCTCATCCATCAACATTTGTACCCCCAAGTCCTAAAATGTGGGTCTGTAGTCCGGTTCGGATTATTTGATTTCCTTATATGGCGTTTAAATACCACATGAAAAGATATAATACAATATATGACAATACATGTATTACATTGTATTATATGATCTCAAGCTCATTTTATTTACCAGTTCACTAGTTTTATTTTGTATTTTATTGGGTCTAAATTGATGGGTGCAACATTCATTCAAATTACACATATAAAAGCTTTTTATACCTTCTAAATGATCAATATTATTCATTATCAATAATGTACACTTATTTTCTTCCAGCTACCGAGTGAGAATGGACATGACTAGCAACCATGCCTCTTTACCTGTTGACTCCATCTTTGAATGTTATGCCAATGATTGAGATCTGCCATGTTGCAGAAAAATGTGATTTTCGAGGTATGTACACAATGTTAGATAAATCGAATGTACAGAGTGTCAAATAAATATGATAGATAGTTTTACTGTGCTAAGGAACAATTCAGATATCATGCAGACAAAAAAGTTACCCAACATTATGTGGATCATAAAGTTAAGGGGGAGAACATATTTATTTGATACCCTGTACAGGGTGTCCCGAAAGTATGGGGGCCCCCTAGGCGGACACATACCAATGTCTTCATAGTATGTGTCATATATCATTTTAAAGCTTATCCAAACTTACATTAATTTGCCAAGTATCATGGTTCAACTCACAAAAGGTAAATAGTTACAGGCATTTCAAAACTAAGTGTTTAGCTAAACATATAGTTCATTTCAGTATCCTGGTAACAGCCCTGACCTGAACATGACCGAAAATATGAGAGCTATTGTCGACAAAAGGATGGATATTGAGTTCTAAAAAGAGGAAGTTGGGGGTAGATACTCCAGGGAAACTCTTCTAGAATGCTTTAAAAAAGTTTTATGAGGATAAAAAAATGCCAAATCCCTATTTGAAGCACGTTTAAGGTCATATATGGAAAGCATTGCTGCCATTAACATGGCTTAGGGACTCCGGGAGACACACCGACTATTATTTTGGTGTAAAACTGACTTTAATTTTTTTTTAACTTTTTCCCATTTTGAGTTCAACCGTGATACTTGGCAGATCGGTGTAATTTTGGATGATCTTTCAAATGATATATGGCACACTATGGAGACATTGAAAAATGTCTGCCTAGGGGGGCCCCCATACTTTCTGGACACCCTGTATATTAAATGCCCATATAAAGTTCCAGTCACTTTGGCTTAGAGCTTAGGCTTTATTATGCGTGTAGTACTCCAATAGTAGACCAATGTTTTCAAAATGCGGTATGTGAGGCCTTTCAATTTAATTTCAAGAAGACTTACTAAATACATGTACTAAATCCTGCTCTTGTGTATGTTTCATGAGATTTTATCCAAATTTTGGACAGATTTTGTTTTTTTTACTGTGACACCTGAATACTGCCACAACATCATTATTAAATATTATTTGTATACATTTACTAGTAGAATATGCAATTTCTTATATCAAATTCAATTTATTTCAGTAATGCTGACATCTGCGTGCGTATTCTATACATCTGTGTGA